TTCCAAACAGTCTTGCAGTTGGCACCATTTTTGTCGTATTGGAGAGAAGAAGTGGAAGTGCTGATAACTTGAACGGTGGTGATACACGTAGTGGCGACAGTAGGAGTGACGGTGTTACAAATAGTAACAGTCGAAGAGTGTTGGCAAGGGTTCCAAACGGTCTTGCAGTTGGCACCATTTTTGTCGTATTGGAGAGAAGAAGTGGAAGTGCTGATAACCTGAACGGTGGTGATACACGTGGTGATCGGCTTAGCAGACAGAGTTGGAACGTCAACTTCGACGGTCACAACGGTGGCACCAGAGATAAATGGAATCGTGTGAGTCTCGGTGAGAGCACCAGTCCAGGTTCCAGTAACTGTAACCGTCTTGGTGGTTGGGTTTGGTGCTGGACCATCAACCTCGACGGTCACAACAGTGGCACCTGGAAGAAACGGAAGGGTGGTGGTTCTGGAAGAAGCGCCAGTCCAAGTGCCAGAAATGGTAGTATACCTGGTAACGGCAGTAGGAGTAACAGTGTTGCATACAGTTACTGTGGTAGAGTGTTGGCATGGGTTCCAGACAGTCTTGCAATTGAGCCCTAAGTTGTAGTACAGGAGAGAAGAAGTGGAAGTACTAACAGTCTTGACGGTGGTGGTGCAGATAACGGTAGGAGCAGCGGTGCTCGAAGTGTATGTTGGAGCGATACCCCCAGTGGAAGTACATTCGCCAATGTTATACGAAGTACCCGTAAGGGTGTAAGTGTCACAGCCGTACAACCAACCAAGAAGTAATGGGCATTGCAAAACATTAGTAGTGTAAGTCAGAGGAACCATACACAAGTTGCAACTTTTGTCAGTACCAGAGGTGACAGGAGCATAGGTGGAAGTAGAGGTGGTGGTACAAACATTTTTTTGAACACACGTGGTGGTTGGAATGTAATGAGTGTTACACCCGTTGTTGGCGAGGTATTCTAAGGAAGTGGTAGTGAAAGAGGAAGTGGAAAGCTGAGGAACACACTGTTCGTAAGTGAATTGCACGTTCCCGTAAAAGAACCAGTAAGGAACGGCGGAAACACTACTAAGAGTGAATGCTGCGACGAGCAATGTGATAAAGTTGGAACTCATATCTCAGATGAATTTAGGGATACAACTGTCTTGGTGATTGACTAAAGGAGGAGGGAAAATACTACAAATAGCAGCAGACTAGGTTGCTTAAATACAATTGAACCGCCCAGGAAATATCTAAAAAAAGGCTCATCTTTCTATTCCTCGACGCCTTCTTTTGCTTATAGTCCAAATTTAAACGGTATATCCTCCGAAATTTCATACATAGTTTGGATGCATGGATTGAAAAGCCCTGGAAGATGCATATGGCGTGCATACGGAAGATTGCCTTGGATCCAGAGCCTTGTAATTTCAATGTTCAGGCGGCAAAGTAAGCGGAGTTGGAAAGGACAATAGGAAGATTCGGAAACAAGCATTTATTACCTCCACCCAAGTTTTTGGCCTGTACAAACAGTTGCCGAGGCACGAGCATAAATCCAGGTTGGGGCGATCTGCAAGGCATCTCTTTCCAGAAAAATCGTGCATACAGCACTGCATGTGTCTACAATACCGCCTCGGTATTTCTGCATCAGTACGGGTAGCTATTGTCTGTGTGTATGAGGCGCCAATATCTGAAGCAGATAATCAAACTAGTACTTGTATGGGTTTTTCTCTCATATGCCGTATTATAATAGGTATCTATTGGTGTTCAGGAGTAGAAAATTCAACGCTCCGTAAGAACGCCGCAAGTACATGGCAGAAAGTAGAACAAATCCACGTCCAAAATCTAGCCTCGATAAATGCTTTGGCTTTAGTATTATTGTAGATAGTGGGCTAGTAATGGACTTTCACAATTTCTCAACTCCTGAATCATCGTAGAATAATGTACAAAAGCAGGGGAGCTTTCCTCGAAACCTCACTCCGGAGGTACGGTTGATTGCGTCATAGCCGTACTCTCGTTATTAAGCACAGGTATCTAACAAATAACTACTGATTATTGTGAGACCAGAATTACTTACGAGTGCCATTTCGGGATCTCGATAAAAGTGCCCTGGTTAGACAAATAAATAAACAAACCTCTATCCTGCCGGTGATGGTAACAACTGAAATTTCTATTGTTGATGACAGATCACGGTCTGCTTTACTTAGGACTTCCTGCATGGCATACCTATGTCTGAGCTAGTCTGTTAGCCTGTTATGCTGCAAATAGCCCGTGGTCTAAGGTAGCTAACAATTCCCTTTCCTTTGCTCCACGATTCTATTTCCAGTTCTCCAACCTCAACCACTCAGATAGGCTGGAGTACTGCGCTGGATTCGAAGTAACAAGTGTCTCGGCTGGTATCTATATAACCCTTTGTCGCGGGAGCTTCAAACAATTTAGAAGCCTTGCGACACTGTTTGTCGTTACATCATGAAATTAGAAACTAAAAACCCCGTAGGGCGAATAAAGGAGAGGGGGACCCCAGGGCTTCTTACCGAAAACAAAAACATTAAGCGACAAACAGGGCGATACGCCTACAGTAGCAAATGGAGGTGCATCTGCATCATGCATCTAGTCCGTTAGACGAGATCTGCACCCAATTACTACTATATTTTGCCATCTTATAGTAATAGATACAAATTTCCCAAAACAATAGGCGGGGCGGAATGTCCATCTATGGTCCAGATTCTAAACTACAAGTGATTGTTGCAAAGCTATTCTGAGAAGCAGTCTTAACTCCTGTGCCATTGGAATTACATCACATATGAGTTTCACGTTCTGGAGTGTCCTGACCCCTCAAAAAATGCTCAGACAAGCGCCAACGAGATGAGACACTATTCTAATATATCGCAAACCTCTATTCAGTAGAGAGCAGTGCTATTCCCGTGGCTACCACGGTTTCGTTTACCGAAACTGCGTAAATCTGCACTCCAAGAGCTATATAGGCCTCCACTGGTTGGTAGTTGTGCCTTTTTTTGGTCCTAGGGTCGTACTTTAGTCTAAGGTAAGTTCATAAGTGCCCATGTATACTATGGGTTGTTTGGTCAATCGATTGAAATTACTCTGGATACAGGAGCCTTCGGGTATTTCTAGAGCTTCGCTAATGTAGGTCTATGCTGCTTTGCAGCGGTTTGTCAGGGCAACCCCTCGTCTATGCATGTTCAAATGTAACTCCTGGAAATTGGTCGTAAGCCTGTGGCACAGATATCACTGCAGAATTTCCTTCTCGGCGAAGAATCTGGGACACGCCCACTGCGGTTAAAGTTTCGTCTAAAAAGAGGTGCGTATCTAGCGCAGAGAAAAGTCGCTGCATTCGATTTACTGGCCTCTGGAATAATAAAATCGGAGATCGGAGGTAGACTTTGTCGTTCTAACTTTGTCGCTCTAACTTTGCCGCACTAGCTTTTTCAGCTCGTCTATCCCATTAGGAGCACCTGTCTCTGACCTTTGTGCATACCATGAAGACGCGTTGATGAATCAGAGCTAGAGGAACGACATGAATCTACTCGTGTATTATCGCGGTATTGTTTAGAATCAGCTTATTCACCGGAAATCTTAACTTTATTCATACACAAGTGTATAATATTCCCCTACAGCACCAAAATCACTGAGCTATTTTATTTGCCAAAACATGGTTTCCACAACAGAGCCCAGCTCTTAAGGGGTGTGCAGTCTAGAGTATTGGATACGTCGCTTAGTACCCCTAACAGAATCCCATCCTATAAGTAAATCAGAACAGCACGATGGTCTCACCACGGAGTGACCTCCCGCCCGAAAAAATCAGATTCCTGGGAGCAGTCCCTTGGGGATCTCCATAAGAGTACTACAACCCAGACCCGTGGTCGAGACCAAAATGTATTGTGCATAATGTGCATCAGGGGTATTAAATGCAGGATATATGCAGAACCATTACGCCTCGGTTTGAAACATAACCAAGATATAATCGGAGTCGAGTTCGGGAATAAAGGGCTCGCAGCAAGCTCTCCTACTCCTCCATTGGGACTTCGCACGTTCCATTCGGGAATTAGACGAGTTGCTCCGTACATGTATGTTTGATCGAGACAAACTTACTGTCTAAGGAAGGCTTGGCACTCCTTTTCTCGATCTTCGAGCTCCTTACAACTAGTGGACGTTGACCGTTTGAACAAGCCCAAAGGAACCTTAAGCTGCACACTATTCTCACTGAAGGGCGTTGCATTCACCAGTCATGCATTACTGGAATAGTAGCTTGTATACTTAGCACGGTTGACACCTTCGCTATAGGGACACCTTCTCCTGCCAATAAAAGCCCCTCGCCTTGCCATCAGCTTTGATGATTTCCACGAAACTGATGAAAAGGAGTATGCGGTCCGTATTTAAGATGTCTCTATACTTTAGTGTGAACATACCCACTGCACATCTGTCGGGGTCAGTTCTAAGAATATATTATGGTGTTTTAGACATTACTGAATGTAGCTCTGAGCTCGTGATTAGCTTGATACACTGGCAGCAGCCTTGGACTTTGCTTGATAATATAACTGGAAAACCGGAACTTGGTTTAGCTTGGGGTAATTTGCACTTGCCTCCACTAAAACTGGCTTAGCCCGATCTCGTGCTGGGCACTCGCTAGTTGTTCACCCATAAATTATCAAAGCCAAACACCCACGCCCCAACGGTGTGTCGAATCACCACACTAGCCAAGCCCATCACAAGCAGCAACCCCATCAAGTATGCACACAAGCGGTCCTCGCGCAAGGGCCCGCACCAAACCAACACCAAGTTGATGAGAGTCAAGTTGTTGCAGCCAGAGATCTTCCCGTCGGTATACTTAACATCCAAAAGCCTGAGCTTTGCCAAGATCAGAAGCACCACCGCCACGGGTCTCGACACCACAGAGGGAACTGTCTTGGATGAGTTTTTCAGATCCGCCTTGGCAAACTCAGCATAGGACGGATACATGAGCCCGTCATCAGGATTGAACTTGGGCATGCGGTGACGCGGACACGGCACGATGCCGAACAACTGTGGGGCAGAGTAAACAAAGTTGAAAATCTGCGGCATCAAGAACAAGAGCAAGGTCTTGGAAAAGTGGCCCAAGATGCCCACCACCGCAAAGACCATACCCGCGAAGTAGCAGTAGGTGTCGCCGACAAACACACGGGCAGGGAACCAGTTGTACTTCAACAACGCAAGAGACACCCCGACGAACGGAAGCAACAAATAGGCGGAAAACAAGTGGGCATCGTAGGCGTTGGGCTTCTGGCTGGAGAACAAGTAGCAGCAGTCGTTGGCGAGGAGCACCGCTGCGAGCACAACCGATTGGCCAACCTCCAAGCCGTTGATCCCGGCTAGGATATTAATGGAGTTGGGCGAGAAAATTGCAATGCTAGCCATGTACACGTAGTAGACCCAGCCCACGTCGACGCTCGTGGCATTGTCAAAGTAAGGCCTGAGGAACTTGGGCACCAAGATGGAGGTCACCCCGAAGTCAATGTAGTACACGATGAGGAGCGGAATCGCGGCGATTGCTGGTAGGAAGAACTTGTTGCGCCAGCGGATGTCAAACAAGTCGTCGGCGATCCCTAGCAACACCATCGACTCGAGACACAAGATTGCAGACAAGTACTCCGCGAGCCGCACGTGCGGAAACAAATCCGTCGCAGCGGACGCGGACACGCGCACCGCATCACGCGTGCCGCTGCCGCTGGTGGTGACGAGGAACTTGTAGAACATGAACGGAATGAAAAAGAACATGAGGAACAAGTAGACGATGGCCAGAACCGCGCCAATGGTTTCGGGAATGAGTGGCGTGTCGCGCTTGCTCAAGTCCTTTCCGTGAAGTCCGACCTTGATGAAGAGCGGCGATAGCACCGGGATGAGCGCGTCCGTAACGACATAGCCGACAAGCGCAAAGGCGGTGGAGATGTGGAGCGAGTGGTGTGGCGAGTCGCGGAACAGGCAAAGGCACGCGGCGAGCCCGAGGCAGGCGATCTGGCTTAGCTTGGGCATAAAGCGAATGATGGAATCTTGTATTCAGGAGTTGGCTGGGGGCCAATGGGTTTGGCTTTGAAGGCAGGTTCAAGATATCGAAAGAGCGGATCAAACGGCTACGTTCAAGACGGCAAAAGCGAGTTGAAAAACCTCACGTGTTGTTGACTGCGAATCCCACCGTTGGGCACGTTATCGGAGCCGCATTGATAGAACAAGTGCACGACCTATTATCTGACATGGTTCTCTTGATTAGATTTTTGAGAGAAGAGAAGTGGAGGCGAGGAAAGCTTCCACTCGAGGGTTCAAGTCTAAACTTTGAAGTTTGATTGTCTAAAGAGAAAGTAAAAGGTTTAGTGTGAGATTTCATAAATTTTATATCCTCAGGGGGGAGTACATATGTCCACCTGGTTTATACCCTCTAAAAATTGCTTCTGGAACCTCTTACAGCTTCCGGCACTCAAATAATTTAATAAGACAGAATAAACCAAGAGCCTTCTATCCTCTCGAATTCTCTCCCCCCCTTTGAATATTACTGGATTGGCGTGTTACTTTACGAGATTTTCATGGCGGCCTTTCAACCACACCTAGGGTCTAAAAAGTATCAGCCTTTGAGTACATCCACCATAACTCTCCCCTTCAATTCTTATCGGCAATCCTCGTTTCAACAATTGCTTCCGATTATCTTTCTTTATCTCAACATACTAATCATGGTTTTACATTTATTTACAGGTATAGTACATGCTATGTTTCTAGGCATCTGCGAGCTTCTCCCCCGTGTGCAAGGCATACTTTGCGTACCACACGTCCTGGGGGCTTCTCTTATAGATGAAATAGTCCTGGAACAACCCACCGGCCAACCCGAGCCACAAGCCCTGTCTCATGAGGTTCACGGTCTGCACACGGGTTAATTTGAATAACCCGCCGTAGGTAGCACCGGCAGCCACGGCGGCCACAGTCGTGTTCAAAAAGTCAATCTGGCCTCGGGCCTTGTCTAACAACGCTTCGGTGCCAAAGAGCCCGCCCACTACGAGGATGTTGGTGCGCGCGAGGTTCTTGAAGGCAGCCTCCATGCCCTTCATGTAGCACACGTGGTTTTTTCTCTTGTGATAGAAGTACCAGCCCCCCTTCTTCTTGGGCAAGCGGTGTGCGTTTTCCGCCAAGTACTTTAACGAGGCCGCCTTCAAGCCGTTGTAGAAGCCAAAGCATCCGGACCAGATGCTTACCCCACCCGCAATCAACGGCAACCGCGCGTCCGCGGGGAGGTTAAAGCGCTGATTTACATTGCGCGCGTACCACTGGTCGATTTCCGCTTGGTGTTTTGCCTGTACCTCCTCCTTCTCCGCCTCCATTATCGTGAGCTGGCGGTCCACTTCCTCCTGAGTGATCTCGCCCTTGTCGAGCAAGTCCCGCATCGCAGGATCCAACTCATCCTTCGCGCCGAAAAAATAGCTCCAGAGGTTTGTCATAGTGTGATGTCAAAGGAAATGAGAAAAGCGGTTAGGAAAGCTAGAGAGCTGGCAAGGCATTTAGAGTAGAAGTTTTCAGTTCTAATTAAAATTCAATCCTGCATTAAGCAAAGACTTGCAATGGTAGACTTCAAAGTAACGTCAACAGGTTGTCCTTAACGTTAATCTTTGAATAATTATCTAGTTTAGGACCTGAGTCATTTAAGGCCTGAACAGGGTGAATGTGAGAAAACAAAATTTATGATAGAGCGGTGGTGTGTGACACGTTGATGGAGTGCGTCTATGTGGCTAACCATATGCTCAGCACATATCTTCCTATACTGCTCGTAATTGTACTAGGTACGAAGAAACCGCCTCCAGAAACAGCACTCAGATCATGTATGCGCTTATTTTCTCCGGTATAATTATTGATCCATTCCTGCTCTTTGAGCACTTCGAGCTTTTGGAATAATAGGTCAAAGTTTTATTCCGACGACGCCTGAGAATTGGATGTTGGCCACGGGGGCCAGAGCCATTTGTTCTGTTTGGTTCCATTTCTTGCACTTGTGTTAGCTCTTTAGGGGGGTTATCAGTTTCTATTATCCAGCGATACTTCTGTGTTTAGGGTAGCTAGTTGTGTTTGGAATAAGTAGTAATATGCACGCGTGCTTATTCCTTTGAAAAGCTACCTCCATGTATACACATCTACTCGTACACCATTTTCCTGTTAAATTCAAAACTACCCTCGATTCTAAGGAAAAGACGGGGGCCGGTGTACATCAATCGGTGAGTGTTCGGTCCATAACACGCCTAAACAAGTACTTGAACATCCCCGGTTCTTCAAAACTTACTCCCGCTAATCCAAGTCTAGGTAGACTAGATTTGGTAAGCTGTTCTAAGCCAAACTCTACTAATGTCTACTATCGACTGTGTTATTGATAGCCGTCTAACACAAACTCTGTCATAGAACCCTTTACATCATTCTGTATGAAATCATCCTGTATGTTTCCCCAGACTTGTTCCTAATATGGCATGTTCCAGCCGCAGCCGCAAGTAGGGATCAGCTAGGGAGCAAACCTAGGAAGGGCCAATTTGGGAGACACCAATCCTCGATAAGCTCCCTAAGTTCGCATCCTGCACCTCCTGAAATTCCTCACCCCTTTTGCTCCCTCCTCTTGCTATACCCTTATGACCCCTCTTGAGTCTACCACTCTCACCCCTAGAGCCCCCTCTCCTATCGACCCCCGAGATCTTCCGCCCAGCATGCAAGAAGAGCTCCGCCACGCGTCGCAGACGCACCGTCACCACACCCAAATGGCGCTCACCCCGCGCTTGCTCTGCACTGTCGCCGCTGTGTGCTTGGGCAGCGTCCAGTTTGGCTATCATATGGCTGAATTGAACGCGCCAGGCGCCATTCTCTCCTGCCAAGAGCATGTCCTTCCTCCCGGAACTCCGTCCTATTACGACCTGTTCTGGTCCCGGCACGGTTTGGAACAGTGCGTGATCATGGACACCGAAACTATTGGACTAGTCACCTCTGCGTTCCCGCTTGGAGGCCTCCTCGGCTCGATATACGCCGGCCAATTGGCCGATAAGTTGGGACGTCGTCGCGCGGCGTTGCTCAATGCGGTGGTATATGCCTTGGGCTCGTTTCTCCTGGCCACTGCCAATTCGGTGGCACAGATAGCTGTGGGACGAGCACTTTCGGGCGTTGCTGCAGGCTGTGCCGTCGTTGTCACCGCGTTGTTTATTGCCGAGATTGCACCCGCGGAACTTCGGGGCTTGCTCGGCTCCATGAACCAAGTGAGCATCAATTTGGGGATTCTCCTCACCCAGCTGTTGGCGATTCAACTTGCGAACGACCACGACTGGCGCTACCTCCTCCTTACGGGCTCCCTCCTCGGTATCGCCAACTTTGTCGCCCTCTGCTTTATTGACGAGAGCCCGGTGTGGTTGGTTGCGCACGGCCACAAGGACACCGCGCAGACCGCGTTGAGCACGTTACGTGACGCATCCTTAGAGGATGTTGTCCCAGAACTCGACGCGCTTGCGCTGGAGTATCACGCCTCCACGCTCAGCGCCAGAGCCTCCACGCTCGAGTACGTCCTGTCACCAACCTACCGCCCGTCCTTCAGGATGACTACGGTCATTATGGCGGGGCAGCAGTTCTGTGGGATTAACTCCATCATTTTCTACGGGGTCTCCGTCATGACGCAAATTTTCCCGCTGTATGCGATCCTCATCAACTGCTTTATTTCCTTGGCAAATGCTATCATCACGTTTATCTCCGGCACCTTGCTTGATAGGCTCGGCCGCAGACCCCTTTTGCTTTTGTCTGTCTCCGCCATGGGCCTAGCGCTGTTGTTCATGGCTGTGGGGATTGTCCAGCAAATCCCGTCTCTTGTGATTTTTGCCACCTTCAGTTACGTGTCAAGTTTTGCGATTGGCTTGGGCCCAATCCCGTTCTTGATCATCTCAGAGGTGACACAGCCGGAGGTGCGCTCTATCGCGCAGTCCTGGGGTACCAGCACCAACTGGGTCGCCACCTTCTTGGTGGGCTTCCTCTTCCCGATCTTCAATAGATGGTTGGGCGGCTATGTCTACCTTGTGTTTGCCGGAGTGTGTGCGCTTTTTGGCGCATTCTTGTATCTTGAGTTACCAGAGACAAAAGGAAAAGCGGGGTACGACGAGGTTTGGTCGTCCGAGCCACAGTTACGGATCGATTGAATTGGAGAATCCACGTGGTTTAGGATCTGTTGAAGTAGCACTAGGATGTATTGTTTTTATTACACCAATTACGTCTAGGTATTTTAAACTGTATGCAAGATAAGCTGTACATGGTTTAGCCATGTACACTCTACGATACTGATATTCCTGTGATACCGTCGACTGACAAATGTATCTTTTCGGGCGCCTTTTTGAACTTTGAGTCCATAATCGCTTCAGGTATCTGCTCTTATATCAAACACGCAGAGACGGGTGTTGGCTAACGTTCCATCTGGTATACTGATCAGAAGTTAGGGTCTAACGTACTCGTTCCTAAGCCAGGCACTTATAATATCGTACGTATTTACATCAAGTGTCGCTCGATATAGATGCCACGGCGATACCATAAACACTTATTGTGTGCGTTATTACAGCTGCAATTGATATCAAGCAGATAGTTCCGTCACCTATGCAAAACTGTATAGTCAGCTAAAATCGAACCGTCGTACAAATTGATGCTCTAATCAGCGTTGGCATTCTAATATATGATGAAGAGTTTAAAAATAAATATTTATATATAATCTTAGTTCAATTTTTCTATAAAAACATATATATATATATACGTGAATATGAGAATTATTTCAGCACAGAGGCTAATTGGATTATATACTCAATGTTCTAAAGGCTTATAATACTACAAGTTATAGATAAAAACCCAGTGGTAGTCCATACTGGAGTATATATTTATACATATATACCCACAATATCTTTATGGCAGTTTCTTCCTATATCGAAGAATATATACGCCATGGACTGCATTTATATGTCACGAGCGTCGTCCAGCAAATGGGTGCAGGCCTGGAATCCTACTCGTCCATGTATAGGTGCTGGGCTCTATCAATGCTGATTACTGACATAGATGGATATATAAATACCTTTAAGGCCTCTCAAAACATCTAAAGTGGTTGAGTACGACAATACTCATAGAAATGCCAAATCTTAGTTCAAACCTCCAACACCTTATCAAGCACTGGAAAGTGCATTACCAATGAGTGTACAGCGTATCTAAGGAATTTCCTGTTTAAGATCGCCCTGCGTTTGGACAACGTCCAGAGAAATGCGGACAAGAATCCAGAGTTTGTGACTGCTTTTCGCTGACAACTCACCTTGATTGCCTGATTGGGAAGAACTATCTCCAGTGCTCGTAACGTCGACGCAACTTGTCCTGCCAAAAATTTTCACTGCGAAAATTGTAAGGGCGAAAAAGCAATTTTCATACGTGACACTAATTCCGTGCGACTATGATAGCCAGCGAAAATCCGGCCAGGATTCTGCAGAGGGGAAACGGCAGTGTGGGAAACAGAGTGGGAGTGCGAAGGTCAGTCCCGTTTGATAGAGGGGGAATAGGCAGCAGACTTTTCACTTAGCCAAAAGTGGTTGAAAAAGTGTAGCTTTTATAATAGCGTCTTTTACCTTCATTAATCTCTTCTGAAAAATCAAGAATCATCAAAGATGCCTACTAGATTAACCAAGACCAGAAAGCACAGAGGTCACGTTTCCGGTATGTTTCAACGGCTTTGAATGAAATGAACTGGTTGACGGAAAGCAAGAATCAGAGGCATTGCAAAGAACCAAGCAAAGCCCCCAGGGGAACGACACTCCGTCGAAAAGAGGGGCCGCTTTAGTGATTGTGGCTTCTTGATACGAACGTTCAAGCAAAATTTTCAACAACCTCAATACTGCGATTGCCCCGAAGGGTCAGCGTACCGTAGCTGAAACCGCAAGCTATAGTAAGCGTCATTACCCCCGCGTGTCCAACCAGTTCAATGTAAGCCTTACAACGTTGCAGTACTAACAAGCTTATAGCCGGTAAGGGTCGTGTTGGTAAGCACAGAAAGCATCCAGGTGGTCGTGGTAAGGCCGGTGGTCAGCACCATCACAGAATCAACATGGACAAGTACCACCCTGGTTACTTCGGTAAGGTTGGTATGAGATACTTCCACAAGCAGCAGAACCACTTCTGGAAGCCAGTCTTGAACTTGGACAAGTTGTGGACTTTGGTCCCAGAGCAGAAGAGAGATGAGTACTTGTCTTCCGCTTCTGCTGCTTCTGCCCCAGTTATTGACACCTTGGCCCACGGTTACGGTAAGGTTTTGGGTAAGGGTCGTTTGCCACAGGTTCCAGTTATTGTCAAGGCTAGATTCGTCTCCAAGTTGGCCGAAGAGAAGATCAGAGCCGTTGGTGGTGTTGTTGAACTTATTGCTTAAGTTTATTAGACTGTCGAATCCCTTCTTTATACCTTAAATTATGTATTTTCCATCTCTAATCAAATGAGCACTCTTATTGTTAATCTGTATTGTACTCACCTAAATGCTGACTGAACTCTCGTTGCTAGGAGCCCTAACAAGTAGGTTTTACGTCGTTCTCCACAATGATTGATCCATTATTTATCAAACCCTAAGTTCTCAACCAGATTGCTTTGTGATAGTTCCAGCCATCATCACCTTCCCGGCCCCTACCCTGAAGGTGAACGGGCGTGCGTGGCACAATACTCGCCCTTTACATTTTTCTGCCCGGTATAGAGTGTGATTGATAACGTGTAGAGGGGAAACTTAGGGAAAGCCATGTCCACAACAGGCATTCGAGAGTACACAACCCCACCAACTTTACCTATTGAACCCAAGATATCCATCCACTGGACAAGTTGCACATCTTCACACCGATAGCATTTAGTCGTGGTTATATATATATCCTAAGCAATCGCCCGAACAAAGAATGTCCGGTAGTGAGAGCATTCCACAGGAAGAGAGTATGTGTTTTCAATTTCCAGAGATTGGGATGTTTGAATTCTGAGCATAGCATGAAACTCCAAGGGAGTACGTGCGATATGCAGAGTGTTTGGCGGTCTGCCATCCCCGTCTTTCTGCTTTCGGGCACCCTAAGGCTCTTCTACCAGTTCCGCTACTGTTGCCTTCTCCACCCCAATCCCAACGATTACCTGACCAGCCATACTAACAACCCTAGATCGCCCTAACCTGGTACCTGACTTTGGCCCTACATCTCCGCTTTCCGACGTTTCTTCCCCGTCATACACCGAGCAAGACGAGGCAGAAGCAACCACATTCTTCTCGACAAACGCCATTCTCGAATCGGACACTTCCCTGGAGTCCCACACCTCTGCCCGAGCTCCAGAGATCGGTACGGCCAACGACACAAACTCCCCCACGGAGCAGAATATTAGGCTATTGAACTCCCTTGAGTCTCCAAGCACCTTCGGCAACCACAGCCTCAACACAACCGGCTCCAAGTTCAGCAGTTCCTCCGAGCTTAGTGATATCGATTCTTCCGAAGCAGAAACCGATAAGATGGATTTTCTCGATGATAGCAACGGCCACATTGACGAGGACCAGAACAGCCACCACAAGTCCCAATTGAGGGAAATCGCGTTGTCTAATTTGAAGGATGACGAAGAACTGTACACGGGGGACGAAGACAGCAACAGTCCCGTCGAAGAAACAGCTGAGAAGCCAACCGAGATTGTGGACACCCCCCCACACACTGGCAAGCACGAGGGAGACGAGGTGGCCGTTTCTGTCAACGGAGGAAGGGCTGATGAAGTGCCAAAGGAAGAGTCTCCTGCAACATCTCCGAATTTTTCCGAGAACGGATCCAAGGCTGAGGATGAAGTTACAACGCCTGAGAAACATGCCCAGGAGGATGTCCAAAGAACTCCGAACAAGAGACGAAAGCTCATTCCAAGCATGGAGGAGACCCAAGACCCTGATGTAAAAACAGAATTGCTTCACCCCAATGATTTTGAAGACAACGCCGATGAAGAGGAAGACATTGAAAACGAAGGCGAAGACGAGGACGACGAGGATGAACGCGAACACGAATCACTAGCAGAGGACTCAAAATCTCCTGTTGGTGACAGCGGCCAGGACCTCCACCAGGAGCTGAGGCAAGCCGAACGTACACCAGCGCTGAACGAGCAGAGATTGGAAGCCATTGAGTTATTGAAAGAGATTGAGGTGGAGTTTGCCGATTTGAGAGACAAACTATACCAGGATAAACTCTCTCAGTTAACGTATGAAATGGAGTTATGTGCTTCAGGCCAGCATCCGGAATTAATCAAGATCTTTGCCAAAATCAACGAACACTACGAGTCCAAGTTGCGTTCTAGCAAGTTCAACTTGACGTACAAACTCGAGTGCGTCGACAACCAGACCAGAGCTGGGCGGATTCAGTTGCACCAGCAGTTTTTAAAGGACCAGGCCGACTTGAAGTTGAACTTGTTAAACGAAACAACTAAGGAGTGGTACAAGGTCAACCGTGAGAGACGTCTTTTGGATAACTTGGTTCCAGAATACAGCTACCAAGTGGCGGGGGTCTCCAGAACCAGCTTGGTCACCCAACGTAATAACCTCTTGCTTGAGATTGGGGAGTTGAACGGATTGAATTACTACCATGGATTCCCGGCTGCCCCTAACATACGGAGTGCAAATATCGGGGAGGTGGAGGACGACTTGGAAAGCATGGGCATCAAATCCGGTTGACAGCTGTCCAATCGATGCTTGTGTATCAAAGTAACGCCAAACCTGTTCCGCCTGCCCCATTAACGAAACCTTCAGTTCTACACATTATGCGCTTTGAATAATATTCTTTTAAAAAAGATGGCATAGTTAAAGGCAATAGTGAATGCTCTTGAGATCCTCCGAGTCTTCAACGATCACTAACGCAAGTCCTAACAATATCCAGCGCTGAAGGTTATCTGCCCGCATTATCAGTAGACGGGGTACCTAACAAAAGTCGTGGACGCTACAAATTACACGTGCTTGACAGCCCGAAATATTCGCAGGAACCTCAAATTTTCTTTTTGTGATCTTACGAATCGCTTTCTATCGTGACTGTTTTTCGCGCCTAGAGAACCTTACCGTCGCCAGGCTGCGAAAATTTCATTCTGGAGATTGAGTGCGTGGACCATAGTATGGGGGGGGGGGGCCACTCGATATTGCCATTTTAAGACTATGCTATACATGATTTTTATATAGAAAATTTTGGAATAGCCTAATAGTTAAATTCACATACAAAAGTATGTAATACGCAGTTATTATAGCATAAGAGTTCCCGAATATTCTTGTGGCTCAGCCAGAATCGGTCCCAAATGTCCGACATTGTGAAGACGAGTGAAACTTTACTCATTTGAGTGACATTTTGTTCATTTGAGTGACATTTGCTCAAACAATTACGGTTGTTTTGGGGATGGCAAAATTGATCTCTTGGAGATAGCTTTCTAAGCTCTCGGACTAATCTCGGATCCTTGCCGTTATCCATACATGCATCCGGGACTTTTATGATTCTCTCCTTGAACCTATTCTAACATCGTTTATAGTGAAGTACTTAGCCGCCTACTTATTGCTCGTTAACGCTGGTAACGCCACCCCATCTGTTGCTGATGTCAAGTCCGTCTTGGAATCCGTCTCCATCGAGGTTGAGGAATCCAAGATCGAAGAATTGATTGCCGGTGTTGAGGGTAAGTCCGTTGAAGAGTTGATCGCTGAAGGTAACACCAAGTTGTCCTCTGCTGGTCCAATCGGCGGTGCCTCTCCAGCTGCTGCCTCTGGTTCCGCTGCCGGTTCTTCTGCCGCCGCTGCCGAAGAAGTTGTTGAAGAAGCTGCTGAAGAATCCGATGACGACATGGGGTTCGGTTTGTTCGATTAAGCGCCAGGTTATAACTTATAATACTCACAATAAATGAAAAGCAAAGGGTTTCTCAGGTAGTTTTCTGTACAGCTTTCGAGATAGCGTTCTACGATTAGGCCGGCACCGTATCCTCTACAAGGGTGTCTAGCAATCACGTGTTATAAAAATAGGGGCTTAGGAAGAGGCACTTTCGATCAAAATACTCGGCTCGGTCTTACCGTCCAAGTAAGCCTCAACCACCTCCTTTCTGCTGGTCCAGGCGGCAACTTCGCTCAACTTGGTTTCAATCTCGTGGATCTCTTTCTCAACAGAGCTGATACCTTCGTCGGTACCCAAGGTAACAAACTCCCACTGCCCGTCTGGCTGAATATCCAACAAGTAGTCATGGTACTTGATCAACAAAGGTCTGTGGGACAAGGTAATGAAGGTAATCTTCTTCTTTTGCAACATTTCAAACAAATAGTCTTCAACATCACTGCTGACGGCATTGGTGGATTCGTCCAAGACGACAAACTGCGGTCTCTTGAAGACTACTCTGGCTAACGACATTCTTTGCTTCTCACCGCCACTGAAGACATCCTTCCAGTCCTTTTTGACCTCCCAGCCACCCTCTCTATCCAACAAATACTCCAACTTCACATCTCTCAAGACACGGTACAAGTGTTCGTCGGTGTACCCCATCCCAAGCATTTCGGCGTGAGAGAACGGGTAGATAACCTGGTCTCTTAAAGTGCCGCTGCTGAAGTAGGTCTTCTGAGGCAAGTAGTAGATGTCAGAGTCGTCCGGCTTGGACAACAATCCCCTGTAGATAGGCCACAAGCCAGCAATGATGCGCCCGATAGAGGTTTTACCGACACCGTTAGTTGCCAAGATCAACAAGTTCTGGGACTCCTTGATCTGGAAGGACAATTCTTCGATGAGCTGCACCCCTTCAGAGCCTTCACTAGATGGAATGATAACTGGCAACTTTTCAACTCTCAACCCGTGGTAGTTGGTTTGAATAGTGCCGTTGATGTCATTCTCCAACTTGTTTCCGTACTGGAAGTCACGCGAGTGGACCTGGTGCAAGTTGGACAACAACGAGAACACACGGTCGGTGTAGCCGGTCAATTCACTAATGTCCTTGATGGAGTACATCAATCTGGAACCCGCATCGGCCATGTTCAACATCAATCTCTTGTTCACAATGAACTGTCTCATGTTTTTTTCTTCATTCACCTGGTGCTTCTTGGAGCTCTTTTTGGATTCCGGAACAAAAAGTTCGTCCATAAAGATAGGAATGGAGGCAAACAAGTATCCCAAGGCGGACCAGGTGTATTTCAAGATGTAGTCTTCCAAGGCCGAGTAAGGCACCTTAACGGCGTGCTCCTTCTCGGAGTGTTTGGTCACCTGCAGGAAAATCTTGTTGATTCTCATCTTCTCTAACAACGAGCCCTTGTAGAACGCAATCTCCTCGCAGTTTGTGATCAAATTCAAGTGGGCGTTGTAGTAGTCACCCTCGAGCTCGGTTCTCTGCTTCGACAACTTGCCGAACGCCGGAGTGTTTCTCTTCAACACGTATCCGGTCAAGAAGTAGTTGGCAAAGAGCCCCACAATCCCGGCAGTCCCCAAGTTGTCTCTCAAGTAGATAGAGAAGAAGATCAAGTCCATCATCGGCTTCCCCATGCTGGTGAACAAATCACAGATGGAGTCACAGAACTTAGTAACGTCATTGGTGATGTACTGGTCGATGTTGGTGAGGTCAGAGTTGTTCAAGTCAAGCTTGTAGTAGATCATGCTCTTGTCCATGTACAAGTCATGGATGTATCTCATCAAGTTGGTTCTGAAGTTGATGGACAACCTGGAGGTCAAGAATTTGATTGCGGCGTTGGTATACGACGCAGGGAAGGCGATCGCAAACCAGTAGACCAAGTCGCGGATGAAGCTTCTCCCCTTACCACCAATGATGTCTTTAACGATCTGACCGTCCAACTTGGCAATCATCAACGACAACCAGGTTCTCAACACCAAGAAGAAGCACTGGGTCGCCAAGAAGTAGGAGTTTCTATGGAACACTCGCGGGATCAATATCTGCCAAATGATGATGATCTGCCTCAAGAACCGCGAATTGAAGATGCTGCTCTTCTCGTATAACTTCAAATCCTTCTGGAAGTTCTTGAACTTGAATTTGTCCGCCTCATAGACATCCATGTTCGGTCTGGGGATCGCTATGCGCACCTCTTTGTTCCCGCGGGGAATGTAGATAGCTCTGGCACCGCTTTTGATGATTGCCGACGACCGGCGCTTGAATGTATAGCGTCTGTTCGCCTGTCTCTCACGCATGTCATTGATGAGCTTCTGGACGGCGTAAACGACACCAACGACACCCGTGGAGAGAACGGTGGCCAAAAAAATCACCACATGCTTGGAGCGGTAGTCAATCTTTTTGTTCTCCTTCACATATTTGATAAACTCCTTCACGACAAAGATCAACTCCTGTCGCTTTTCGTAGAGCGTGGAGATGTTAATCATGCTGAATGATTTTGTCGATATTGGGATATAGAGTTTATTCGTCGATGCTGGAATAGAGGATTTATATGTCTTTGTATGTAGTGGGTAATGAATGGTTGGCGAGAAACAGCAAATGCCTGCTATTTTATAACACTAACGTGGGGCGGCCAACTCTATCACATGCAATCCTAACGTCCTGCTTGATGCCACCGCACAGACGCACGTGAGCGACCCCTCAGCGGGTCAGCTCTTCTCGCGGGGTACCATGACGGGTCACCCGGAATACAGCGGCGCTGGGCTTCACACGACCAAGGGCGGTTGAAAACATTTATTCCCTACTGCTTTGTGCCAGACATAAATAATTTACAATGGCTTACCAGATAGAGTTGATATCGTGCTGGATTCTATATACAGTGATTTCTCTTGTAGAGACCAACAAAAAAAAAAAAAATTGGGCAGAGCCTCCGGAATCGTAAATGTATGGTACAGCACCTTGACAGGTGGGGATGCGAATAGAGTACTTAAAGGTACTTGTTGAACAACTTGTTCAAGGTGGTCTTGTGGGTACCCTTGATAACAATCTTGTTGGAGGTGGTTTGGAGCTTGACATGCTGAGCCATGTTCTTCGGCAAGTTTTTCAACAAATCGGCCTTGAACTGGGCAGTGTCGCCCTTGATTCTTCTGATCCAGGTGTACGCAGTTTCGTGCTGGTACTTGACATATACAGGCCAGTTCTTCTTGTTGGTCTTGCCAACAAAATAGCTTCTCTTACCGAAGTTGGTGGCACCCGCCAATTCGGTTGGCTTGACGTTTTCCAAGGCTGGAAACAATTCGGCCACTACTTCCGCCGATGGCTTGAACCCGGTACGCGCGGTAGGGAGAATAACAGCAAATCTGACACCGATAGTTCTGGTTGGTAAAATGGTTCTCAACATCTTGGGGGGGTATTGACTTGTAATACAGGCCTGGTACCATCTTCATCAGCTTCTTTCATGCACCACTTTTTTTTTCCAGTATCGGGGCATGCTAGAAATTACACATGGTGTGGTATATTACGCAGGAGGGAATGTCGTGCTATTGTACACATAACCTATGAAGCCAGGACCCAGCTATAAAAAGGCACTTCAACCATGAGAAGACAAAGAAAATATAGGGATTAGCAGGGAGGGTATGTTTGAAAAGTAGACTTATTTTGGAAACCCTTTATTTTGTCAAGTGATGTTCCACTGTTCCAGGCCCTGTACGATAATAATTCTCACGCAATTTCAATTTAATACACGGTAAACGGGATTAGCCATCTAGTATGACCTAGATTGATGCCCCTGACCTACAAGGAGTAATGTTTATGCTTAGTTCTTCCAAATGTGATCGACCTATCGGCTACGTGCTTCCTATGTGAGAGGCTTTGGTTTCCGATTATTCGAATTCTATTATACAAATATATAAGCCTCTTGTGGCAACGAGAGTTTAGTGTGTCCACAATCTAACCTTCTTATCTTTCCCTGCACTCGCAACTCTCTTACCATCCACACTCCAGTCGACAGCGTAGACCTCATCTTCGTGGCCGGGCAAGTCGATGGACAACTTCTTGGTTCTGACATCCCAGACCTTCAATGTAGTGTCCTTGGAGCACGACACTAACAATCTGCAATCAGAGGACCAAGAGGTTTGGTAGACTGGGGCAACATGACCTCTGAAGGTGGCGATGAACTTGCCGTCTCTACCATCCCACAACTTGATGGAGTTATCGAAAGAGGCAGACACAATGTACCTGCCGTCTGGAGAGAAGGAGACGTGGTTAACCAACTTCTGGTGACCGGTCATTCTGCAGATTGGCTTGGAGGACTTGAGAGGCTCCCACAAGTACATGGTGAAGTCATCCGAAGCGGTCACCATTCTTTCAGAAATGTGACCATTGAGCTTGGCAACCTTCTCGTAGTTGGCCAAGGCCTTCTTCTGAGCTTCTTCGGGAGTGGCTGGCTTTTCACCGGTATGGTCAAAGGCACCCATTCTCAAGACGTGGTCGGTGGAGAGAGCCAAATGGTTAACCCAGTGGGCATGCGACTTCAAGGTCTGTACGCATCTACCGTCATTGCCGTCCCAGGCTTTGATGGTCTTATCGTGGGAAGCGGAGTAGATGGTACCGCTGCCACTCCACTTCACGCAGGAGATAGCAGAGGTGTGGCCACTCATGGTGAAGAGAGGGATTCTTCTGGTGGTGTCCCAGATCTTGATGGTACCATCCTTGGAACCGGAGCAGAGTCTTGGTTTTGCACCTGGCTTGACCAAGTGGATTGGCTCCCAGCACAAGGAGGAGATCCACTTGGAGTGACCCCTCAAAGCCTCACCCAATGGTTTACCCTTGTCGGCTTCCCAGAGTCTGACGGTGTTGTCCATGGAACCGGTGGCGATAACGGAGCCATCTGGAGACCAACTGACACATAAAACCCAGTTGGTATGACCAGACAAAGTGTGCATGGGAGTGGAAGTCAAACAGTCCCAGATACGGGCGGTAGAATCACCGGCACCGGTGACCATTTTACCGGAGGTGTGTGGAGCAAACTGAGCAGCCAAAATAGTGGAACCGTGTCCGGCAATCGCGGCACACGATCTGGTGATGGGCTTGACTTTGAAAACCGCTCTTGGGGTATACACCAAGGTCATAAAGTCTTCGGTGGTCTTGATGCCCGGCTTCAACACGGACGCGTATATGTTGTCTCTAATGTCCACCAAGGAGGAGTCCGTTTCACCATCCTTCTGGTTCAAAAGCGAAAACTGGTATGGAACAGGGTCTTCGCTATCACCATGCAACTGGTTCAACAATTGCTCTAACTGCTTTTCGGTGATACCACCTGGGACTCTGATCGAGCCACCGATGGATTCACCAGTATCGGAAGCCTGGAACTTGATCAACACATTTGGCAAATCTTCTGGGATGAGATCAAGTTGTCTTTCCTTTTGGTCTTCACGCTTTTGCTTCTTGGATGGTGGGGGGATAACGGTAGCCATATTGTGTGGGCAAGATTATTTCACGGCTGATTTATTAAACTTTTCACCCAAATATCACTGCTTATTTTTTCGTACTCTTTTATTATTTTTTTCGTCATGCATGCAGGCTATCCGAAGCAGCTCATCGCATAGGGTAACACCCAGACGCATAGGCTGCATGTTGCATATGTGATTCGACGTTTTCCGATCAACGGTAGAAAACGAGGGCTTCTCTTCCCTTCCTATACGATATGGATAAACATACTGCCAGTGTATTGAGGTTGCTAGTACGAGCTCTGTACTGCAAGGGACCTAGTCCACGGCAACCCGCATTCACCGTATACCAACCATGGCCTCCCTAACTACCGCCTTCTTCCTTACAGATTCTCCTTATCAGAAGTGTAAATAACAATGTTTAGTTTCGTGGTATAAGCCAATACTCGCTAGGACATTCTTAGTGCCCGACGAACGCATTAATTTGCTTATGAAAATGGCATCCGTGCCGCCTGAGCTTCAAACTGCGTTGGTCTACGTTATGCTTCCGAGAGATCCGACGAGCTCCCGCCATCACACACACCAATCGCCTCCATCCGAATCGCCCGGATCCATGGGTCGTCCAACAACTCCACCGCTGTCAGCCGCCTCGCCGGATCGTGCTCCAAGCACTTCGACAAGAAGCTGCGCCCGGTCTCACTCAATTGGTCTGGATTCGGGAACTGCGGCTTGTGACCGGCCGCGATATGGTACATGATAGCCCACTCGTTGTCTAGATTCGCCCATGGGCGTCTGCCGGTCGCCATCTCGAGCACACAGCACCCTAACGACCAGATATCGGTGCTGCCACTGCGACCGCCAGAGCCTCCGGTGATCACCTCCGGCGACATGTACATCGGCGTCCCGGTCATGCTGTTATTCATCTCTGTGGCCGGTGTAACGCCGCGGGTGTTCATTCTAGTGCGTCCACTCGACGCAATAACTTTAGCGGCGCCGAAATCCACAAACTTGATCACGCCGTTATGGTCCAAAAGAATATTCTCGGGCTTGATGTCCCTGTGCACGATGTTGCTCTGGTGCAAGTAGGCAATCCCTTCCAACATCTGCAACGCGTAGACCTGGATCACAAACTCGTCCTCAATGCGCCCGTGCTCGAGCAACCCGGCCAAAGAGCCACCCTCACAGAACTCCATGAAAATGTACACCTTGTCGCGATGCACCTCCACTCCGTAGTACTGTACTACGTTCGGGTGGTTGAGCATCTCCAACACCGTCATTTCATCCTTGATGGACAGCGCAATCTGCTTGACAGACTGCGAGTCGTGGAACCGGATCTCCTTCACGGCCATCACACCCCCGGTATCCAAATTTACCGCCACATAGACGCTCCCAAAGGTCCCGCCGCCGATGAATTTGCCCTTTTGCCACCTGATCGACACGCTTGAGAAAGACGACGCGAGATACGTCAAGTACTGGTTGTCGTAGTCCGTGTCGTCCAACACCTTGCCCACAGAACCATCCTTCATGCGCTCCAACACCCTCCGGGCATCCAACTCGTTCATCTGTCTTGCACGTTCCGCGGACAAGGCCGCAAAGACATCGTCGTCCACATCGGTTTCGCGGTTCTGGTTCGACCACTTCAGCGCGTTGATCTTCTTTGCTTCGCTGGACCGCGCGCCCATGATGTCGAAGTGCGAGATCAAGAGCGACATGCACCCAGCGACCTTCAATTTGAGCACGTTAAACTGCGACTCCGACAACGTGAGGATGTTGTAGCCCTTAGTCATGGCCATACCAAACTCCAACGCCTGCACGCACCACTTGAACGTCTTGCGGTCGGTACGGATGCAGTCGTCGCACACAAAGCTCACCCAGTCGATGGATAGCTGCACGATCTTGGAGTGGAACGACGACCGCTTGGCCATCTCGATCGTACGGAGGTGTTCGCGGCCGCCGTCGCGTGCGAAGATGAAGATCAGGTTGATCAACGCCTGGCAGTTATACCCCTGACACTGGCGTCTGATGATTGCCGGCGCCTCCAACATCACGTAGATTAGCTTATTGTAGCTCTTCTCCATCTTCATAAGTTCGTGTTGGACATTGTGCGCCGAGCAGCGCGTCTCCACGGAGGGGCCGATCGAGTCGCCCACGCCGTCCAAGAACGTGCGCTTCAACAACTTGAGCTTCTCTGCCATCGAGAGCTTACGTCCCTGCTCCACCTCCAGATCGTAGTCCTCCGACGGGTTGGGCCCGATGAGCAACAAGCGCCCGGGCTTGATTTCGATGTTGGGGGCCTTTTCCAAGCGCACCTCGAGCTGCGCCCCCTCCCACACAAGAATCTGCGGCGTGCAAATCGCGAGCACATAGCAAGCGGGGTCGAAAGTCTTCTTGATCTCGTTGTGGATGTAGACGTTGTCGAACTCGCGGTGGCCGGTCAACCACCTGCCGTAGTTGGCGGGGGTCTCGCTGCTCGCGCCGAGGTACGAGGCAGAGATAATGCTCTCGATCTCCTTGTACCGGTACCACAACGGTGCGCTCGCAAGGTAGTACACACCCTTGCTCTCTTCGTAGTCGGTGCGCACGAGGAAGTGATCGGTATTTTTGAGATTGTCCAAGAACCGCTTCATGGTGCCCTGTTTGAGCTGGAAAAGCACGGCGTTCTGGAACGTGTCGTGGAGGTGGCGCTTAAACCCCGAGAGCTTACGCTTCATCTGGCCGATGTTGACCCGGGTGGTGGTGTACCAGCGCGTGAGCTTGCTCAGGCCTAGCGGCGGGCCGCGAAGCTGGAACTGGAAGTAGTTCAACAACCGCACGATCAACTTGTGCGTGAGGATCGTGAACTGCTCCGAAATCTCGGCACCCCCCTTGCTGAGCTTGAACCCAAAGTCTTTAAAGTGGTCCCAGAGCTCCATGAGCTCGTCTGGTTCCTTGAACGTGCGGAAGCTTTTAGCGGACCGGGAGCTGTCGAGCAACTTGCGGCTCAAAAGCGTAAGCGAGAAGTGCGCGCCCTCGAGGATCGCCTTGTCGAGGTTGTGGTCCAAGGAGCTGTCGGTCTTCCAACCTTCCAGCGGTAAACAGTAGTGCATGATACCCTCACGCACCTCCAACGCAAGCTTTAGGTACGACTTGAAGTCTCCGAGCATCTGGTCAATCATCATCATTGTTGGGTTGGTGAGTTTGCGTGCGTACGCCAACCGCACCTTGATCACTTCCTTGATGAGATCCATCGGGAACCGCACAATCTCCGACACCTGCGGGAGAAAGTCCGGAAGCCCGAGCTCCTGGTAGAGCGCGCCGTACTGGATGTAGGAAATCTTGGCCTTGACAATCCACGGCACCAAGTGCTGCATCATCCGCTTGTAGAACACCGTGTCCATGTCCTTCTCCTTCATCAAGCGTTCAGCAAACGAGTTGTCGTCGGTGAAGAGCGAGCTGTCGGTGGCAGGAGCGGTCGTTACCGCTGACACGTCGAGCTCCTCGTTGCCGATCCACTCGCGGAGCATTTGGATTTCGCGGTGCACGGACTCGGTGATGGTCTTCCACGATGCGAGCGCGCCGATGCGGTCCTGGAACTCGTTGCTGGCGCAGATGGGCTTATCGCCGCACATCTGCTTCTGATCACCCCATAGCTCGGTGACCTTGTCGTACTTCTGGAGAATCGCGGTGACCTGGGCGTTGGCGGCATTCATGGCATTACCCAAGGCTATGCCAGCGCTGGCTTCGCTTTCACTGATCAATTCAGCGCTGGTAAAGGAGTTGACCGAGGCAGTTGTATCAGCGGCGACCTCGCTAACCCTAAACAGCATGATCTCGCTGATGGTCTCATCCGCGACGGTTCGGGCATATGACAAGAACCTCTTCTGCTCGTCCTCCGACCGCCCGAAAAGCTTGGAACGCACACCGATCCACACCAACTCTCGGTACAACTCCTGGAAGTACGCCTTCTCGTCGTCGTACGACCGTTCGCGCTCGTTCAGTGAGATCTTGGTCTTCTCGCTGGTCAAGACCTCACCTTTGAGCACCGACGCGAGCATCAGTTGCCACTGGAGGCGCTCCGACACCACGGACTCCTCGTCCAACGACGCATGCTTGAACATTGTCGGGTACAACATGCTGGGGTCAATGTGGTATGCGTCCGAGTCAATCTCCGGCATGAGCCGGTCATCGCTGAGTGCCCCGTGCGGGTCATCGTCGTCGTCAGGGTCCGATTCTACCTCTGACTCGTTCCCCACGGGCACAATTGCCTTTGTGTAGTAGTCGTCGACGAAGTTGGTTTTCATCTTCTTAAGGTACGCCTTTTCCTGCGCCAAGTACTGCGTATTGAGCTGGAGGTTTTTGGTGGCGCTGCTGCTGCTGAGCCGTGGGCGGAATGGCGGCGGCGGCTTCTTCGTAACGTTGTTGCTGGACGGCTTGCGCGAGAGCGTGTGCGGAAACGCGTTGTTGGAGGACGGCTGGCGCACCGGCTTCTGCCTCTCGGAGCTGCCGCTCCGGGGATTGGCGTCCATGCGGTGGTGGGTGCTTGGAGCGGGCGAGAGTATCACCTGCGACGCCGTCATCGGCGGCGGGGTGTGCGGCTGGATATTGGCCGTGGACCCGCGTCTGGAGCGCGGCTCGCTGGGCGAGTCCAACTTGAGTTTCTGCAACTGGGAGTCAATCGTGGACATCAGGCTTGGGGCGAAAGAATGGGTACTGGTATGGTTCCGATTGTGGTTTCGGTGGTTGGAATACTAGAACGGTCCGATAGTAGGCCAAGGCTAAATGGCGGTGCGGTGGTTCAATGTTGCCAAAATAGAATAGGGTTGCTTCTTTGAGATTTTGTCTCTAAGTAGAATCACTATTATTGCAGGTCTCTGGTGTAAGTGAAAGTATACTTAGGTGTATCGGTATGGGGGCAGACCTAGACTTCCGGTTGAGGTTACTCTTTAGCAGACGCAATCTATCGATAATAAATCCGGCCTGGGGCTCTTGTGTTTTTGAGCGGTAGTGCGGTTAGCAAAGTAGCCCATCGTCCCTAGAGCCGCGTTTCGCTAGACTCGGGTGTGCGCTTACCAGAGGTGCGGTAGAACGACCGACAGCTCTTCAGTGCTGTGGCAGGATGTAATTGCGCTGAGAGTCATGTCGCCCCAGCTGCACTATTTGCACCGTCTATATTTTATAAAGTGCCTTATTTGACCCACTCTAGTTAAGTGAGTCAATAAAGGCATATGTATTGGATAATCCAGTGCGGGCCCGAAACTTCTTGTTAGCTTCATTTTGAATGCTACAAAATAAATCCCATAGTCGGAGAAGATGGATCGAGAGGTGAAATATATACAAAATTACATCCTTCCTCTTTGTCAGGATGAACCTAAATTACAAAGTTTCAAGTTTTAAAATGACAAGAAATAGCCTAAGCCTGCTATTGGTATTTCAGACTGTTTTCGTATTTTCGTAGTATACTCACGGGCCCGTATCCCAGTGCACTTAGGCTCGACTGTGTCTAATCCTACCCTTGCCTAGACAAGTAACTGTAATCTATGTTTTTAAGTAGCTGAGGATTTCAAGAGTAAAGGTATTGCTTCCATAACGCCGGAGGATGAAGGGTAGCTCGTATATAACCAGTTTCACCTGCTCCTTAATCTTATCGCAAGGTTTTGAACCCCCTAGAAGTATTCATCCAAGGCTATACAACTTTAATATGAAGACAATAACGAATACCACGTGTGTAAACTCAACAAAGGGCATAATATTTCAATACTTGCATCACTATATAATCGGTAATACCTCCGCATGTATGCTCTTTATCCTACTCTAAAAATAGCCCTTCGGGGCTGTTCAGTTAGCCTTTCCTCTTACCCTCTGCTGTACTAGCCCCAGAATACATTTGCCTCCACTACTCCAATCATTATATATTTGCGAATACCAGCCAAAGTGTCACACGAGTATAACGCACCCTACCTAGGTTTCAAACACCCCAATCTCTGCGGCTCGTGACAGATCCACACGTGAAAAACGAAAAGGATGCAGGTGGCATTGAATTTAAGCAGTGCACAACAGACTCGACCCAAACCTCCGTCCTTAACATACCGCCCTCTGCGCCTTATATACCTTCTCATTCCTTTACACACACCATGGGCACGTCCTTCATATGTACGTCCTGATCCCATCCCGCCCGATACACTACTAACCCTCCAGCCAACGGCGAGCTAGATCGGTGCCTCGAGCGCTTGTACCGCAAGGAGTTGCTCCCGGAAGTGACAGTGCAGGCACTCTGCGCAAAGCTTAAGGAGCTCTTGATCCGTGAGAGTAACGTGGTGTATATTCTGACGCCGGTGACGGTGGTGGGCGACATTCACGGACAGTTCTATGACTTAATCGAAATCTTCCGCATCGGCGGCTACGCGCCTGACACAAACTACCTCTTCCTAGGGGACTATGTGGACCGAGGAATGTTCTCGGTCGAGACGATCACACTCCTCATTTGCCTCAAGATCCGCTACCCCGAGCGGATCAACCTCGTTCGCGGCAACCACGAGTCGCGTCAGGTCACGCAAAACTACGGCTTCTACTCCGAGTGTTTGAAGAAGTACGGCTCCACCAAGACCTGGTCCTATTTCACGGATGTGTTTGATTATCTTACACTCTCAGTCGTTATCGATGATGCCATTTTTTGCGTGCACGGAGGCCTCTCGCCGAACGTGCACACCATCGACCAGATCAAGGTCATCGATCGCTTCAAGGAGATCCCACACGAGGGTATCATGGCAGATTTGGTATGGTCGGACCCCGATGATGAGCGGCCCGACTTCAGCCTCAGCCCTCGCGGTGCTGGGTACACCTTCGGCGTAGATGTGGTGAAGAAGTTCTTAGCAATAAATGGCTGCGACAGGATTCTCCGTGCGCATCAGTTGTGTAACGAGGGCTTCCAGAACTACTTCAAGGGTCTCGTCACGACTGTTTGGTCTGCCCCCAACTACTGCTACCGCTGTGGTAACAAAGCCTCCGTGCTCGAGTTGTACGACCGGTACAACCAGCATTTTAACGTATTCGATGCGGCGCCGGAGAACGAGCAAGAGCTTGCCAAGATGCTCGATGATACTGGCGAGTACACCCGGTCCGCCCCTGTCGAATATTTTTTGTAAACCTCTTGGTTCCTTTTCTTCGGATGTATTACTACGCTTTTTTTTTTTTTTTTTTGGCTCAAACCCCACTTTCACACTGCATGCTGCACTAATGAGTAATAAATTAATGATATGATGGGATGTAGTGCTAAACAGGATATGAACTAGTATAAGGCTATTTGTATATCTATATGTAGAGCCGGAGGTATCGATTCTAGTGATTCTAATCTTGATACGAATTATTATGATTTTGATTTGAAAGCTGATCTGTTATAGTTAACCTATACATTCGTATATAGGTATTATCTATATATTTTAAAATAAAACACATAAATATAAGCTCAAAAGCACGCTGATATATATATATTTCGATATCTAAAGGTTTTATCAATGCAAATATTGCATTAGCGGCACGGTCGGTGTTTCGATATCGCTTACGCACAATTCGAATTTCCTGCATTATACTTAGTGTGAAAAAGTGGTAGTGGACGGGCAGGGATATGACGTGAGTATACGATTTATGCCCGAAGCTACGACCTTCCTGTAGGGGAAATTATCTCGAGGCTCTAGACGCTCCGCAGCAGTAACAACACTGATACTTTCCCTTAGACCATAAACATTAATCTGCCACACCCAATTTCACCCTATCTAATATCTGAAAAGTTCGTAATGGACCCCCCACTTTCTGATCCCGAGTCTAGCTCCTCCAGTGTCCTGTCATCGCTACACCAGCTCACCCACCAGTATCGTTCGCAAACACTCCAAGACTCTCTTGCCTCCAGTCACTCCCAGTTGCTTGAATCGCAAAGATTCCAAAGCGAAGTGCCGCCCGAACATGAAAGCCCCTCCGATGAGAGCGAAGAACCACTTCTTTCGTCCTCGTCCCCCTCCAACCTAAATGCCAGCACTTCTGCCTCGCTTTCGCCCGAACAACCAGACAATCTATCCGACTCTCCGGTCGATAAAACAGAAGATACCACTGAACTACGTCTCCAGGATCATCTGTCTGGCTCGTTGGCGGTAACCACGGAGCGCCTACCGCCCACCCCGCTCCCGGAAAAGGAGAAGATAACGATTCGGTTCCAGGCAATCGGGGGCGCCCCGCCGATTCTGGTCAAAGTATTTAAAATATCCCGCAACCAGAAATTCTCCGTTTTGAACAAGTTTCTCCACAAAAGAGTCTATTCCAATCGAGGCAACCGAAGCTCTCCTGAACCGGAGGGCCGTAAACAGCTTTTCTTGTACCTACACAACTCTTTTGCTCCTAACGGAGACGAAGTGTTGGGAAACCTTTTCAGTTTATTCAAGGTGGGGGACGAGTTAATCGTGAGCTACTGCTTGAACGTGGCTTTTGGATGAGCGCAAGGCCCCTTTACTTCGCGATAGCTACAGCGCCCAGTGTGCTCAGAGATACAATATTTGCACAGTGCTTTAGGCCATGAAGTCTGATCGATTTCAACCATACACTGAAAGAAGCTAAAATATCGAGTAGCGGTCTCTCATATATCCCGCCTGCAATTAATCCCTAAACTCTGAGTGGCCTTCTGGTCACGTGCTGATAAAGGATTAGACACGGAAAAATAGAGATGAAAAAATGTGTTTGACAATCAAGGGTGGCAACGACTTCACCAGACCCCTAAACGCCACACACGATGTCTTCCAATATCTTATCCGTCTTCAATCCACCGCCCTCGCGTGATCTCACACCAGAAGAGTCCAAGGATTGTCTTCCGTGCCAGATCCTAGGTGGTTGCGGGGCCCTTATCGGCGGCACTTACTTGGCCACTGGGCTTGTGTTCAGAGGCGAAAAGCCTGGGATCAACAGCGCGAACTACAAAATGTGTGTCAGAGGTTTGGGTGTGGGGGTTATTGGTTGGGGGTTCTACCGATTAGGGATGGGGTTTTTATGGGATAAGGAAAGAGAGTATAAAGATTACTTCTAGGACGTCTGAACAGTTCCCTTCGACGTCTTCCTTCGTTTGCTGTTTCGTATATAGATTTCTGTTCCTGTACATATTTTCGAATACCATCCGCGGGGACTCCTTCAGCGCGCCTTTATTCAAGACTTCAGTTAGCATAGACCGCCCTTACGGGGATATAAACCCGAGTAGGGGCTAGATCGTAACAGGCTCCCTATTTGGAATCCACAATCCTCGCTATCAATAACCCAGAAAACTCGATATTTAGACGCTAGTATAGTTTTCACCATTTTAATCAAAATCTATGGTTTGTTTCTAAAACTGCTTCTAGAGGAAAGCAGGCCACAAACGGTTAGGATCTCTAGCTGCATGAGTTGACTAACCTTGACCCCATATGTCACCTTCACGATATCCGAGGCACTTCTAAATGGAAGCGCCGTATCGTATGTCCTATCGCCATCTAACGAGTGCGGGGGAAAAGAACCATACAGAAATCTGCAGCGGGCAGGCCTAGTTTGAAGCACCTCGATAAGGAATTCCCCGCAAGTATGAAAAGCTTCCCTAAATGTTACGTGATATTATAACCATTACCAATGGATATTATTCCGGGAAAGAGAGGAATGGATTTCTAACACGGGAAATGTTTATGCTTCCTGTTTGTCCTTCGAGGTCACAGAATATAGAAAAACAGGCGCCAAGGTGTGACTTATTCACATCTGTCCAATCAGCTTCACGCCTAGTGAATGAAATACGTTATGTATGCTTATCTGTACCTTGACTGCGTTAGGGTGACTAATCTTCGAGAATACGGTTGGATTCGCGGGTTTCACTCTCCAGCATAGTCTATACCAGAAATTAAACCGTGGCAGATCTAGATTTATCACCTAGTCACATGTCATACGTCATCCACACTTTCCGCTCGCCCTTAGCACGCGCAGTTCTTATCAGATATGCACATAGACGCCTGCCACATTTATGCCGGAGATTGGCTGCTTATCCGAAGGGGGGACAGGAAAAAGAAAGCAAGTGGCAGGCATAGGGAGGGGTTATACAGCTCAGTTTGCCTGCACACACCGTCATCTCCGACAGCGCCACCTCAATATTCGCAATAGCAAGAGCGTCGTTGCGATAGGAGACGCTGTAAAAGTATATAAAGCTCCACGTCTACCGTTGTTTCAACTCACTTCCCCTTTCCCCTTCCCCCCCAAATCTATTATTTTAACAGCTGATACTCCATTCGGCCTTATTTTAATAGTACCAACGCTGTATCACCCATAAAAAAAAGTCTCCCGTAATAAACCCATCTTTCCCCAGTCATGTTGTTAACTAGATCGTCTCAAGTGGCCATTGTCTCCACTTTACTTGCCGCCCAGCAGATCAACGCTCTTGTGTTGCCAAACTTGGGTGAGGCTGCCGCCGAAGTCTTCAGAGTGGAACCAGCCGCTCTCAACTCCATTGACGAGGTTGCCAACATAATCGAATCCTCCTTCAATGCTGCGTCCAACAAGATTGCTTCCAAGTTGAACATCGAGTTGTTTGCCGAGAACCAGGAATCCAAGTTCGCCCCTGTGTTCCAGAGCCAGAACCAGGAAGATATCATCAAGGACAAGTACATCATCGTCTTCAAGTCTGATGTTGGTGCTGACGTCATCGATTTCCACCAGAACTGGGTTGCCGAGGTCCACTCCTCTCACGTGGGCAAGTTGCACCACAAGAGAAACGGCAGACAGCACCCATTCTTGAACAATTTGAAGCAACAGTCGATCGCCGGCAACGGCGGCTTGTCCGATGTCTTCCACATCGAAAACGCTGTCAGCGGCTACATGGGCCACTTCTTGCCACAAACCATTGAAATGATCCGTCGCCACCCAGCAGTGGCCTTTGTTGAAAAGGACTCTTACGTCAAGGCTATTAACTACGACACTCAGGCTGACTCACCATGGGGCTTGGCCAGAATCTCCCACCGCGAGCCATTGAGCTTGGGCTCTTTCAACAAGTATATCTACGACACTGATGGTGGTGAGGGTGTCACCTCCTACATCATTGATACCGGTATCAACGTTAACCACGAGGACTTTGAGGGCCGTGCCAAGTGGGGTGCGACCATCCCTCAGGGTGATGCCGACGTAGATGGCAACGGCCACGGTTCTCACTGTGCTGGTACTATCGGTTCCAAGCACTACGGTGTGGCCAAGAAGGCTTCTTTGGTTGCCGTCAAGGTGTTGCGTTCCAACGGTTCTGGTTCCATGTCTGACGTCGTCAAGGGTGTTGAGTACGCTGCCAACGCCCACTTGAAGGCCGTCAAGGAAAACAAGAAGGGTTTCAAGGGCTCTACCGCCAACATGTCTCTTGGTGGTGGTAAGTCTCCGGCCTTGGACTTGGCTGTTAACGCTGCTGTTAAGGCCGGCATCCACTTCTCTGTTGCTGCTGGTAACGACAACGCCGATGCGTGTAACTACTCCCCAGCGGCTGCTGAGAACGCCATTACCGTCGGTGCTTCCACCATTGGTGACTACCGTGCATACTTCTCCAACTACGGTAAGTGTGTTGATATCTTTGCTCCTGGGTTGAACATCTTGTCCACCTACATTGGTTCCAACCTGGCCACGGCCACCTTGTCCGGTACCTCCATGGCTGCGCCTCATGTTGCTGGTTTGTTGAGTTACTTCTTGTCTTTGCAGCCTGGCGCCGACTCTGAGTTTTTCGAAGCCTCATCCGGTGTTACTCCGGCCCAGTTGAAGAAGAATGTCATTGCCTTTGGCTCCAAGAACGTCTTGGATGACATTCCAAACGATGGAACTCCAAACATCTTGATTTACAACGGTGGTAACAAGAACCTTACTGAATTCTGGGGTACCACTACCCCATCCACCGCCGACGTGAAGGCTGTCGACTTGAAGGACTTGGAAACCAAGATTGACAGTTTGGTTGAGTCTGCCAAGGATGAATCTGAGCACTTGCTCGCTGAGATTAAAAAAATGGTCTCGAGTGCATTTGCCAAGTATTAGACCGGCTTATTGCCAATGATTCATTATATGCTTCATCGCCCCCTTTAGTTCTCTTTAGTTTTTGTCTTGGTTTTATACGTATACTTTTTCTTAATACGCTCTGCTTATATCGGTGCTTGCAGCGCCAAGTAGATCTAATCGTGTGTGTTCTTAGCGCTGGCATAATTGTTTTCTAGGGTTTTCGAAACCGGGAAGGCGTGGTTGCGATATTTGTCTGGTGGAGGGGGTATCCGTTTGAATTTTTTTGCAGTCTAGCAATTGTTCCACACGCTTAACCAAACAGGATTTGTCTATAAAGTTAATACGAATATGAAAAAAAAGACATAAAACGAATGCGTTGCATAAAACTATTTACAATAAAACCATCAGTGGATAAGCAATGTCGAGGATGTGGACCAGGAGAGGGTGCGTTAGATGGAATGGCGGGGGTTAGAACAGAAGCAAAAGGTAGGACGTAAAGGAACAGCGGTGAAGATAGGTACAAAAAAGCACAGAAAAAGGGAGACATTAGAAAAGCAGAGTCATGAGCAAAAAATAAAGCAGCGGTATCAAGGGCAGACCTCTTCCTCCTTCCACAAATCCTGTCCTTCTTCCTTCGCGATGATCCATCTGCTATCACCTGAATAACCGAGTTTTACGTAGTCAACCTTTTCGACAAATAAGCACACGACCCCGAACCTAGCCTGACCTTCGGATTCCTTGATGCCGTCAACGCCTCTAGCGATCTTGTCTAACAAGGAGCGTTTTTCGGAGTCAAGGGCAGAGCCGGGGCACGGCTTTCTAAAAGAGGATCTCAAGGAGCGAGATAAGCTGCTCCAGTGTCGGGTGAATTCGGCGTTCCATTCATCTGTTGTTGGTGCGATGAGTCTCAAGGGGAGTTCGTGTAGATTGGCGAAAGACTGGGTCTTATCGACGCTGTGGCTGGTCAAGTTGGTCAACACCTGGCGAGACACAAGGGGGTAGACAATAGGCGTGTTAAAAAACGACTCTGGACATGGAGATTCGCTGCGTTGCACGGGTACCGATGGTTTGATGTTGAAGGAGAGGCCCGGTTCGTCGTTGCCCGACCCTTTGTCCTCGTTGTCATCGTCGCTGTTGGAGCTATTATGAGTGGAGATGTCTTCGTCGTCAATATGCAAGTGCGTTGGCAACTTTACCACCGGATGGTGGGTCTTGCTCAACACCTTCGCTCTTCCTTGGAAACGGAACTGCAGACTGGAGCTTGGGAGGTAGAAGACGGCCTCAAAGCGGTCGTTGTATCTCAACTGTTCAATCTTTTCCAGTCTCAAGTCAGTTGTAAAGGTTAAAATATTGGTTTTGTGATCGTCAAAGAGAAAGCCCCGGAACACACAGGTCCTGGAATGCGGAAACCCCTGAGCATCCACAGTGGCGAGCTGGAAGGAGATAAATGGGGCATTTGGTTGCTCGGCCTCAAGAGCAGACTTAAACGATGGCACCCAAGAGGCCATAATCTGGAGTTGTTGAAGCATTCAAGGTCAAATGAGTGAAAAATATAGTGTACGGTGGGCGTGTTCTGGGCCCTTTTGTTGTATGCGATTTCAAGATTCGGATGTTATCCCACTTTGGTCTCACTATTTTTTCGGGAGTATTAATTTTTCTAGGCGGCGTTTTGTATGCACAAGGCTCTGCGGAGTTTGAAGATTTAGGGGCGTGGCGCTTAGGAGAGAGTGCTTAGAGGGCCTATTTTGGAGAAAGAGATACGGCTAGGGTATTGCTTGATTTCAGAGATTTATCGTTCAACGGATATTATATATTGTGCCTGACTACGGGGATCTTCCAGTCTAGTAGAGCTGAAAATCCCTGGTGGTTCCGCTGCCCCTCTGAATATGCACGCTGGGTGCGCACGTGTGTACTTACAGAAGAGGGGTCGCATGATGTCCACTTCGACGAGGGCGTGACAAGAATCTCTAGACACGCATTATCCTTTCACCTATTTCCTTTGCTTGGAGATCCATTTTCTTTCATTACCCATGTAGTAAGAGTGTTGTTTTGAGTGTTGTTTTAAGTGTGTAGGGCGAAAGTACTATACTGCTAATCGTCACCCAAACATCCAGTCAAACCTTAACACCGGGGATTAATTCGCAACTACTGAAGGATTGGTCACCTCACAAGACAGGATCCGGAATCCCCGTTTCCCAGCACCATGCAGCTGGTACGATACAGAAGGTTTTGCGCGTTCTAAACCAGAAAGCTTGAGCCAAAGTTTAATAAAAAGAGCAGATATCCCTAAAGGCCTCACGTGAGCTTTTAAAGGAAAAGATTTTCCTACACGCCCTTATGTGGGATAGCTTCCGAGCATTAGGTTTACTTTTTCGGCTAGATCTAAAATCGAAGATTCCCTCTCCAGTCATAACACGTGGGTGGCCGAACTTTATGTTTCTCAAGCACGCCTTATAAAGCAGTACGGTACGCTCAGTCGCACGGCATGCGGACGTAACGGGATGCCAATTTATGCCGTACGTGTACAACAGGAACTATGCTTATGCCGGCAAGTTTAAGCTAAACTGGCAGCTTTAGGAAACTCATCGTCTTAAATATTATAGTTACATATCCGACCAGGAACCCCGCTGCATGGAACTCTTCTTGCCAGGACTATTGGAATCTTTTTCTTATCCATTTTTGTAAAGCGGTAGCCACGGCAGAGGGTTTCGAGTCGTCGAGCTTGGGTTGTTGCAAGACCATGTATTGTTTCGCTTTAAACTTAGAGACCCAGCGATTCGATTAGCTTCCACCGATGGAAATATACTACTAATGGCGTGCCTGGCATCCGGAGTCACCGATGGGCCATCGCACAAAGCCTAAACGACCCAAACAGTCAATACTGGTGGCGTCAAGCGCGCACCCTACCGAATTTTGTTCAATTGTCACTTATAGTCCCACTAATATACATGCCCGTACGGGCTCTTGGGGGGTTCGCTATTCTTCGTCTTCCTCCAACTCATCTTCATTCCAGCTGGTCTCCACGGTCTGCTTCACACGCTTCACGTACTGCGATCTGTGGTCCTTATACAAGTTCGCGGCTTCCACGTTGGCGGGCGAACTGATGTTAGGGTCGTTTAATAACGACTGCACGGAGGTTAGGATACTGGCCACATCATACGTAGGAGACCAACGATTCTGCAAGATGTCGAGACACAACTCACCGGAGGCGTAGACATTTGGATGAAACATCTCGGAGGTGAACTTGACGGTTGGCGGCTTGTTCGGGTACTGCTCGTCGAACTGTAAAACCAAGCGGAAGGTCCCATCCTCGAAGGGGGTGTCCGCTGGACCGATAATCACCGCGTTCCAAGACATGACATTATCTGGCAACGGAGAGGCAGATACACCGGAGGGGGCATCCTGCTGCATACGCTAGTTCGTGTTAGTATTATCCGGGAGTAGGAGGCCGCGTGACTCCGAAATGGCCAAAGAGCGTGGATCATTGTCTTTGACCAAAACCTCAGCCTCCTGGTTTTGGCCCCGCGTCTGTACATACCTTAAAATCGCGCATAAGTCTTCTTCTGGCGGGTGTGGACATTATGGTTGGCTAGGTGAAAGATAGGCGGTGTAGTGGGGCCGTGGATGGGAATAGAAAGGTGCAGCGAAAGTATATGGCTGGTTATTCCCCTGCTTCGGATGACGAACGTGGCAATGTATATGGCTCGTGGCGTAGATGACGTGACGCTGGCTCGAGTATAAGGTTGATATCGTATCTTCTCCGCCATTCTATTCCTGTATCGATGCTCACGTCAATAGTTTTCCAATGCCCTATAGCGAGTAAACAACTCACATGGGTGGCGTGCACCAGCGCACGTCCTTTTGGATATCACACGCCCTTTCCAAGCAAGGAGGCAGGACTCGTACCCGGGGTTGGTCCCGAGATATACACAAGGCCATGCACAGTGGCTGTAACCTAAAATACTTCTACTGGCTCAGAAGAGCACGCCGAGCACAACTGTATACATACCCACGCCTTCCATACCTTCAAGCATCTTCCACGTTTGGTTCTCGAAAGATAAACCTCTCAATGCTGGCTCGACTCCTCCAAGTGAGGGTTTCTGCCCTGACTCGGGCACTAGTGGGCCGCTACTTCCACACAAACGCCGGCCTCGCTACCCAGACAAACACATACGAAGACGTCACACATCCGGAGATTTTCCAGAAGGTGGACGTGAAGGAGATCATTTCCCGGTTCAGAGAGTTGGGACCGTTCCCGGCAGACTCGTCTGTGTTGAACCCGCAGCACTACTACCAGAACCAGTCGGTGTTGGATTGGATGTTCAAGCACAAGTCGCACCCAGTAACTCTCAGACAACTCGCAGGGTTCGGGCGCCGGTTGACGCGCGAAAAGATCTTGACATCGGCCAACTTTGTACGTATCGAGTTGCCGACCAGATTGGCCATGCGCTTGGAGGACTTGCAGCGGTTACCGTTTGGGGTGACTAACAATTTCCACTTGGTCCAGGTCTATGAAAGCTATTGCCACGCGTTCAACTTGTTCCGCAAGTACCCCAAGATCACCAGCCTAGAGGAGAATGACGCCTTCAACGAGTTCTTATCGCGTTTGCTCGACGAACACTTGATGGTGTTGCCCCATTTGGTGATGGGTGCCTTGGAGTGCTCGATCTCGCAGGTGTTGCCTCCACAGGCCTTGGACCAGTTTATTTCTTCCTTGTTGAGACTGCGGATCAGTCGACGTGTGATCATCGAGGAGCACCTCTCCTTGTCAAAGAGCTTCAAAGCAAGCCCCCACGAGGAAAAGCCGGCCGACTACATCGGGGACTTATTCTACCAGTGTGATGCGGTAGACACCTTGCAAAAGGTGGCCCTGTTGATTAAAGACTCCCTGGCAGCACAGTATCCGGATATTTCTATGCCGGAGTTAAAGATCGACACCACCACCGCAAACAAGTTGGTCAAGTTCCCGTTCTTGATCTCTCATTTGCACTTCATCTTCGGAGAGATCTTGCGTAACTCGTTTGATGCTACGTTGCAGCACCACATTGCGCAATGTCAGGCCAATGGGACCGATCCCAAGACCATCAGTCCGCCTCCCATCAGCATCAACATTGTGGAGCTGAAAACGGACATCTTATTCAGATTCAGCGACCGAGGCGGGGGTATCGAAGACGATATCCTTAGCAATATCTGGTCTTTTGGGAAGCCACCAGACATTTCAAGTGAGTCTTTGCTGAACTTCCACCTGTTGCCAGGCTTGGAGCTTTCCTCGGAGTCTGTGTTGCAGACCTCGCAGTTAGCTGTGCCGTCGTCGCCGACACACTTTTCCCGAAAGGAAGCTCCACTTACTAAGGATGTTTTAGTGTCCACGTCGCTCCAGGACAACATGTCCGCCAGGGGCGGCTCCTTGAACACCTTGACCACCAGACCCTACGAATTCAAGTTGGGACTCGGTTTGGCAATGTGCAAGGTCTACGTCGACTACTGGAACGGCGAGATCAAGATGCACAGCATGAAAGGTTACGGCAGCGACACGTTTTTGAAATTAACGCGATTGGGCGAAGTCGGCACCAAGGCCCAGATGGACAGGGCGTAGGGCGAGCAAAAGGCCGAAATGTGATTGGGTAATGTGTTTGTAATTGGAAATGGACCGTAAGTGTGTAAGCCAACCACGGCCGAGTGACGTGAAGTTTTCACGATCTTATTTTGAGCCCCGCGGTCCCTTTGATTTTTACATATTCCGTTGCACCACCCAGTTCGATAGAAATAACGGGAAATCCCCTTAGACGGGGTGGCGAACCCTGCGTCCTGCGTGGACAGCGATCCAGATAAGTCTGTCGAAACATCTTAGCTTTAATCTATGAGCATCTGTGGAGCTGTACCCTATTAAGCTCAAATTTCCGCAACCCATTCTCGGGTGAGTGATGACTTGGTAAGAGTTCAGGTCTTGGCAGTATCCCCGGAAACAGGTGTTTGCCGTGCCTTTTTCGAAGCCGGGACCGCCTGGATTTTACAAAAGCCTTCTTGGCAGGTTTTTTTTTTTCATTCCTTTCCGTCTATTTGCTTTAAATTAGTCTTGCAGATGCTGGACGACGGCGGGGTAACTTTAGCGGTAGGCCACAAATTTGCAACGCATACAACCAGGCATGCTCAACGGGGCAAGAGCGTTGATTCTTAGACTTGTGTAGGGATGATGGGGTACATATCTGATTCTTTGGAACCAACAGTATTCAGTGAATAATGTAGGATGTGTCTGAATTCTGATAGATAAACCATAGCAGGTCTCTGCCAGCTATCTTAATTGCAAATCTCGTCGAAGGCCGAACACGGCACCGATGCACCTACATAATCACAACGAAATAATTGCAACCGCAAACATTAGTGCATGATCTTCTCCAGGCCACTGTTTCACTACACTAGTGGTTGACTCCGGAATGCTATGCAATACTATAAGATGTACCACAAAACTACAACATTTTTTGTATCGCTTGATAAAAGTTTCAACCTAAAAGGTGTGTCCTCCATGCATATGACTTTCTATATACTTCTTAATCACAAGTATCACATACAGACATCTCAACCGGGAAACTTGGCTTTGTCGCCTTACTTTTCTCTCTACTAGGCCTTCCGACTTCTCCAGGATGATTCTCTTGGCACTCCCAAGAAATATGCACAGAGACTCCAAAAGTACGGCTGCGTCTATTACGCCATATAGTAAACGATGCACCGATGGAATAATCTCCAGTAGTTGTAGATGGGGTACGTCAGTTCTAGACACATGATCTTTCCGTTCAGAGCATTGAAGAACCGTGCCTATTTAAACATGCGAACCCCCCGTTGCCTTTTATATTTACATTTATGTAACTAACATCTGTCACTCCCATTCCACCACAAGCATGACGGCTGAATTCAGAGAAAACAAAGCCACTGATGGCTTATACAATGCCTCTATCCATGAATCAGTGGAGGTGATAACTTTGAAGAGTGACGGCGGGCACTTCACGGGCGACAACCAGAACCCACATGGTATGCCGGTTTCTCTTCAAGGCATGACCGGCGAGGAGATTGAGATACTCGAGAGGAGGGTCAAGAGAAAGATCGATATGCGAATCTTGCCAATGCTTGTGTTGATCTACATTTTGAACTATTTGGACAGAAACAATATTGCCACAGCGAGATTAGCCGGATTGGAAGAAGACTTGAACATGACCTCGGTTCAGTATCAAACCACGGTCTCTATTTTATTTGTGGGTTACATTCTCATGCAAATCCCGGCAAACATGTTCTTGACCAAGGTGGGGAGACCAAGAATTTTCATTCCATTTATCATGACCGTTTGGGGGATTATCTCCACCTGCGTCGGCGCTGTCCAATCATACGGTGGCTTGATTGCCATCAGATTCCTTTTAGGTTGGGCCGAAGCCGGTTTCTTTGGGAGTGCGCTATACTATTTGTCATGTTGGTACACCAGAAAGGAATTGGTCTTGAGAACCTCTATTCTTTATTCGGGTTCTTTGATCTCTGGGGCCTTTGCGGGTTTGATCGGCGCTGGGATTATCAACGGGATGGATGGGGCCAGAGGCATGTCTGCTTGGCGGTGGTTGTTCATTATCGAGGGTGCAATCACCGTTGCGGTGGTTCCATTTGCCTACTTTACCTTACCAGATATGCCATCTAACACAAAGTTCTTATCTCAACAGGAGAAGGATGTGGTGGTTTGGAAGTTACACAGAGAGGTTGGTACCGATGATTGGGTCAGCGCTGAGGACCAATCGTTCAAAACCGGTTTCACGTTGGCCATCAGGGATATCAAGGTTTGGCTAATCACCGGGATCTTGTCCTTCTTGGTTGCTGCGTGTGGTGTCACTAACTTCTTTCCTTCGGTGGTTGCTACTTTGAATTTTGATAGGATTAAAACTTTGTGTCTTACAGCTCCGCCATATTTGATCTGTGTCATTGCTACCTTTCTATGGGCCATCCACGCAGACCGTACCGGTGAAAGATTCTGGCACGTTGTAGCCCCTCTTTGCGTGGCTTTGGTTTCTTTTATCATTTCTGCTGCTACGTTGAACACCGCGGCCAGATATTTTGCCATGTGTATCATGGTTCCGTCCTTGTACTGTGCCTTTACGGTAATTCTTTCGTGGATGTCCAACTGTGTGGCTAGACCACCAATGAAGAGAGCCGTGTCCTTGTCGCTCATGAACTGCCTTTCAAATTCCACCTCCATTTGGAACGCCTACTTATATCCTAAATCGGGTTCCCCGCAGTACTTGGTGGCGTTTTGCTGCAACTGTGGGTTTATTATCGCATCCATCATCTTGTGTGTTACCTTGAAGATTCACTTGAAACGTTTGAACAAGAAGATTGAGACTGGAACTATGGACTGGGAGCCAGAGATGGGCAAGGGGGTGGACAGTGCTGAGATTAACAAGAATTTCACGTTCCTTATCTAATTGAGGTGAAAGGCTATTTTCCAGTTGGAGGAGCGAGCCTAACGTTAAACGCTAAAAGGGGGCTATTATGTTTTATTTAACCCCTCTAATTTACTTGTAACCTAGCAAAGTTTATGTAGTTATCGGAGTAAATTTATCGATGGACTTGGAAAGGACGAGCTTTCTATATCGTTTGCCAGTACGCCTATAAACACCAACACGTGAAAACGGTTAGGTTTGTACACGCCGTGTTTAAACCTGTCAAAGTCATATAGATTGGATAAGAGGGAATACTGAATCGTACAGGGATCTGCCTGTCAGTATCACTTGGACAAAGCATTAAACTTGGATTAGTCATCACTAACTGAGAGTCGTTGCATAGTGAAAACGGTTATTAATGCTTGAGTCGTTTCATGGTGAAAACCGGTTATTAATGCCTATAATAGAATCGCAATGGTGTCCTACATAAGCTTCTGGGCATTGCACAAATTCTGATCACGCTTTGTTCCTCACACGGCGTTGGTATCGAGATTGGGCGTTGTGTGGGGGAGGCAGCTGCGCGGCGGTGGGGGGTTATCCACCGCTTTGGGTTTCCGTCGGCCGGGTTAGAAGATCAATGCGAAACCCTATCCAAGAAGCAGAGCCCTTTTTTTTTCAATCACGCTTCAAAGTGTTCCGAGAACCTGCTGCTTGAAACCCGTTCTGGTATTTTGAGGCGGATGGCGCCTGTTTGTCGACTCTGGTACAGAATCTGACCCGACCAGCCGGCGTCGATCGGTGAGCATATAATCTTGCATACGCTTATTGGCGGGACCTGGATATATCACTTACAGAATGTAATACTGTGAAAAAAAAAAGCGAGCCGCACGAGCGGCTAACCCCCGATTGGGAAAGCCGCTGGTTTCGCTGCGCTTATATTACCACATCGGATAAGGACGGCCTGGGTAAACCTTGGTAGCCGCGCGCATGTGTTTCGCCAACAAGATGTGATCTCCGACGAGGCTGCGGGGGGTTGCCCTGGACTGGTTTGCTAAAGACGTATAAATACCTCCTCGTCACCCTCCTCTCCGTTCTTTGTTTCCCAGTCTCCCTTCACTTCCTTTCTTCACATTCTAGCGAGGAATCAGTTACAATGACCGTTTCTGAACAGTACTTTCCACAAGAGCCAACCGCCCCCAAGGTGGTCACTTCCACCATCCCTGGCCCTGAATCTCAAAGAAAGATCAAGGAGTTAGGCCAGGTCTTTGACGAAAGACACGCGTACTTCGTGGCTGACTACACCAAGTCTACCGGTAACTACATTGTTGACGTGGATGGCAACGTGCTTTTGGACGTTTACGCTCAGATCGCGTCCATCCCTCTCGGCTACAACAATCCAGCCTTGAGAGAGGTGGCCAAGTCGGACAGAATGATCAGAGCCATCATCGACAGACCAGCCCAGGGTAACTTCCCTGGTGCTGACTTGGCGGAAATCGCCGGAGACGTGTTGAAGGCCGCTCCAAAGGGCCAGAAGTTCCTCTGGTCTGGTTTGTGCGGTGCTGACGCCAACGAGTTGGCTTTCAAGGCTGCCTTCATGTACTACCAGTCCCAGAAGAGAGGCTACAACGCTGAATTCTCCAAGGACGAACAAACCTCCGTCATGGCAAACGAAGCTCCAGGTGCTCCAGAGTTGGCGATTTTGTCCTTCGAAAACGCCTTCCACGGAAGATTGTTTGCCTCTGCCTCCGTCACCCGCTCGAAGCCAATCCACAAGCTTGATTTGCCTGCCTTCAAGTGGCCAAAGGCTCAGTTCCCAGCCTACCAGTACCCGTTGGGCGACCACGAAGATGCCAACAAAAAGGAGGATGCGAGATGCTTGGCGATAGTCGAAGACATCTTCCAGAACTGGCACGCTCCAATTGCCGGTGTGATCATCGAGCCAATCCAGTCTGAGGGTGGTGACAACCACGCCTCTGCTTCTTTCTTCCAGGGCTTGCGTGACATTACCTTAAAGTACAAGTCGTTGTTGATCATTGACGAGGTGCAGACCGGTGTCGGTGCCACTGGGGCCTTCTGGGGCCACGAAAAGTTCAACTTGAGCCCAGCTGCTGACATCGTCACCTTCTCCAAGAAGTTCCAGTCCGCCGGTTACTTTTACAACAACCCGCAAATCACTCCTAACCAGCCATACAGACAGTTCAACACCTGGTGTGGTGACCCAGCCAGAATGATCCTTGCCGGTGCCATTGCCAAGGAAATCGTCAAGAACGACCTTGTGCGCAAGACCTCCGACGTCGGTGACTACTTGTACGCGGAATTGGCCAAATTGGCAGCCAAGTACCCTAAGGATATGCAGAACTTGAGAGGTGAAAAGTGCGCCACTTTCATCGCCTGGACCTTGGAATCCGGTGCCAAGAGGAACCAGTTCTTGGCTGATATGAAGATGGCCGGTGTCAACATCGGTGGTTGCGCGGAGGCCTCCGTCAGATTGAGACCAACCTTGACGTTTGAAGAAAAGCACGCCGATATTTTGGTTAAGGCGATTGATGCTGTTTTATCCAAGAAGTAAACAGTTGAACTGTGTACATTTATACTTTAATTACTAAGCTTATGACTCCTAAACGAAGTAGATGAGCACTACAGTGAAAGCTAAGGTATGTCAGATGAGGTACACACTCACTGAAAGGGGTGATGCAAACCACTATCCCATTTGCGCCGATTGAGACCATTCGGACTATTTTGTGCCACAGGAAGGCACTAAAAGCTTGAGATGCCTCTAGTAGCGTTTGTGAGAGCCCTTTCGAATAATCACCTTGGGTTTCTTTTTCTTTGCATGTCTAATCCGCAATGGCCACAAACCCTTCCGGTTCACATTTGAACCTTCGATCCGACGGTAATATGTTAGCATTTTCTTAATAACTGCGATTGAGTATATAGGTTATAACCGCATCCAAACTCAACGAACGCACTGCGTATATACATATAACCTCATCTTCCAAACACATGTCCGTGTGTCTGCCTCTGTTTATAACCCGGTCGGGAGTTTCCGGGGTCACGCAATTTTATATAGTAATAGCAGAGAATAGCACCTGCTAGAAATGCCTAAGGTATTACTATACCTCAGCACATCAAATGACTCTTGCTTATCATAACGACTGAGCGCTAAGCATCATGTCTGAAGCCGTAGACTGCTGTCAGGTACCTGTTGGCGAATGCCCCCTCCTGAGTCATTGCTGTGACGATCAACGGCAGGCACTACGAGTGTTCGATTTCGTAACCCGCATACGATGCAAACTAAAGTCTAATAATCCTTCTGTCCGCCTCAGTTATCCGCCAAAAGCGGGCGTGGCTGGGAGGGGCCGACTGGCGGGTGCAGGCGGACAAGAGCGGGTACAGGCAATGCGCGCAGAGTACGGCACCCGGAAAAGCGACGTCGAAAAACCTCACTTTAAAGTCCGGGGTAACAAGTTTACAGAACGGGCAAAATTCAGAAACGAGTGGTGACCTCTTGCTTTAATTCGCACATGCGCGGCGAAGCATTAGAAGCCTTCCATATACAAGCTACCCGTTATCTACACCAAATAAAAGCCTTTAGTGGTTTAAATATTCGCATTTCTGCTCATTACAGTACTGGCTTAAGCACCAACTGTTTAGAGCACCTGGCGTCCCCGTCACATCCATACACACTCGCTCTTTTGTATCCATATACACTCACTCTTTTGTACCGATATACCTTTTGCATCCATACCCTCATGCCTTCCACAGCTATTATGCAAGAGAAGAACCTCCAGTTTTCGTCGGTTTTTTTGGAAACGAGACACCAGTTGAACCAGGACTCTACCGCATCATTTCTCGCAGGCGGTATTGCCGGGGCAGTGTCCCGTACCGTGGTGTCGCCGTTTGAAAGGGCCAAAATTTTGTTCCAGGTTCAAGGGTTGGGCTGTTCGACTGCCTACAACGGGATTTTTCCCACCATTGTCCGAATGTACAGGGAAGAGGGGTTCAAAGGGTTGTTCCGCGGTAACGGGTTGAACTGTGTGAGAATCTTTCCGTATAGTGCGGTCCAGTTCGCTACGTTTGAAAAGATCAAGGTGTCAACCTTGAAACCAGGCGAGACGGAGCTAGATACTTCCACCAGATTATGGGCCGGTGGAGCGGCTGGGGTACTTTCTGTGCTCGTGACCTACCCTCTTGACCTTGTGAGAGCCCGTCTTTCCATCCAGACCGCGTCTTTGTCGCAGTTGAACGGAGCCCAGGCCGCCTGCACGAAGCCTCCCGGGGCAATAAAGCTTTTGAAGGACATTTACCGTGCGGAAGGGGGCGTGTTGGGCTGGTACAGGGGCATCGTACCCACCACCCTTGGGGTGGCTCCGTACGTTGCTATCAATTTTGCGGTCTACGAGAAGTTGAGAGAGCTCATCCCGGAATCGCCGTCCGCCCCGCTCTACAGATTGCTCAGCGGTGCCGTGGCTGGTGGGGTTGCCCAAACCTTGATCTATCCGTTTGACTTGCTCAGAAGGAGATTCCAAGTCCAGGGCATGTGCAAGGGCCAGTTAGGGTACGAATACACCAGTGTGATGCATGCATTGGTGAGCATCTTCAAGAAAGAGGGTTTCTTTGGTGCGTACAAGGGGTTGACGGCGAATTTGTACAAGGTTGTTCCTTCCATGGCTGTCAGCTGGCTTGTCTACGATGAAATCAAGGACTTTTTTGTGCATCTTTAGCTGTGCCGCCCGTCCTGACGTTGCACCGAGGTGTATATAGACACAACGGCAGGGGTTTATGAAGTAAATTGGCTAAAAAAAATCGTATAGCATTGGTTCCCGGGTATGATAAACAACTAATAGAGAGGGTTTGGAATATATATATGACGTAAAGGTTCGGCATAAGGCAAGCAAAATGTAGTCGTGCGCGGTCCAGGGCGTGCGCCACCAGGAAAAAGTGAAAATCCGCTCCACTATTGGCCCATTCGACTCTCCCAGGAAAAAGGATGAGCTGATTCTACGCGAGGCTACTATAAACCAAGCCTGATATCGAAACCCTGCCAAAGACTATCTATTCTCCTCATTCACCACATATTTTAACATGAGAGCCTCCCAAATTTTGTTCAGCGCCCAGAAGAAGTCCGGTTTCAAGTTGCCATTCCCAGTCGAATTGACTCCATTAGCCATCTGTACCGCACTTGCCTGTGGCTGTAAGTACTACTCTTTTTTTTTTTTTTTTGGCGAGGAAAGTTGTCCACGAACGCGAGAGGGCTTATTCCATGCACCTCACGTTGTTTTGAAGATGTACCACGTTTGTTTGGAGCAGATTATCGATGCATCCCACTGCTAGCTTGAGTCAAGGTACCCCACCGATAACTTGAGTCAACTCAAACAGGATGCGACCCACGGCCAACGTTGCAGACCTGCTATTGTTTTCCGATGCTCTCTCTCCTTGGGAATACTAACATCTCTAGCCCTTGCTTTCTTTACCACCAAGCACTTTGCCGGTGACCAAGAATTGAGACTCCGCAGAAACCCAGAGTTGTCTATCCTTGAAGAAACCATCAAGAAGCATGAAGACAACTAATCTTCATGGTTAAACACTCCTTTTTCTTCATCTAACTGCGGTGGCGGTTGGGTGACCCATCGCCGTCCATTGATGATGCCGTTCAGACACCCTCATATCTCTTTAGACCCTGAATATTGTTTATATTTATTATCCATGGTGTAGAATTCCAGATTATATCTCTCTCTCGTGTACAGTAAAAGACAGGGCATTGATTTTATACCACTCATTGGTTCTTTGCAACACTCGGGTTACGGTCATTCCCACGACCTGCATACAGCCAAGGCTGTGGGAGACCCAACCGCGACATCTGATACGTAGCAGCAAAAAGAGCCAAAAACACATGCGTTCAAAACACCCTTCTCTCTCTCAATTTACATCCACACGCCATGATTGAAGTCTCGTTAACTGTGGCCAAATTGGACGCGTCACTTGCGCTTCTCCTCACCGACGACCACCACCTCATAGAGTTCCCTACTATCCTTCTTCCTAACGGGGTTGTCGCCGGCTCGATCGTCAAGATCAACGTGAACCGCGATCTCGAGCTCGAAGCCACAGAAGCTGCTGAGTTTAGCCGGATTCAGGACGAGATCTTGATGACCTTTGGGTCCAATGAACCGCAGGCGCCGGTGTTGCGGGTCAAAAACATCACGCAAACCTCCACGGTGCTCGAGTGGGAGTCGTTGGACTTGGGCTCCGCGTCTATCAAGTCCTTGACATTATTCAAGGACGGAATCCGTTTGGGCAACATCCCAAGTCCGTTGGTAACCACCACCACCAAATTGTCCGGCTTGAGCATTGAGCAGACCTACAAGTTCCAGTTGAGAATGGACACCACTTCAGGGATATACATGTCTGAGCCAGTGGAGTTAACCATGCACAAGATGACGGACTTGTCAGGTATCACTGTCTGTGTGGGCGACCTCGCGCCAGAGGATGGCATCACCAGAAAGGACATTGAGGAGGTATTGGCCAAGATGGGCGCGAAACCGGTGCAGGACAACGTCAAGGTCGACACAACCCACTTCGTGTGCACGGTGGGCAAGGGCAAGCAATGGCAGAGGGCCAATGACGGCAACATTCCAATTGTCAGACCGGAATGGTTGAAGGCGTGCGAGTTGGAGAGAAGGCTCGTCGGGGTCAGAGGCTTCTATCTCGATGCGGATTTAGCTGCCATTAAAGAGAGATACGAATGGAAGAAGGAAGTCCCTGGGAACACACAACGCAGCAGCCAGGAGGAGGAGGAGTTTGACAATGCCTCGGTGGCTGCTATAGCCTCCTCCAGAGACTTGTCAACCACCAAGCCGGAAGAAGATTCGCCGCTCGGTGAGTCGACAATGCACGAGGATGCCGACGTTACGGTTGATGAGACCAATGGTGTAAACGGGAACGATAAGAGTCTGCCGTTAGCCCCTGCAGAGGAGAGCAACGCAGAGCTTTCCCCGGTTCCCGAGTTGCCAGTGGAGGAAGCCAACGGTAATACGCTTACGGAAGAGCCAACGCAAAGTGCCACTGACGAAACTGAAGCAGGCGAAGAGACTTCCGAGCCAGTTGAAAAATCCGTTGATTCAGAGTCATCCCAACCGGATAAAGGGCCGCACGATTTAGAACTGGTTTCCTTGACATCAGAGCCAGTTGAGATGCCAGCTGTTTTAGCCGCCGAGTCCGTGGAAGAAAAGCTTGAATCTGTGTCGCTTGAGACCCCAGAACAAGACTTGAGCACTGAGGTTGACACTTCCGTTATCCAAGAAGCGGCTAAAGACGAGGTGAACGAAACGGAGGATGTTGATGGGGAAGATACCGATGCCACTCCTACACCAGAGCAAACCAACACCTCTGCAAAGAAGAAGAAGAAGAATAAGAAGGGTAAGAAGTAGGGCTATTAGATTCTCTCAGCCCGTTTGTTATATTATTGATTTCTGTGTGTATGTAATTACAATAAGCTAATGCAGCTTCAGCGTAGGCTATCTCGCCCTGGCGTTGCTTCCTGACTACGGTGCTTACACCCGTTAACAATAATATGAATTGAAGTAAGCTTCTATACCAAATACAATCTACGAAACTGAGACAGAAATATGCGCTCCTTGGTGAAAGTCGTTTATTCCCCGAACAATCTTCTGACTCTTCTCAAAATGGAGTCCTTTTCTGGGTCGTACGGATGGTCCTTGGACGGAATCTCCAAGATGGCTGGGAACGCCGCTGTGAAGGCGTCAACCTTCCATCTAATTCGCTCGGCAATGTGCTGGTTGATCAACAAGATGGCAATGTCGTCTCTAGTGGTGAACTGCTCAAACGCAGCCTCGATTTCCTCGTCAGTGACCTTTGCGTCGATGGTCAAGAAGTTCTTCTCCTTGCCTGGGGTTGTGGTAATCTGGCCAACACCCGCCAACAATAAACCGGTGACGGTGTCCTCGTCCGCAAGAACGGCTAGCAAGGTTCTCTTCTTGAATGAATCAGTGGACATTGCAGCTATGGTGTGGATGCTACTCTTAACGTTGCATATGTATCCCCCCACCTTACTTATCAAGGAGGGCGTATCGACGTTCGCTTACCGGCGTGTCGCTACCGGCGTCGATGATATCGCGCACTCGGCAGGCGTAAGCGGTTGCCAAAAAAAAATTAAGCATAAAGAATCCAGAATCACGAACGACTCCTGGTACGCCAAATGTTTAGACCCACCCTTTTCCGGAACCAGTGTATCACCTTTAGCATCTCACAAGCCTCGTTTCACACTTCCCCGGCTGTCTTTTCGGGCCATTCCAAGTGGGCTACCATCAAGCATGACAAGGCTAAGAACGACGCTGCGCGTCAGGCCGTAGCTAACCGTCTTGCCCGCCAGATCAGTGTTTGTGTGAAGCAGCACGGCATGGAGCAAAACCCGCAGCTATCCGCATTACTTGACAAAGCCAGGGCCTCCAACGTACCCAAGAAGATTGTGGAATCCGCCATTGCCAGAGGTAACGGACAGGGTGCCACCAGCGACGTCCCCTCAGAGTCCACATTGTACGAGGGTATTGGTGCTGGGGGCGTTGCGTTTATTGTAGAGGCGTACACCCCAAACAAGGCCAGATGTGTGGCAATGGTGAAGCATGCCTTCAGCAAATACAACGGGTCGTTTTCCCCAACCTTGTACATCTTCGACAGAAAGGGCTACGTGGATTTCGAGATGGGCGACAAGTCCTTTGACGAAATTTTCGAGGCCGCCATCGAATTAGGAGCCGATGATGTCCAGGAATTACCTCTCAACACCGAATCCACCGAGAGAGACTCCAATGGCCTTTTACTTCCACCGCAGTCCATGGCAGAAATCATCACTCCCTTCACCGAAGTTAACCAGGTAGCAAATCTGTTGAAGGAGCAGGGCTTTAAGGTTAAGGATGCCGGTACCGGCTACTTCCCTAAGGAAGACATGGTGATTGAGGATGTCACCGAAGACCACCAGGAAGTCAACCGCAAGATTATGGCCGCCTTGGGCGAAATCGAAGACGTTACCGAGGTTCACACGTCCTACAAGGAGCAGATCTAGATGTATATATTATGAAACTTGTCCATATTTACCTATTCTGTAGATAGTGCGTTTTCATCGTACCATGTCGCAAGTTGCTTCCCGGGATGGGCAACGGTCAAATTGTTCCGGCGTGGACCAAGCTATCGTGCTGGTCTAGAAACCTTTCAGTTTCCCACAAAAGCATTCTGGAGATGTTACACGCCAAGACGTGGACGTGAAGTTCGCGTTCTTCGAGCTTTCTTTCGGTGTAGAAGGTCAAGATTGGCCCAGAATGGATACTGCCTTCGATCTTGATAGTTTTGGTCTTGCCACATTTTGATATGCGCTCGCAGAAACTGGCAATATCATCTCTCACAAGTTCATTCTCGCCGTAGGTTACAATCATTCCAACTTCCGGGAAGGCCGCACGCCAGAGATCGTCATCCTGACACTCCCCCGGACTGTGGTAGAAGTCGAGCGGGTCAGCATTCTTCATGTAGTAACTGCCCCACTTTCGCAATATCTCTGTGGTCAAGAAATCTTCGTTGGCAACCCTGTCATCTGTGCCACCCTTGAAAGAGGTTACTGGAGAAATTATCATCACCGCGTGGGGCTTGACTAGTGAGGTGATCGGGTTATCCACCAGAGTTCTACTCTCAGTTGAAGCTGGTGCTTCTAGGTCTTCCAACCCTCTTTCTAATTGTTCGAATTTTTCAATAGTGACGCTTGCCTTGGCAATGTGGAGTAACAACCCGAGCGCTAGCGTCCCCCCTGTGGAATCACCAGAGAGGATTATCTTGCTTCCTGGGTAGTTTTTCGTAAGATACTTCCACCCATTGGAGACTTGAGATAGCTGTCCCGGATAACTAGCAGCGGGGAGCAAGGTGAGGTCTGGCACAAAGATGGCGGGGTTAGAAAATCCCTGCTCGAGTAAGGCTAGGGTGTATGATTGCATAAATTCGAGATACAAGTAGGCACTGCCTACCATAAAACCTCCACCTGGGATATAGTAGTGGATAATATCGTAGTCACCGTGCATCTTTCTGGCACTATTGGAATAAATCCAAAGTCCTTTGACATTTTTAAATTCGTCAAACCCCTCTACCCTGGTATATAGAATGTCCACCTCCTCAAAGCCGCCCTTTCTGAGAAACGCCCTCACGATGTGCGTCCATTCAATGGCCCAGCTCGACCGAAACCACAACAAACTGCTGTCAGGGGTAACCCGGGACATGAAAAGCCGCAATAAGTGGATGGTAGAATATTCAAAGTCGGAAGCTCTGAGATTTACCTGCGACCATCGGCCGACCCGGGTCAACACTCGGTTCTGGTAGAGAAGTCGCGGCCATTCCCAGACTACCGGAGATTAGTAATGAATTCAAAAAAAAAAAAAAAAAAAATAGCATAGACTCAAGTTTCAGTAACCATACACAAAAAGGGGGAAAACCCTCCTAAAAAGACGTTCACGAAGGACGCTATTCCGTCCTTTCTGATGATAACCACAGACACGAGGAATGCGTAAAGGATCACATCTAGATGCCCGACTTCATACATTGTAAATCAATTTGTTTTCTCGGTAGTACTCTGATTTCCTGGTTTTTCAAAATTGGTAAAGAAAACATACGCCCAGACTACCAATTTAAGCCCTTCAAAGTGCAAAGAGCCCATTGGAGAAAAGTCCGTGGCTTTGTGGCATGAGCCGCATTCCATCTCGCATGTACGTGCATCTGCCGGGTAACGACAAGTATCTAAATATTCCCTAATCGGGCTAAATTGCATTGACACGAAAAACTCGACGCGTCTCGAGTTTTTGTTCTTCATAACCTTTATTTCTCGTCATTATCCTTCACCCCCCTATTGTTTTCTATTATTCATCATCCAATGTCTTCCCCAGCCGCCTCCTCTCCCGGAAGATTTTTCAACTCGTCACAGCCGCCGTCCTCCATCGGCCAGGCCAGAGCGGCGCACAGCTCGAATCTTTTCAGCGACTTCAGCGAAACCAATCAGCACATCGAGGTGGATGACGATTCCCAGCCGATCGAAGCGGTCAGAAGACGCATGGTTGCAGTCCCCCGCGTGGTGGATGTGACCGGTGAAAAGGTCCGCGAGTACTTTGAGCAGTTTATTGAGGAGTACGTGGATGCTGAAACGGCCCACGACAACTACGACGGGCGGCTCTATGTGGCACAGATTCACGCGATGAAGGAATACGAAATGCTGACAATGTATATTGACTACCAACACTTGTTGCAGAAGGAGAACGGGTCGTTGGCGACCGCCATCTCGGACCTGTACTACCGTTTCTCCCCCTTTTTGATCCAGGGATTGCGCAGCTGCATCAGACGCCACGCGCCGGACATTTTGCTTGTGGCGTCGGCGCTTGAAGGCCGGGACGGGATGGAAAGCACCACCAGCGGGTCCACCACGTCGTCGCAGATGGAGTCCTACGAAAGAGTCTTCCAAATTGCCTTCTACAACCTCCCTACAGTCAACCGAATCCGAGACATCAGAGCAGACAAGATCGGCTCGTTAATGTCGATTTCCGGAACAGTTACCAGAACGTCGGAGGTGCGGCCCGAGTTGTACAAGGCTACGTTCCAATGCGACCTTTGCAAAACCACGATCGAAGGCGTTGAGCAGGTGTTCAAGTTCACAGAGCCAACATCGTGCACGACCCCTGATTGCGGGAACCAGGCCTTTTGGACGTTGCAGATTCCAAAGTCACAGTTTTTGGATTGGCAGAGGGTGAGGATCCAGGAGAACCCGAACGAGATTCCCACCGGGTCGATGCCGAGAACCTTGGATGTGATCTTGCGAGGCGATGCGGTGGAGAGAGCCAAGCCAGGCGACCGCTGTAAGTTCACAGGGACGGAAATTGTCATCCCAGACGTCTCGCAGTTAGGTTTGCCCGGGGTAAAGCCCACATCGATGCGTGACGGGCGGTCTGGTTCGGACCTAAACTCCGGCGTTTCCGGGTTGAAAAGCTTGGGGGTACGTGACTTGACGTACCGCATCGCGTTCTTCGCGTGCCACGTGTCCTCGATGATCAACAAGGGCAACACCATGGAGGAAGACACGCAGACGTCTTTCAAGACAGACGACGATAAGGTGGACCAGGAGCTCTTCCTCCAGTCATTGACCGAACAGGAGCTAGCCGACTTGAAGGAAATGGTTAAGGATGACCATGTGTACAACAAGTTGGTGAGCTCGATTTCGCCGGCGATTTTCGGGCACGAGGTGGTCAAAAAGGGTGTGTTGTTGCAAATGCTCGGGGGGGTGCACAAAAAAACCATTGACGGGATCAACTTGAGAGGAGACATCAACATCTGTATCGTTGGAGACCCGTCTTGCGCCAAGTCGCAGTTCTTGAAGTACGTCTGTGGGTTCTCGCCCAGAGCGGTCTACACGTCTGGGAAGGCTTCCACGGCGGCTGGTTTGACGGCCGCAGTTGTCAGAGACGAGGAAAGCGGAGAGTTCACCATCGAAGCTGGGGCGTTGATGTTGGCAGACAACGGGATCTGTGCGATCGATGAGTTTGACAAGATGGACATCACCGACCAGGTGGCGATTCACGAAGCAATGGAGCAGCAGACAATTTCCATCGCCAAGGCTGGGATCCACGCCACTTTGAATGCGCGTACCTCCATTTTGGCGGCCGCCAACCCGATCCACGGTCGCTACAACCGCAAGGTTGGGTTGCGGAGCAACTTGACGATGACAGCACCGATCATGTCGCGTTTCGACTTGTTTTTTGTCATTTTGGACGACTGCAACGAGCGTATTGATACCCAATTGGCCAACCACATCGTCGACTTGCACATGCGCCGCGATGCCGCGATCAACCCACCGTACTCCTCCGAGCAGTTGAGTCGCTACATCAACTACGCCAAGACATTCAAGCCCAAGATGACGAAAGAGGCCAGAAACTTCTTGGTTGAACGGTATAAGGAGTTGAGGGCGGACGACGCCCAGGGTATTGGCAGAAGTTCCTACCGCATCACCGTCAGACAGTTGGAGTCGATGATCCGGTTGAGTGAGGCCATCGCCAGAGCCAACTGTGCTGAGGAGATTAACACGCTTTTTGTCGCTGAGGCGTACGACTTATTGAGACAGTCCATTATCAGAGTCGACAAGGACGACGTGGAGGTGGATGACGATGACGACCAAGATGCGACTGAGAATACAGATGAGCCCGTGGCTCCGGCTTCTCAGTCGCAGCCTGCCAGGGAATCAAAGAAGAGCACCATTTCTTACGATACCTACATTTCTATGATGAACATGCTTGTCAGAAGGGTGAGTGAGGACGATAACGCCGGAGGCGAGGGACTCACTGCGGATGAAATTATCGAATGGTTCTTGACCCAGAAGGAGGCAGAGATTGAGACCGAAGAGGAATACAATAAGGAAAGAAAATTGACATTAAAGGTGTTGAAGCGCTTGGTCAAGGACAGAATCTTGATGCAGGTGTCGATTGAGGACGATGAGCAGCCAGATCCACCGTTTGTGGAGGGCAGAACGCACCAGCCCGCCATGTCCGAGAGAGTTGCCGCCAAGGTGGTGTACATTTTGCACCCGAACTGCGCCATTCTCGACTTTTTCGACCAGACCTCGGGCCAGACCCAAGAAACTGCCCAGGAGTAATCGGTCAAGGGTGTACGGTGAAATTGGTATACGTGTAATTGATATGTCTGTTTTTTTTTTCCCCCGGGCTTATTGGTAATTCCGTTAACTCGCTAACGGCAGGTGTACTCAATGATAGGGTTTGATCTCAAAGGCTAGTCCTTTTGTCAGTCCCTGATCACATACTGAGATATATTAACGAGACCTCATTTGGCAACAGACCGTTCTTTATTTATTGATCGTAACATATCCATCGATGGATCTTGTGCCTCCATATTTACCCCCCATTGTTTTCATAGCTGATAGAGTTATAATGTAGCCTAGAATACATTATTGCACATTTACTAAAGAGAATATATGATTGGAATAGCCAAAATGGCTCATTAACAGGAATGACGCGTTGTGTACCTTTCTAGATAGCTTTCACTACCTTCTCCGTTCATTTGCCAACTATAGTTCAATCCCACAGTGAATGATTATATCTATCCAGCTCTAACCCCAGACGCCGGGCCTTTTATCTCTAGTTGATCCATTTACCCTCACCAGTTATACCTTCATGGCCATGACATTGAATCCCCCCTTTTTATTCACTCACCCCCAATAGCTCTCGAACTGACTGGCACACCTGAGCCTTTTTGTAACTGTCCAGTCTCTCCAATGAATCCACCACCTTTTTGCACTCCGCAATACGATCTACAGGCTTCCCAGGACTGAGGACCTCAAGTAGCTGAACAATATCCTTAGAAAGTGACATCACTTCGGGACTGACTGAATCCACATCGGCCATGGAATAGTACAACTGGATCATTAGAAGCAAACCCCCTAGAATGTCGTACCGGTGCATGGCGATTTTGAGCCACAGTCTCTCAATGAGAAGACCGTAAACTGTCAATGCCTGGCAGACGATTACATCTCTCTGGGTGTTCTTCCGGTTCAAGAAGAAGATGCTTGGAGACGATATAACCGAATTTAACGAGATCACAAACTTGTGAAGGTACAAGTAGGTGTATTCGTTCAAGTCGAGGATGATGGTTTCCATGTGGCTTAGCAAACACGAAATCGTCTCCAACGGCAAAAACTCGTTCTCGCTCTGCAAAACCACCCCTTCGTCCGTCTTGGACGTATCATTTATCGCCAAAGGGAGGGACCTGAAAACCCCCTGGATGAGCAAATTCTCTCCGACTAACGTGTTGTAGTCATTTTTAGAGTTGGGTCTGGCGTTCGTGTTCACCAATTTGTGGTTCGCAAACCCCTGAAGTCTGAATAACAAGTTTAGCACCGTGTACGTCTGGTTAAGTAAGGTGAGAAGGTCGCTGTTGGCGTGGGCCTGGACAGAGAGAGAGGAATTGAGGGGCAAATAGTTGTACAAACCAGGCTGTAGCGCTTCAATAAAGACGGAGATAATGTTGTTTTGAATGAAAATCTTTACCGTTTCAACCGCCACCCGGTTTGTTCCCATTTCCAGGTCTTTCGAAGGAAAAGCTTGTAACAAGATGGTGCAGAGTAGCTGCAAAATCTCGTACCCCTTGATTTTGACCTCCAAATCATCATCATCTATCACGTTCAAGAGGAAACTCACGAGAAACCGATAGTGCTGCATAACTACCTTGAGGTAGTCGGCCCGATCCGTGTTCTTCGACAAGATGGACTGTAGCCCGGATTGGATCATCGAGAGGGACTTATCCATAGCACCTGAGAGCTTCCAGGCTGCTCTGTTATCCGCTTCGTGGTTGCTCGAGCTGATGGAATGTCCCAACTGTGGTCGCATGCCCCCAAACTCCGCCTCTTCTCGTCTCCTCCGGAGCTTCATATCGACGCCCGTGGACGGGGATTTGAGAAGATTGTCCGTGACTAGGGTTTTGGCATCTGAAAAAAGGGTTCTCAAGCCCTCTGGGTCGAGGTCTTGAGTTTGCATCATTGTGGATGAATCGATAGTAGTGGCTGGCGTAAGGTTTAACGAATGTCGAAAGCCGTCTGGTGTTTTTCAATACAGTCCATGCATAAACTCGGAAGCTAAGACGGTTTTGTGCAAAAGCTATTCTATGTGGGGTCGTAAATGTTTATAACGTTCTTCACACGATTCAGCATACGGAACTTGATAGCGCTACACTGATTATCTGTGCCTTTTGGCGGTTAAGCAGTCTTTGTCATGATGCACCTTCTAGCTTTGGTAGCGTTTACAATTATGGCTTTCAAGAAATTGGCTTTCTGGCCGAGTTGGTCTAAGGCGCCAGGGTAAGGTCCTGGTCTCTCCGGAGGCACGAGTTCGAATCTCGTGGAAGTCATTATCTTTTTGCTGTCACACATGCATGGGGCAGTTTTTCCGTATCCATGCATGACCTCCCTTTTGCGTTTCTGCTATTAAGACCCCGAAATCCGCATTTTTTGAAAGGTTTCTCTTCAATTCGGGGAATTTAGCCTGGTACCGGAGTGTTGATCATATTATGGACCTTTCTCAACAAATCTAGCCTGGCCTGTATAAATCTACGGCTGGTTAGTTAGACGCGAATAATACATTGCATACAGCATAGACAAGCAATTTTGCACGTAACAAGAGAAAAGAAACCGAAAGAGTATCCTACCTAAAAAAAAAAAAAAAGGACATCAATAAGAAAAAACTAAAAGTACAAAAAGGGAGTTAAAGGGCAGAGAAGAAACGGCAGTGTTCCGGGTGGCTGAGCACGTCCGGGAACGTTGCGACACGTGAGTCAAGAACTAAAGAAGCTAATATACATAAACAGACTGGAGTAAAGTGGTCATGCTTATTTCTTGGCGGCGACCTTCTTCTTTGGAGCAGCAGTCTTCTTCACAACCTTCTTTGGAGCTTCCTTCTTAGCAGCAGCTTTCTTGGCTGGGGCAGCCTTCTTAGCTGGCGCGGTCTTCTTCGCTGGGGCAGCCTTCTTTGGGGCAGCTTCCTTCTTAGCTGGGGCAGCCTTAACTGGAGCAGCAGCCTTCTTGACGGCAGCCTTCTTTGGAGCAACCTCCTTCTTGGCGGCAACCTTCTTTGGAGCAGCCTTAACAGGGGCATCCTTCTTGACAACGGCCTTCTTTGGGGCGGCTTTCTTGGCTTCCTTCTTGGCCAACTTAACTGGACCAGAGGCGCCCTTTGGCTGAATGAATTCACCGGTTTCAACACCTCTTCTCAAGGCCAAGTTGAACTGGGAGTCGAAGTTAGGAGCCTTGGAGTCAAAGTTGGCCTGGATGTACTTCTTGATAGCCTGGCGACTGTTAAGGGTTAGTAATCTGTTTGCAGGTCTTTTCTAACGAAACACTGTACATACGAAGAACCATTTCTTTCCTTCAAGATGGTGACGGCGGTCTTGATCTTGTCTGGCGGTGTTAGTACTTGCTGGGGAGTGGGCTTGTGGGGGTGTCAAACATACCCTTGTATGAGGTCTTAGAGTCAGCAGCTGGGGCTGCGACGATAGCGGTCTTAGTCTTTGGAGCCATTGTAATAGAGTGTTTGGGGGTGTATAGATAAATTTAGTAAGGGGGAGAAGGGAGTTCAGGAAGAAGAGTTTTCAAAAGTAGTATACAGAAGAGGAGGAAACGGGAATTGACAACAAGCAAACCAAGCAAAACGGGTTGGGAATGGACGGGAGAAAAGTGGGCGCAAGCCCAAACCCACAAGAAACCGCATGATTAGCAGAGATATCGGGCTTGAGACTGCACCGTATGCACGAAAAACAACAAAAGCGTGCTGCATGCCGGTGTGCGCGCACCGTGCTTGGTTTTACCCGCAGGATATTGACCGCTTCTAACGGGGGCAAGGCACAAGAAGTCTGTGAGCCGCACCAGGTGCGAGCCACAGGGAGCTCGATGCAGGATGCAGGTTGGCAAAACAAACATGAGTGCGAAAGGTAAACAACAACAGCGCACGCGAGAAAGTGACACCTAATTTGCGAGTACACGACCTTTATACTGGCACGACCTCTAGAATTTAGCATTTATGTCCCAAACGTTATGAATAGGGAAAGCTGCATGAAACTTAGCGATGGGAGCAAGCGACTGGAGCTAATGACAGAAAATTGGTATCCTCCTGTCCGATATGACACTATACCTCATAATACTGGTGGATTTAATGGTACGTAAGGCAATTAGTGATGAGCAAGTCCAAGAGCCAGGTTTGTATAGGGAAACGATACATCAACAAATATCGGTTTTAAATTTTGTCAGATCTATTATGGTTGCTCGCTTATAGCTAGTATGTGTTATATATGACAGCCTGAACTGATGCCGGTAGGTCTATAGTACCACGTGACAAGTCATGTGCAAACACACTGTGGGGGGAAGCATTACAGTGGCGCCCCATTGGGTAATAGCCCAAAGATTATTTCTTTAGGAATTTTCTACATGTTCATCAAGGTATACCATCTCTGGTTTGCCTCCAGGACCATTATACCATCGTTGACCTAAATCACGTATCCTATTATATCTCCAAGCTTCTAAGTACTCTCCAATCTGAACCTGAAACGACCCTCCATTTTTCAACGGCCCTTCCCCTCGCATCTAATCATCCGTATCCTGTACATACTAAAAAGAAATGCGATCTCCTACCGAAAAATCGTCATCCGATAGCGCCTCCAGCTTTATAAAACCCCAACGGCCTAATATATATACCGAACCCTGCTTACGGCACATTATGTCGCTTCTCACACAAACCTCCCACCGAATCTGGAGCTTTGCCAAATGCAGATCGCCGGCTTTTGCGCGGACGTTATTCATCAAGACGGCAGACACCCCGAACGAAAACGCCTTGAAGTTCCTCCCCTCAACGGCGATTCTCCCGGAAAACAGAACGATCGAGTTTTTACTGGCGCGCGAGGCCCACCACTCACCGCTTGCTGTCCGACTCTTCACTATTGACGGGGTAAAGTCGATCATGTTTGGCAGCGACTTCATCACAGTGGAAAAGAACCCAGAGGACGCGTGGATGGACGTTAAACCGGAGGTTTTCAGCTTGATGACCGAGTTTTTGAGCAATGGACAGCCAATCATGAATGAGGGACATGATAGCGAGTCGCTTTCGCCGGATATCGACATCAACGACTCGGATTCGGACTTGGTGGCCATGATCAAGGAGTTGATTTTCACCAGAATCAAGCCCGCCTTACAAGACGATGGTGGTGACATTGAATACGTCGACTTCATTAACTCTGAAGAGCACGAGGAAGGTATCATCTTGTTGAAGTTGAAGGGTGCATGCAGATCATGCGAGTCGTCCAGCGAAACTTTAAAGAATGGGATCGAAACCATGTTGAAGCATTATATTGAAGAGGTCAAGGATGTGTTGCAGGTCAGTGATGACTTCCAGAAGGGTGATGATTACAAGGTCATGGGGGCAGTCATAGAGAAGGGTTTCGAGGACATCCCCGAGCCCGAGGTCCATGCCGCGGTCCTTAAGCCTGCTGCGAGGGGGTAACCGTATTCGTATATGTCTTCCTCGCCGCATAAGCTGGTTGAAACGTGTACCATCGAGTGCCGTCTCTTGCATATAGCGAACTCTCAGGTCTCGCGGTTCGCCCGGCTCAACCCTTGATCTGCTAAATGCCTTGTCATAACATGGCTTAGTACCTGACGTGAACATTTTTGCATCAAGTCCTGAGAATATCACGCATGGTTGTATTGTAACATGGTTTAATATATTGGTAGGTGGCGAAACACTACGTTATCGGCTAGACCGGCCAAGTGTAAGTCTGGGCATCATCTGACATCCATGTTCGAGCTTAACCTCCACCACTCAAAAGCTTAGTTTAAGATAGTTTACGTTATACCAAGATGGTTCTTGACATCAAGTTAAAGCTCACCAAGACATATACGGTATTCCTCGATCCTCGTAGTGTGTTGTCATGCGCCTTGATTGGACGCACTTCTGAAGATCGCACGTGAACGAACTTGCATAACCTACTCATGCATACGTTTGAGGGAAAATCTGTACCCAACAACCCCTCATCTCACTGCAAATGTGAAAGGTGCCGATTACACATCCACAATGAGTCGGGCCGATCGGCAGCAGGAAACTCACAGTAGCCGTATGAAAGCGTGAATGAAAGCTCGGCAAGAGTACCCAAGAGAGCCGTCAAGTTTTTGTAGGGTTTTCCTTTCCCGATCTCCGATTTTGCCCGTTAGGTCTAGATGACGCACCATATGCGCCTGCCAATCCGGGTCCTGCGGAACTATACTCGTAGGCAGTCCCGGGAGAGTATTTTTTTCATTACGGGTTGGTCTTGGATCCGAAAGATGAGGTTTTATATAAAGTCCATTACAGAGTGTTTAAAGTCTGGGGCTAATAGGTAATAATAAAACCGTCACCACTATCCTTATTCCGTTCTCCTCTTGGCTTTCGTCCCCCCACTCTGCATAACCTCGCCATCTACCACAGTGCCTGCTCGCCACCCAAAAAAAAAGATATTTTACCAAGCTTACTAAACCAGTGTTACTCCAGCGTTGGAATACTTAATTTTTTGGCATAGTCTTTCTGAGTTACATTCTCGGTGCTGAGATCTGAAAACGAGTCCAGCTACCCGATCTGTGCTACGCCAATTTCCAAAGCCAACTACTACATATTTGCAGAGGTCAGATTTTTGCTACAATCTCTTTTTACTGAAGTCTACTTCTGTTGAAATACTCTTGGCTGGTAACTTTTGTTATATAGTCATTATCAAGAACTTCTCTTACAATTGCTACCCGATTACGCTTCATATCTAACCCTCTGTTGAAAACATTCCTTGGATTTCATCCCCCTGAAACTTCACTTATCATGGCCACTTTTGAAATCGCCATGCCCGAGATCGACTCACTCGAGATTGTCTCGGACCCAAATTCTCCTGATTCCGACGAGCTCTATGTCACCACGTTCGACGACAAGTACGACAACGTGGACGGAGACTACCTCATCCGCCAGGGCAACCACGTGGTGGACGTTGTTGTGACGTACGAACGCACATGCGATACGCTAGGTGAGACGAATTCGGAAGAGTTTAAAGACTTCATCCGGGGCTTAGTGCTCAATGGGTACCCGTCTCTCCAGGTGCTCCCTACCGAGGAGAATGTTGGAGGGGAAAATCGGATCTACTTTGAGGCCAAGTCTGTGTCGTATGCAACGTCAAAGTCATTCAATGGGCCAAAGCTAGAGGCAGAGCTCCAAATGCAGTCCGGGATGAAGTTCCCGATGAGATCATTCAAATTAGGCTCTGTCCTGGATTCCGCCCTGGATTCTGTCTCTACCCCTCGCCTGGTGTCTAGTCTGGCATCCACTTCTATCTCCGTTCCTTCCCCTGGGCCTTCCTCTGACTTGGTCTCGCCATCCGGTCTCACCCCGGTTGTCCACGAAAACGCTATCTTCCGCCTTGGGTCTTCCTCGGACGCCCAAGCACTCCGCACCGCCATCTCCGCCAACCACCCCTCCGTTTCCGTCTACTTCGAATACCCCGAGAGCCTCTCGCATCCTGGAAATGTGTTCGTGCGCGGGCTCTCGCTGCTCGCCACCGAGGCGGACTTGTACCGCGTTTTAGCGCCTTACGGGCAGATTAACAACGTGAACGTGATAGTGAAGCTGGAGCGCCACCGGTTTGGGTTTGTCAAGTTCAACAGCCACGAATCGGCGATCAACGCGATCAAAGCACTCAACGGAACCAAGGTCTTTGGCGAGACTGACTTCTTTGTGAATCCGTACTTGAGCAAGCGCGAGCGGACCCACGCGCAGCAGCAGCTTGACGCTATTCACCAGCTGAATGAGTATAGGGACCTTTATGTGGTGGGAATTCCCGAGAATGTGCACCTGAATGAGTTATTGACGTTGTTCAACCGGCTCTATCTGGTGGAGAATAGCTACATTCCGAAGACTCCTCTCCAGGAAGATATGGCTCCAACTACGAACCCAATTCCAAACACTACTCCTCATAACTGCGGAACAGCTCCTAGAAACTTTGCCTTTATCAGATACGCCACGAACAAACAGGCCCTTTCGACCCTCCTCGCGCTCAATCAGCACGAGATTCTTCCCGGAAGCCGCCTCTGCATCCAGATCGCCCAGGTAAAACATATCTTGGCCCACCAGGATGCCATCCCATACCCTCAGTTCAAGTTTTTGATGGCCAGTTGCAGCCCCGACTTTCAGGAAACCAACCTCTATGTCAAGAACTTGCCGCTAGAGGTCGACGACATGCTCTTCCATGCGATGTTCCGGCCACATGGCGAGATTGTTTCGGCAAAAATCATCACCAAGCCGGCCCGCGGTTCAGGCGAGAATACTGGCTCCAAGGGCTACGGCTTTGTGTGCTTCAAAACCCGCGAGCTGACCATTGCTGCACTTTTGAACTTGAACGGGAAGTTGGTCAACGGGAATAAGATTCATGTTTCATTTGCTCAGGTCAACCAGCGCAAGGGGCGGGGCACTCAGGCGGTGCAGGTGCAGACTTTTACACCTCCCGCTTACCCCCACTTCGGAAACTACTACCCGGGAATGATCCATCCCAATTTCATGGTTCCTGGTTCTGGCCATATTCCGCCTCCTCCGGTTCTATGTCCCGCCGATGGCATGTATCTTCCGGTGTATTACCCCGAGATGATCTATTCCTACTCTCCGGACATGCCCTATATGCCCCAGGAGGAGTATTTTGGGCAGTTTCCGATGAGATATAGTCCAGAGGGTATGAATGGTTACCAGTGGAAGGGAGGGTACCAAAGAGGTTCCGGGGTCATGCGCCGGGAGCCGAAGGAGAAGTAGGCGGTGTATTTAGTTGAACTACTGTACATAGTTATTTATTTGTAGGCGGGGTGAATTTCAATAAAAACCCAGAGGGTTCGTGCCGAATAGCGGAGTAGAGATACTAACAACGCAGCTCTACAGGAGATTTGCAAATGTCATTGTTGGTTCATAATTTGGCATTTTTAGTTTATGAGTATTTAAGGAATATCTATAATATCCAAATTGATCATCATTTATCTGAATTCCAAATTAATTAAAACGAGGATGCTCTTTTTTTTTATCATCCTCCCACCAGATGCACCGCCTTCATATGCAGGAGGTGAAACTTATCCGCTTCTCAACCTCTTCCACCGCTGTTCGCCATATCTCACCCCTATCTTTGATGTTCGCCAGATTCACCTCTAGAGCGGTATATAATGCCTCCAAAACTCCTGTCCGCTTTATCTCAGCGGTTCCAGAGCACCTACCAAGTCTTCTCAACTTGAAGGTGGGGCAGATCGTTTCCTGCGAGAAGCATCCTGATGCGGAAAAGTTGTACGTCTCCCGCATCCAGGTGGGGACTGATGGGACCGAAGCCAACCTCCTCACGGTGTGTTCTGGGCTTGTGCAGTTTGTTCCCCTCGACCAGATGCAGGGCCGCCGCGTGGTGGTTTTGACTAACTTGAAACCCTCCAAAATGCGCGGCATCAAGTCGGAAGCCATGCTCCTTGCCTCTGAGGCGGAGGTAGCGGGTTCCGTGAAAGTTGAGTTGGTTGATGCTCCCAGGTCTAGCTTAGTAGGCGAGTCGCTCTATTTCAAGCCGTTTGTCAGGGGAAAGAATGAGAACCCGCCGCGGTTAAAGTCCAAGGTCTGGGAGCTGATCCAGGCTAATCTCAAGACTAACCAGAGCTGCGAAGTGGTGTTCAATAATGATGGCGAGGACTGCTTTTTACTGACGGTGAGTGGGGAAAGGGCTACGGTGGCTTCATTGAGGGGTTCCACGGTTCGTTAGAATAGTCTGGGCGCAGCCCGTAGGGAATGTGTTTCGTTAAATCATGTATATATTGTACAGCATATTGGAGTTACGACTGTAGATAAAACATATTCCCCAGGGCGGTTTAGCTAATTATCCGTGTTGTTTTGTGTGACGGTGTCATTGTCCCTACAAGTTACAGTGTTACTAGCAGAATCTAAGCTCCCTAAAATAAATGTGAGGTTATGGTCCATTTTAATTGTCTACAGCACAGTTTAGATAGCCTCAAGCTCGGAAAGAATCGTTGCAGTAATTTAGAGCCTCAATTATTTAGCTCACCCTTCGAAGCATGTTGGGCAAAGGTATAGTCCCACTGGATTTTATGGTTTTAGAAGCTACAGGTGAATGACCCCATATGATAGCTATGATTATTACAGTTTTCATGTCTAGATAAGCAGGTACCAATATAGCCGGTCCTTTAAACTTATTTTACCTCAACACTTTTATTTATCATGGCATTCAACATTTCAAGTCCGAATAGTGGGAAAACTTGGATTGGTTTTCCAGTAAAGGATTTATCACTTCCGTTGGTCGGCTTATCCCCTAGCATTTCACAGGTTTGTCCTTCCGCCTCTTTTCTCAGTTTAGTAAAAAGCTCAGGATCAGCTCTCTCAAACCGCTACTCTGAAGCATCACTAAAGGCTATTGGCGTAAAGTATAATGCAGTCGTAGGCTTACTAAGAATCAGATGCTTCAAAAAAAATCAGGTGGCACAGAGAAAGCTTACACACGACTAAGTGTCAGCCGGATAGTTTCATTCAGGGCAGACTGACTCCAATGGCACAGGCTAGCCTCTGCCCGATTCACCAGTAGCTTCGCCGGTGGTGTCTTCACATATCAAATGGTTCTGGTTATGCAAGCTTCCGCCAGCGGAGAGCTCCGCTCGGCTTCACTCCACTTCCACCCTCCTTGCAAATTCATGATTCTCCGGGCCAGTCTCCTCCTTCTCTTCCTCCTCCTCCGCCGCCGCCAAAACCTCCGGCCGAGCCTTCACCACCGCATCAATCTTCGCACAGATCTCCTTCGTCGTCAAATCCTTCGTTGGCTCGGTCTCGCCAAACTCAGCAGCCCGGAACAATGCAAGCAATTCTCCCGGAACAAAGCAGATCTCGGAGTGAAGCTCAATCATGAAGTTGACAATCTCAATCCCATAGAAATATGTATCCCCCAGCCCACTTTCCTCGACCGAATAGTACCCCGACAGGTTTTTTTCACCTTTCGGCTTTGCAAAGAGAATCGTGGGTGAAATCACCGTTGCCAAGTTGTGGATATCCATCTTGGAGTTCTCGTCAAACGAGCCCACCCACTTGAAAAATACCAAGAGAACTTCCAACAAGTCCCTGTTGCATTGCGGCAACAAGCAGAAAATCAACCGGATAGCCCGGAGTCGCTCCTTCGGGTCGGTGAACCGCCGGAACGCTGCCATCCAAAGTTCATAAAGGTTGAAGGTCATCAACGGATCGGGCATCTCGCGCAAAAACTTCTTTAAAAGCGCCGCCAACTGGATGGCCGATTCGCCCGAAAAGTCTGGCGACGTGTTTGGGTTCGCATTGATGCTCTCTGTCGCCTCTCGGAGTCGCTTAATATTCCCGTTGAGGCGAAAGATACCCTCCACCGATACGTCCCTCGTCTTGAGACACGTGATCAAGTCATCGATGAGAAGCGGAATCTGGAGCTTTGCTGGCCCCGCCCCGAGCTCGGACTCAACCCCATACTTAGATGTGAGATCCTCGAGCGGCGCGGCAAACACTGTCGCCTGGCCCTTCTCCTTACGGTGGTCCGCGCGGCGAAACTTGTCCCAAAACGTTGCCTGCTTCTTCGTGGGAATCAACGCATACAAATCGCCACGCGGATACTCGTCACCAAGAATCTGGGCCAACGCTTCCACGGCAATATGCTTCAAAATAAAGTGTTCCTGGGCCGTCAATTCTGAGTAGTACGTGCCCTTGGCCACCTTCTGGCTCTGTGCGCGGTGCATGACCGTGGGCGTCGCTGCTGCCCCGGTCCCAGCAGCGGCGTGGCGAAACGCGTTCGGCCGCATCTCGCGTGCCTGCTCCACTGCCACGATACGCGGAATATCGTCCAAGGTGAGGGAAATTTCATTGTTCAACATTTCGTTTGTAGCGGTAATCTGTGGCGCCGCGTTCGTCTTGTGCGATCGTTTACGTGCAAGCTCATCCTCGATGTTGGAGACCATCTGCAGTGTCGGCGACGACGCGCCGTGTGGGTCGACGTACAGGCTGCGCGCCAGTTTGCGCACCGAGCGCGAGACCTTGTTGCTCTCGCGCGTGGATTTTAACCGCATTACAGTACTGACGGTGGTGTTGTAGGTGGACTCCTGGGCCTGTGGGAGCTGAGGCGAGGTGTCGAGGGTGGTGTGTGAGCGCGTAAAGGCGAGCTTGAGGAGAAGCATTAATGATGTGAGTTCGGATTCGTAGACCGGGCCGGGGTTAGGCCGGTGGTTACGACTAGGCCCGAGGCTAGGCAATTCACTGCTAGTCTGAAGTCCCGTGTCCAGCCCGCGGCGAGGCTCGTCGCTGGTCAGGAAGGGCATTTCTTTTGCCGGGCCGGGTGCCTCGCACGCCGTATGCCACCGTCTATCCCCCTGCCTCATGGCAGCCGTGTCGATACTCTTCTGACAGCGCCCGCATTCGGCAGCGCCCGCGGCTTGGAGCACCTGCGGTATATCCCGCGGCACGTCTTCCGCCCGCGCAATCGTCTCCAAGAGACGCTCGAAAGCCACCGTTGTGTGACTGGCCTTGTTGTGGTTCAACGCACTGACCAATGCGTAGCGGATGACAAACTTCAAGTTGTGCGCAAGCACGGTGATGAGGTCAAGCATCCTGTGGGTCTCCGTGTCGGGGCTGTCGGGCGCATTGTGGAGTTTCTGGAGGTAGACAAAGATTTTGTTCGCGAGGTGGCGCGGCTCCAGCCCCAAGACGGGGTAGTGTGGCGAGTTCAGCGGAGTTACCGCACGGGACTCCGAAAGAACCTCCAGCCCGGACGAAACGTTTGGATCAGGCGAATGTTCCAGCCCGGGCGCAATCTCCAGGTGGTGCAACAGTATGCCCAGCTCCGGCTGATGCCGTGGTTTGTGATCAACCTCCGGTATGCCCATCGCGTGCAACTGCTCCACCGCGGTAAACAACTGCCCCACCTTCCAAATGAGCACCCCCGTCGTCATTAGCCCCTGAAGCTGATTCCCCGACGTCAGATACTGTAACATCTCCGAGATGCAACCGGCAGTAGAGCCTTCAAACTTGGTGAGCGTATCCCAGCACTGGAACACCATCGCCTCAACCCTGTTCTCGTACATAAACAAGTCCTCGCGGCCCAAGCCTATCTCGTTCAAGCGGTGGCCGTTGAGTGGCATTGGAAGCTGCGCACACTCAGCCGTGATGGCCACGTTCCAGTAACGGTGAGTCATGTAGCACTCCGGGTGCCAGCGCTCGTCCTTCCCGCGGCGAAACACTTCCACAAACTGTTTCAAAATGGCACACTTGCACCCTTCGCAGTAGGAAGCGTGGGACTTGGAGTAGTCATAGTGGCAATAGGTTCCGCTGGCCTGTTCGTAGAAGTTTTCGTCCTTTTCAAAGATACGATTGCACGTGGTGCAAGTGAAGTGCTCTAGGTGGTATTTGTGGCCCAAGGCGACGATGTACAGCCCGCGGAGCGAGGCATCGCACTTGTGGCAGAGCATGTCGAGGCGCCGAAAGTAGTCGTATTCGCAGAGAATGATGGAGGAGGTTGTTTTCGTCTCTGGATCCTGGATCTCGGTGGTGAAAAACTTGGCCGCACAGTTCTTTCCGCAATCGTGGCACTGAAAACAGTCGATGTGGTACGGGTGGCCGAGCGCGCGCACGTACTTGCCCTGAACGAGCTTACCACACCCGCGGCAGTACTTGATTTTTTTCGTCCGGGGCTTCTCGGGGGCCAGCGGCACGGTGTTCTGAAGCGTGAACACCGCGCTCAGTGATTTTTGTAGCACGAGGTCCGGCTTCGCGTACGCAGGTTTGGAGAGCGGATTGGTCGGATCAGGCACGGAATATAGATCTGTTGGCTTGCTGAGCTCTCTGGAATACTCTTTGGAATGGTCACTCGAAGGGTCGGCCCGTGGATACATGTGTCGGCGCTGGAGATGCGACGCTGCGTGCACCGGCTGGGGCGACAGGGGCATGGGCGGAATCAAGCTCTGCCAGTTGGGGCCAGGCGATGCTTTTCGCAGGCCTTGTGGCGACTGCGACGGATAGCCCTTGGGCAACGGGTAGCCCTTGAGCGGAGGGGTAGGTGGGTTCGATCGGTCCTCGGAGCGGCGCTCCATGGTTGGGGCCAGCCACAGGTGTGTTGATCCCTGCAACATTTTATATTTTTTGACTAGTCTGGAACAGCTGTGGATGGATGGTATCTAGATAGGTATGATGTCTCTTCAATTCACGGTGATGTTTTCAGAAAGAAGCCGCGGCGTACCCGCACACGTATCTGCTTTTGGTTTTTCCCAGTTTTGTTTTTCTGTGTGGTGCATGCACGGAATTAGTATATTTTTAGAAACGCAGGCTTACCCACTGTACAGATGGGGGGTATTCCAAAACAACACAGAGATTTATTAATAGGAAATTACAGTCTGTTTATCCAGTCACAGGGAAGGGTGATGCGATTGAGTTTTTGTTAGTGGCACGCGCGGGTGCTGGCAAAATGGTCTACGGGAGCCACTAGGATGAAACCACTAACCTGACACTTGTGAGATTATTTCGGGAAATTGACGGTCTTGGAAACTCTAAATATTACTGTGTGGCTCCCATCGCACTGCTTCAATAGCTAAGCTGGTGGCGGAGGTGGGGTAAAAACGGGAGGCCTTACAACGTAACGTTAGGCATGACAAAGGGCAAGATATCGCCAGTCAAGCCGCTTTTTTGGCCGATTGTCAGACTTTTTTCCGATGTCTTTACGCTCTACTTCTAGGGGAATTTACAACATCCAACCTCTCAGATACACCATCATAAGGACGCAATGTCCTGGATGCATCCTGTACGCTGCAAAACCAGGCCACCAGACCGCCAATCCCCAAGATCATAACACCAGCCATTATTCGGTATTCATTGAATCAGCCTGTACACTCTGATTGGTCGGCACGTGGGCTTATATCGTCATTTCGCATGTTCTTAACAATCACTAACGGAAATTCAAAAGCGCAGGGTGCCTGAAACGGCGTGTTTTTATGTGTAGATACACTCAGCCTGTACACCCAGTTGCTTCAGCCGCCGTGATGGGCAGACGCATGCACCTTGGTGTCACGAAAAGCGAACAAACACGTCCCAAAACGGAAGAATTCATATTGTTTTCCTGCATATACTAGGCACCCACCCAATTAGGCAATTATATGCTTTTGTTTCAAAATACCTCTGCATGCGTACTGTACGGGAGAGAAGAAGATCCGGTTGATATAACCAAGAGTACAAAAGCAAGAAGCATGAAAAAGGTAGACCAACATTAGGATGAATCCAGGGATACTCAAGTCGGTGTCGAACCAAATCCTGAACGTCCTAAGCAGCTCCGGTAAGTGACAATCTCAGGCAGCCTCGGAAAATGCTTGCGTGCCAGAGTCCCCTGTCTACAGCCCGATCGGTTTTAGTCGAGACTAGGCAGGGCTGGCAGGGAAAGGTCTGCACCACTCTGGCGTTTTTGACGAACACAGTGGAATGATATATGAAACTAGCACAACAACGAAAAAATCAAAGCGCAAACACGCACGGTCAAATAGGACATTATCATAATTACATGCGATTGATAAGTTATATAATACAAAAACCGTTTTGGTTGTGAAAGCCTACCCATGCTCGAGTATGAGACAGCTGCGGTTAGCTTCCTAACCAGATCTGCCCCCGGTAACGGAGAAGTTAGCCAAGTCGTGAATCACCATAGAGGCGACCGCAGTGGACAATAAGGTGGAGATGGCACCGGTGAACAATGCAGACATGACCAACTCGGCAATCTCCTTCAACTTGGTAGGGGCCAAGGTTCCCAAAACACCAACCTGGGTACCGACGGAACCGAAGTTGGCGAACCCACACAAGGCGTAGGTGGCAATCATGGAACCTCTCTTGGACATGGAGGTGAATGGTTCGTCGTTGATCAACATTAAGTAAGCGTTGAATTCGTTCTGGATAATCTTGGTGGCCATCAATTTGGAAACCAACAACACTTCGTCCTTTGGAGTCCCGACCAACCAGGCGACGGGGTACAACAAGTAAGAGGCCATCAACTCCAATGTCAATTGTGGGATGTTCCAGAAACCACCAAACCAAGTCAACAACGCGTTGATCAAGGCCACAAGCCCGATGATACACAAGCACTGGGTCATAATGGTGGCAGCAATGATAAGCCCCAAAGTGGCTCCGTTAGAGAAGGCCTGCAAGACATTTCGAGGACGGGCTGCCTCGTCCTCCTCGTTACCCAAGATTTCCATCTTACCGGCAGAAACAGAGTGCTCCGTCTCTGGGTATCTCATCTTGGACACGGCCAAAGAGGCAGGAATAGACATGACACAAGAGGAGACCAAGGCCTGCGGGTTAACTCCCAAGCCAATGTAGGAAACAAGGACGGAACCCGAAATGGTGGCGAAACCGGAACACATAATCTGGTGGATCTCGGCCCGGGTCAAGTACGGCAACAAGTTCTTGATCAAAATGGCGGACTCACCGATCCCGATGAACGGAGCAGCGGCGGCGTTGACAGCTTCGGCTCCGGAAACTCTTAGCGTCCAGTAGAAGAAGTAGGCAAACTTACCAACACCCCACTGGATAACACCGAAGTAGTACCAAATGTGTACGAAGGCGACGAAGAAAATGACGGATGGCAAGACGGTAAAGAAGAACATCCCGAGCTGGGAAATCTCGGCGTTGGTGACGAACGCAACACCGTCCTTGGCGAAACCAAGCAATTCTCTGGCCAAGAAGGAGACAAAGTTGAAAATGTCGTAGCCAGCCTTGGTTCTTAAGACAAAAAGTGCAATGATGAATTGCATCAACAATCCGCCGATAACCGTGTGCCACCTGATAGCAGCTCGGTTGACGGAAGTGCACCACAAACCAAAGAGGGCAACAATAATGCCGAAGAGGGAGACGCCGCGGTCAGCCCTCCTGGAGTACTCGGTTTCCGAAGGCACAAAGGTACCGACCAAAATTGTAGCAAGTGTGACTAAAGCACCTACCGCCATTCTGGCGTTGTGGCTAGGAATGTACTTGTAGATAATATCGGAGCCCAGGTACCAGATTTTTTGCGCGGCATGGAGGATCCAGTAAAGGATCGGGCAGTACCAGGAGATGATTCTGATCATGATGAACCCCCACAAAATGGTTGGGATCAACCACATGTGACGGTGCTTGTCCTGGATGATAATGGACAACCACCAGGAAGTGAAGAACAAGGCCCAGAAAAGACTCCAGACCCACTTGTTCTTGCGGTAAACACCATTAGCGGAGGTAAAGATACCACCGACCTTGGAGCCCATACTGTTACCGTTGGCAAAAGAGGCATCGCTATGCTTGGGGTCATGATCAGTGACTTCCTTTTCGCAGCCATGGCTCTTTTCCATACCTTGATCGGTTGAAGTGTCGTCCTCATGGGTCGAAACCTCCTCGTGGAGGGTGTTGTGCTGTCTGTTAGACTCGATGGAGGCCATTTATTCGTAGCCGTAAGGTTAGGTATTGAGGAAACCAAAAACTTTGATTCTATCCTTTCGGGGGTATAGATATAATAACGGTATTTAGAGTTATTGGGAAGTGAATGAGATATCAGCGGGGGATTGTGATACAAGCAAGAGGAAAGGAGAATGAAAGGAAAGCTGGCCAAGAGATCCCAATGAAATATATACGGTTATTTCCAAAATGAGTCGTTCCTGGGGAGATAGCACAAAGGAAGGCTACTCTCCAAAATCTAAAAGTTCTCTGGAAAAAAGAAACAAAACCTCTTAGTTGGTCAGTGCTGGGCCTCTCGATGCGGCTATCCCATAAGCCCTTATTACCGACCTGTCAGGTGCCACTTCGATGACCTGCGCAGGCGATTACATTCCAACTAAGCCAAGCAGAGGGCCAAAGCCTACTGGTGAAATTTCATTTTGGAGGTACAGTACATGCGGGAGGGGGAACTAACTGGTTTTTGGCAACCGGAGGACTTTACCAAGGTTTCTGTAGGGGTTTCAACTTTGATCCAAGACAACGAACTGTATGTTTGATGCACGGCAGAGCACTGACAGGATAATTAAGATTTGTAGATGTAATCTGTGCTGTTGGATGTAGGAAAACGCCGAGATATTTTTCCTGATACGTCCATTACTGCAGACCCGCACGGAATAAGTCTCTTCTCGCATATGCGTGAAAAAAAAATTTTCCTGTACTAAGACTTTTGACAGATTTTCTGCAGCCTGTACATCAGGTTCTGGGCGTAACATAACACGATGGAACAAAAGTTGAAATGATATAGAAGGGTAAGAATGAAATTAAGATCATTCTTGTATCCAAGTTTGTTAACAAACCCCACATTGTTGAATAGAGGTCCTAGTCGGTAAAACGGGCCTAAACTTTAAACAGGGTTTTCATAATGAGACCTCTCCTGCAGAACGGTTATTCTACGCCAGCCGCAGAGTAAATGACAGGCCTGGCCGATTGTCCAAGAATATGAAAAAAAAAAGGAATTACCAACAGCCCAACCCTCAAGGGCATAGCTGGAGCTGAAACTATTAGCAATACTCTTTATATGTATAGTGCTATTTGATAATCAAGTATTTCCCCCGTCCTCTAGAGGGGCGGGACCTCCAAAATCCAAATCTCGTCGTACTCGAGTCATCGCCAGAAAATGGCCTGTCATTCCTTTGACATCTCAATTCGTATTGTTCGACATGCATAGTTGGAAGGCCAGGGGAGAGACATCGGAGGTAGCGATGCATGTGCAAAATTTTATCGTACAAACAGTAATGTACATGCATGTACAATATGCTAGTTTAGACATCGGTTTAGACAATGGTTATACCACCCAGAGAAATAGTCCCAGAAGTCTGGAATTTACCAGCGTTCTGATCCATTCGTTTTCCTGGGATATACCGAAGGTTCATAGCCCAATAAATGTTCCTAGGTTTTGATATGCTTGACGTTTCCCTGGGCGGAACATAGCCTGCGATTCCAGAATGCCTTATACAAAATACCTGCATGCGGATTAAATACACGCTACTTGCGGTCCAGTCTGCCCGTATCCTTTGTAAACGTTCACCGGAAAAGTATCTCACCATCCAGACGACCCTAGCGACGTCCCCAAGATCTGCAGGCCATATATTACCGTATGGCATTTTCAGGGTTACTGAACCTTTATCCTGAGGATCAAGTTTGAATGGTACTGGCGGAGGATTGTAAGTCGAGCAAGATGTGTCTCCGAAATCTCAACAGATCATTCCTCTAGTGATTCCAGGGACTGCCTCAGCATGGATTTCGAATCTATTCCCCTTTGTCCTTGGCGTGTGCTGAAGCCAAGTAGGACAGACATGTCAAACCGTATAGCCTGCGCAACGTACTTTGGGGATAACTACTCAGGTCGAAACAGAATCCAGATCATAGCTCGGTGCTTCACAACATTCTAAGGTTGAAATAGCCCGGTGGATATACTAGAATTGGAGTCTGGACCATGTAACCCACAGCTAAGCATCCGAAATTGGCTGCCGTGCATACTTTAAAGTTCCAGCTATATAGGATTTCAAATCGGAGCTTTCCGGGAACCATCTTTATAAGCTACTGCTTAAAATTCTGGAAAAAGCACACCCAGTGCTAAGGATGAGGGTAGTACGGTATGGCCATGTTATAAGGCTTTAGTATGGCTAGCTCGGTCACGAGAAGATGTCTCTTTTTCAGAGCAGAAGGTAACGAAGTATATAAAAAAAAAGTAAAACCAGTGTACCGAGCACTAAGGTCTCTGAACAGAGGAGCGGCCATAAAACTCCTTGCAAAGGGAGGGGAAGCGGTCCTGTGGGGTAAGTGAGACATTGCCCGTGCGGCCATAGAACAGATCTAGACAGCTGCAAATTATACGGACAAAACAAAAGCCATATTCTACGGCGACTTTTAATCAACTACTACCAATTTATACGTTAGTCATATAACTCATATTTTGTACTTTTGCCGCTGTATTCCTTGCGGGATTCAGAGCGCCCTCTCAAAATGGTTATGAGTATGAAAATCATGAGTCTATCCTGTACCCGAAAGAATGGCCAGTAGAAGCAGAGCCAGTGCAGTACTACAGCTTCCTATACAACAAACACCTAGCTAATCGACAATAATGAACCCCCAAGAAGTGCCAAAGAAGTTTAAGAAGCCAATACCGAGTCCTTCCTCCACATACCCCTCTTCTGCTGGCGCTGGGAACACCGCCCCCCGCGCTCCCGGTGCTGGCCCCAAGATTCCCGCATTCTTCTTAAAGATGGGTGGCTTTTACAGTCGCATGTCCTTCCCCGAAAAGATGTTTTTATGGGGGAGCACCATGGCATTGTCTTACTTGGGTATGCGAGTTACCGGGAACGAGAATGAAAAGGTTGAGTTGAGGCAGTTGGCCGAGGCCCAAGTGGAACGTGAAATGGCCGAAATGAGGACCCAGAAATAGCCCCCCAAGATTTTTACCAAGATTCAAATACAACACAAGTCATCAGAATAATGCTCGCAGAGCCTTGGCCACAAACTCGTCACAACCACCAGTAAGATGGCGCAAACGGTTGGCAATGATGACTCCCCGGGCGCAATCCTACGGGAGAACTACATAAAGAATCATATCGTTCAATTCATCTACATACAGCCATAATTCGTAGAAGAGATGAGTAGATTGCAGACAGCTATACAGTCGACTTATCTCCGTCTGATATCTTTCTATATAATCCTCAGAGTTTAATAATGGCCGTTTGGCCGAGTGGTCTAAGGCGTCTGACTCAAGATCAGATCTCGTAAGAGGCAAGCGTTCGAACCGCTTAGCGGTCATTATCTTTTTTTTTCCCATTCCTATCCCCTGTCTAATGGCTTCAACAGCTCCATACAAGGCTTTTGGCCGCCTCATTTATTACTACCCAGTATTTACGCCCTAGCTTTGCGACGCCTGGACCTTAGTATCTAGATAAATCTCATTCTTACATGTAAATTGTCTCTACGTCTGCTAAACTTAAACTGTATTACATGTAAACCAATAAACTAAATAAAATGCTCCTCTACAACTGAAGCTCCTTTCTGGTGGCAGAGATGTACTCCAAGAACTTGGCTGGGTTGACATCAATACCTCTAGAATAGACAAACCTGGAAGCCAAGTGGGTGGCAAACAACGCTCTCAAGTAGGCCTCTGGGACTCTAGCCAAGATGTTATCCAACCCGATTTCGGCCAACAACAAATCTGGAAGGGCATCGTTCAAAACAGAGTTACGGAATGGCTTGTCATCCTCCCACAACTCCTTGGAAGAGGCCAAGTCGTCAGCCAACTGGTTGATGGCAACGGACAAGGTGTCGGAAAGGTCACACAAGGCCTTGCCGGTGGACTGTCTCAAAGCCCACAAGGACTCAAACTCCAAGTTGGCGTTGCGCTGGATCAACTTCTGGACCTCGGAAACGTAAGCCTGGTACAAGGCTGGCTTGACGCCGGTGGAGGAAATGCACATGTTCTTCTTGAACCCTTCGTCATCAAAAGACAAAGCGGCCAAGACCTCGAAGGAGGAGGAGGTGACACCACCCTTGTTGGTGGAGGCATCCTTGAACACGATAGCACCGGCGTTCTCTAAGATAACCTTAGCCGGTTGGGTGATGAACAAGTTGGCACCTTCGACAATGTATGGGATAATCGAACGACCGGTATTCTCGTCGATAAGAGAGAACACGTTGTTGGTGTCGATAGCAGCCGGTCTACCACCGCATGGCACGAACAAGTCAACCTTGCCCAAAGTCTGCTTCAAGTTGGTGTGGAAGTTGTTTCTGAAGGCAATCCCGGAAGTGATGACTTCGCCGCTTGGGATCTTCAAGTCAACGTCGTCAACCAAGCAGACGTACCCTTCGTCAGACAACTTGGACTTGTCATAGTTGTCAATCATCTTACGGGTCTTGGCCAAGCGCAACACTTCGGCAGAGTCGAGACCCTTTGGATCCACAATGACACCGGAACCATCAACAATGGCAACGTAGTGCTCCATCTTGTTCGCCAACAAGATTTCGTTGGAGCCCAAGTCACCATCCGGACCACCGGTCTGGAACTTGGTGATCTTGGCATCGGTGATTTCCAACTTCTGGTAGATCTTCTCGACGTAAGCCCTGACAGACAAGGAAGTCATACCGTACTCGTCGTGTGGAATACCACCCAATTCCGGAGACTTACCGGTCAAGAACGATCTCCACCACGGAGCACATCTCTTCTTGGCGTGCAAGGTGGCCCAATCGACGTAGCCGGCGGTCCCCTCATCTGGCCCCAAGAACAAGATTTCAGGCTTGCCGTACAAGTCGACAATCTTCTCCTTCTTGGACTGCTTCTGGTCAAGCAACAAATCAATGAGAGAGTCAATGTACTTCTCGAAGGAGGCCTGTGGGTTTTCCTGGGCCAAGCCGTGGTCCAACAAGATGACACCCTTGGACCCACCCTCTGGGATGTCCTTGTTCTTGCGCTGCTGGGTAGAGGCCAAGTTGTAGTTCTCGTCAAACAAGTTTCTGACGTTGACCTGGTACGCATCCTCAGAGCGAGATCTGACAATTCTGATACCACCTCTAGCAATGTCTCTGAAACGGATGTGGAACCCTCTGAAGTCGGACCCGACAATGAAGAACATACCGTACGGAGTCTGTGGGTACTCGGAGACCGGTAAGAAAGAGGGGTTCAATCTGAAGGAAATGGCCACCTTGGAGGAGACGTAGAAGTTAGTCTTCAAGATGGACTGGTTGAAGCTGTGCAAAGCGCGCAAGACCAAGGCCTGGTGCTCGTTCTGAGAGCATTCACGGGCCAACAAGTGCTCGAACTCCTTTTCATCGCCAATTGGGGTGATCTTGGACAAACGCTTGTACGACAAGGTCTCCTCCAACGGAGATTTGATGTAGTGGGCATCCGCAAACTGGCGGTACAACTTGCGGACAATTTCGCTCTGGGAGGCAAACATCTCCTGGATGTAGGACTGGGTGAAGGTCTCGGATCTCAAACGGTTCTTCAATTTGTTCAAGAGCTCAGCGTGGGCGATGGACTTGGATGGGTCCAACATGGCGACAAGCGAGTTGTATTCCGGTCCAAGACGGTTCAAGAAGTGGGTCACAAAGATAACACCACAGTGGGCGTAAATGCTCTCCTGCAAGGACATGTCACCCTTGACGAACTTGTCGTAGAAGATGTTGTGAGGAATGGAGTACAACAAAGACGCCTCCTTGATAACCTGGTGGATGGACAAGTCCATTGGCTTGGTGGTGTCGGATGGGGTCATGTACATGGAGATGACGGTGGAGCCGTTGGCGAACTGCTCCACGTACTTTCTGGTGGTGGTGAGGTTGTAGTAGTCAGCCAAAACGCTCAACGCGGAGTTGTATCTTCTGGTGGACTTTTGCTTGTACCCGATGATCACACGCACTTCGTTGGTATTTGGAAGGACAAAGTGGCGGATAACCGGACCGGTGGTCAGGGAAACCTGCTGCAACACCTCTGAGTAGAGTCTCTTGGTGTTGTCGGTAGCCGATTCGAGGAAGGTGCGGTCACCGATCTGCTCGATGTCGGTAACATCAGGCTGGGCCTGTTCGATAGAGGTCTTGTAGACAAAGTACAATCTGACGGACTGGTTCTGCACGTTGACGTTGTTTCTTTCCAACGCGTCTCTCAAAGACGGCATGTTTTCCAAGTCCAACGGCGCGGTGTAGGACTCGAGACGGTATGAGTTAGTGCCGTCGGAGGAGTCCAAGTATTTATCGTCGATCAACTCCTCGTAGTGGTTGAAGAGGTAGTCCTCGGAGCCCGGAGTGGAGGAGTCAAAGTAGACAGCATGGTCAACGGAGGCTCTGTTGTACTGCAAAACTGGTTTGGTGGAGACGCCGCGGGCGTAAGCCTGCACCTTGGCAGAGTAAAGCGCGTGGATATTAGTGGCAATCCCCTCGGCAGACTCTCTCGCAAAGTAGATGTCGTCGATCCCCAAGGTGGTGTAGAACCATCTGACTTCGGATTCGATGAGATCTTCTGGGATGAACCCAGCCTTGTCAACAAGGTCAAGAACGGCTTCGAACTGGGTGGTTTTGGCATCGAACGGGATGTCTTTGTAGTCGCCGGCCCTGTGCGGAGAGTCAGTGCGAAGGGAGAGGTTGCTGAGTTCGGAAGCGATGGCAGTCATTGTGAAGTTGAAAAGAGGGGGGAGACTTTTCGGAAAGCGGGTGCTTTGGTGTGAGATTCACGGAGTTAATACGTATAGGAAGAATCCAAAAGTGGCAAAAGATAAATCTTCTGTGTGGCGGTGGACAGTAGTGGAGGGTAGTTACTAGTTTATTTTAGTAGGTCGGTTTAGGCGGGACGGCAATGGTATTTATATTCCACGGCGGCTAATGCTGATACCTTTTACTGAGCGTGTCTAGATGGCCGCATTGAAGGAAGAGAAAAGAAACCAAGGTCATTCAGGAAAAACGGGGAAGCCCAAACGGGAGATCCCTGTGGTCTGTGGAGCTCTACGGTATAAGTCTCCGCATGGGACTGTCCTGAAGGGACGGGTGTGTCTTTTGCGGAGAAGCCGCACCCACATTCCGACGTGCCGTGAATGCATGCATGTGTTTTTCTTTTTTTTTTATTTATTTAGAAGCCTTTGGTTTCCTCAAGCGGCACCACAGATGCCACGGCACGCAGTTAGAAATATATTCAGAGCCATTCTGGTTGGAGCATGCAGATGTAAGAAACTGTGGAGTGACGAATATCTGTGGGGAAGAAAGCAGCTTCTAGGCGTCTAGGACGGTTGTCTAAGTGTTAATGGGTTGTCCAAGCGTTTATGGGAGGGTTGTTCAAGCGCTTATGAGGGGGGTCAGCGACGGCATGTCTAAAGCGCCAACAAGGTTTCCTGTATGTTGGGTAAGCGATGGAAGCCAACGGTCCACCATAGACACTATACACTTTGATCAATGGATCACGGGTTTTTATCAGTGGGCCCTTTATCTATGACACCTTGGTGCCGTGCGCGCGAGCCTTATCTACGGGCGAGAAGGTTGGGAATATGAAATATGAACCTCTCTAAACTCGTTGCAGGAACTTTTTTTTTTGATGGCTATGTTGTTTACCTCTCCGTATACCCCAACTTTTTTTAAATAAATCCCGCACAGGTGACCCCTCAAGTATTCCTCTCGTTATATTTAGGTTTTTTTTGACAGATTTTTCACCCCGGGGTCATCCCCCGACGCACGTGAAGTGCCCACCCCGCCGAGAAACGAAAAAATCCTGTGCCTATTCTGTTCGCACCCGCTGACACCCGCCTGTGTCAACCTGCGGGAAGCGGTGCGCGCATAAATACAGAGCCGGATGACAGCTCTCCTCGCCTTGCACTACCCCAATTCACACAGTGTCCCGCCTCTGCGGCTACCCTCGGCAAGCATTGCCACACACGTCAGCACCGTCTTTCATCCGTCATCTTGCCTGCCACCACAGTTGGTGTCCATCTACGGCCACGTTCGTGACATGCCCATAATGACAGGTGGCTCTGAAATGTCGGCCCCAGTTTCTGCGTAACAGGGCAGTATGACAGCCATCCGTGTACGAGCACGTTTTCCTGCCATCCCTTTATGGGCGCTCCAAAGTTTAATTCCAACAGAGTTTAAACTCAAGAATTATAGGCGGAGCCACATGGTTAAGGGAACTTCCAAGCCACTTTGATAAGAGAGGTGCTAAAGTGTCTGCTTCGCCGACTCTTCGTACTAGGTAATCTTCACCTGTGGTTGTTCTAATATTCGGCCCTTTTTCCGATGGGTAATACGAAGATGTCAGCAGAAATATGTTACACATGCGTCATTTGCCGTAGCGGTGCCAGGTTGCACTACGGCGCTATGCACACAAAACGCAACTGTGGATCGCCGTGGAACTTAATTTAGCGTGGCGGCTAGCAGCAACGGCACTCCTGCAAGCAAGAAGGCGCTTTGAAAGTGTGGAGAAAGCCTGACGGGTCCATTCGGGTTTAGCTTTTAGTCAACCTCGGAGGTTACAGGGTGACTCGGGTACCACTTTTGACGTGCTCCCGTTGGGACTGAGATTTCCGTGTACCTTCCACTTCCAGGAGTCTTTCCTCTGTGAGAAATTTTGTGCCAATGCATCTGTTTAGGTTTTTGACAGGTCTGAAATAACCTGTGACCTGCAGAGTCTACACTTGGAAAATATCTAGGCTTATCTACCTTATGTTATTAATTAATAGGCGGATTCGCCAAAACAGCATATGGCAATGTTTCCTATAACCATATGGAGAGTCCTGGCGAAGATCCAGGTAATGGTTTTGGCGAGCACTAATGATGGGCAAATACACCCATTATTCGACTAGTCGTACTGGCTCAGTCCAAGGCGCCATCAAAGGGGTATTACACGTATCCTTGATAGGCTCCACTAGAATGAACTGACTTGTAGGGGTTTTTGAATGGGATGATTCACGAAGTCTTTTTTCTATGGGCTAGGAAATGGCACCAATATTGTCAACTATTATTCCTCAGATGGTGTATTATTCGTGTTTCCAATGTTTACCTGTATAATTACGATCTAATCCAGTCCCTCCACGATAATCTTAAGGCTGTGCCAACCTCTACTCTTTTACAATCAACGGTAAAGTCTAATGAGGTTTCGCTTGTGGGTTAATCGTGCCCCCGTTCTGCCGGACTCATACTAGTTCCAACTCACAACGGCATCGCCAATCTTTCTTCATTCTTTGTTCTTTTCCCTCTTTTTCCAGCCCCTCCGGGAAGGAGACGAGCACTGTGATTAGAATCCATGCTCTTGATTTTTTGTCACTGTTAATCCTGCCTAAAAGGTCGCGGTCTGTAAAAATGGACCCACCTGCCAAACTTCCAAAGGAAAGTGCCTCCCTTCTGGCTGGCCTTTGCTCTTTTTTCCCTTGTCAGAGTTAGAGGCTAAATCGATGTGGCATCGATGAACTGCACCACCGTGATGACTCAAGTCCAGAAGGATCGTATAAAGAGGTGGTTTCCGGCAAACGGAAAAGGATTTTAGTTTAGAGGTATCTTTATTCTTGTGAAAGATCGTGATTTTACTCAGTGGATTAATTTGATGGTATCTTGTGAATAGATAACTGACAATAACTCCCTGACTGAAATCCCAACAGGTGCTGGAGCCCTGACATCCCTACCATTAGCCGGTCTAGTATAGTGGTCAGTACACCTCTTTGTGGCAGAGGAAACCCAAGTTCGATTCCTGGGACCGGCAGTTTTTTTTAACTAGTAAATCCTGGTGGTGCTAAATCTACCCGGCTCAAGGTTTATGTTAAATACTTCTCCCAGGCTGAAGAACGTGAGGCTGTGGAAGGTTTGTAAGGGCCATACCTATTTTATGCGTGAAAGGGTGGGCAGCACGCACTATCTACATTCGTCTAGCTCCGGTGGCAGGATCCCAAAGCTCGTGCGGGGAACAAATGGCACCTGTTTGTCTCCAATACATTTTACACTGTATTGAAACTCCTTTAGCCAACGCCTCGTCTCCATCTGCATTCCTCAATCGGTAGCACCTTTTAGTCGTCGCTATGACTCTCATTTTAGATATGAATGACTCGCTTCGGTCTGTTTGGTTACCGTTATGAATGGCTAACTGGGTGTGAGTAAAGAGAGTAGATTTGTTCATTGGACAGTCCCTAACTGCAACCTCTCGTGCACTGTGCGTGCAGCCTACGGCTCGGCTACAGTAACAGGCACATCATATCCCGGGGAAGTAACCGGGTCAATAAAAGACCAATAACAACTCTACCGGTGAAAGGGGAAGATATAGAGGCCAAAGAAGCCAGCTAGCTTCTCGGAAAGCCTTGATCCTGCAGCTTTGGTCGTACTCCTGTGACCCTACCCTGCAAGGCAAAGCACTGCCTACAATCACTACGAGATTAAAGCCACAAGATTAAAGCCACAAAATTAAAGCCACAAAAGAAATGAATTCGACACTAGAATAAAGCTTATCGCAAGACTATGATTCTCAAAAAATTTCTTCAAATCCCTTGTCATTGGGAATCCTTACGATGTGAACCTTGCTTCCAGACTTCAGCCCCCTGAAATGACCTAACGATCCATCGGCATGCCTACTGTACCTATAATTAGATTATCCTGCATTCTTTTGCTTGGAAAATTTCACCTGGCTCCCGGTCCCATCGTTGCCAGCGTGCGTGATCGCGATTTCTCGCTGGAATTGAACAGAAAAAAAAAACAGGACGCCTCTTTTCTGCTCCTCCACGAGCACCGGCGTATATAGAAGACGTTTCCGATCAAAAGCTGTCTCCTTTCACCGTCAGAGATATTAGCTGCTCACTAAATTAAGGATATTGCCTGATAGTCCTTCCCTTTCGCTAGACGTCAACCTCTGTTTGCGTCAACGCTATCACACTAGATATCCCAGCGCTGTGGCACCGGACCCATCCACCTCAACGCTTTGCAGATATCGTTTGTCAATATCATTTTGCTGCCAAGACAAAAGTGAGACTACTCAGATCTGCTAAAACAGTCGCGTACTAATTAGCCGTCGCCCCTTGCTGATCCACCGCTTCAACCCATTCTACTTTAGACCATCTGTCTAGCCTTTAGCTCTCGTTACCTTATTCATCCAAACCATGTCTGCCTACACGCAGTCGCTTCCGACAACCCACCTCTCCCCTACCGACGGGCTCGCCACCCCCACCGGCCGCTCGCACCCCACCACCCACAGATCACCGCTCGGCAAGTCCAGCATATACGCGGTAGAAGACGAGTACGCGACCACCGCCGTGCCATATCACAATCCGGGTACGGAAATGGACTGGACGTTCCAACCAGAACCCCAGCAATACAACCTCACGCTGCAGGGACACCTCACGCCGCAACAGCTCTCGCCACAGCTGCAAGGCCGTGGCAGATCGCCAGCCCAGGCAAACCTCTCGGCTGAATTGCACAACATGCACCTCTCGAACGTGCAGAGCGCACACATCCCCAGCTCGAACGCATCGGATGTGCTGAACGTGTCGCCGCCGGAATCCGCGCATGCGCAGTTCTACTACCCGCCGCCGGCGGCCAACCACAGCCGTTCGTCGTCACGCTCGTCGTCGCAGGTGAACCTCGCAGGCCCTGGGCGTCACCTGCACTATCGCTCGCTGTCTGCGTCGTCTGTTCTCTTTCTCGATTACCGCGGCGACACCGCCAGCATGGCGGATTTCTCGCAGAATGTGCTCACGCTGTATTTGGGTGACAACAGCGCGCTGTTGATGCCGCGTATGAAGACCATCGAGCTCTACCGCAAGAATGCCAAGAAGTCCAATGACCCTGCGGTGTTGTTCCAGTACGCGCAATACATCCTCCAGACTGCACTCATGGTGGATGACAAGACCGTCTCGCTGAGCAACTCGCAGGACTCCATTGGCTCCGAGCGCAAGCACCCGCCAGCAAATTCCATGAATGACTTGCTCCATGCTGTGCCCAAGTCCGCATCGTCCGCATCCTTGCCCATCCCGAAGGCATCGCTGGATAGCCGCTTGAAGAAGGAGTTGTTGAAGGAGGCCGTGCACTACCTTCGTCGTCTCTCGGATCGCGGTTACTCCGAGGCGCAGTACCTTCTCGGCGACGCGTACTCGTCCGGTGCGCTTGGCCGTGTCGACAACAAGGAGGCGTTCGTGCTCTTCCAGCACGCCGCGAAGCACGGCCACGCCGAGTCCGCCTACCGCACGTCCTACTGCTACGAGGAAGGCCTTGGCACCGGCCGCGATGCGCGCAAGGCCGTTGAATTCCTCAAGAGCGCCGCTGCCCGCATCCACCCTGCCGCTATGTACAAGCTCGGGGTCTACTCCTTCTACTCGCGCATGGGCCTCCCTAACAACGTCACCACCAAGAAGGCTGGCATCCAGTGGCTTCTGCGCGCGGTCGACCGCGCGAACGAGTTGGTGGCTGGTGCACCGTATGAGCTTGCCAAGATCCACTTTGCGGGTTTCGAGGATATTATCATCCCTGACAAGCACTATGCGTTGGAGTTGTACGCGCAAGCCGCGGCATTGGGCCACGTGCCGTCCGCCACGCTCCTCGGGCGCTTCTACGAGATAGGCGACGTTGTGCCGCAGGACGCGAACTTGTCCATCCACTACTACACACAGGCCGCGCTTGGTGGCGACGCCGAAGCCATGTTGGCCATGTGTGCATGGTACCTTGTCGGCGCTGATCCGTACCTCGTCGTGGACGAGATGGAGGCGTTTGAGTGGGCCAAGCGCGCGGCACTGTGCGGCTTGGTCAAGGCACAGTTTGCGCTTGGCCACTTCTACGAGAAGGGGATTGGCTGCCAGGCGAACATGGTCGAGGCCGAGAAGTGGTACACCAATGCTGCGACTGCGGGTGATGCCAAGGCAATTGCGCGGATGCAGGAGTTGCGTCCGGGCGCCAAGTTGCCGAAGACGGTGACGAAAAAGAAGAGCGCTGGGAAGTTGCTCCAGAAGGCTGAAGCCAAGCTGTCTAAACCACCCCAACTGGCGAGACAGCAGTCTCCTGCGCCGAAACAGCAGCCAATAGCCCAACAGCCAAAGGCCCAGCAGCCAAGGTCCCAGCAGCCTCCGGCGCCGAAACAGCCTTCAAAGGCCCAGCAACCCCCACAGAACCCTCCACAGGTGAAGGGTATCCCGTCTGTTGATACAGCGTACAAGGGCGCCCCTGTAGCTAAAACCGCGCCGGGTAAGGTTAAGGAGAAGCCTAAGAACAAGGACTGTGTGGTTATGTAGCCCATTTCATGGATATTAATACTTTGCATTTGAATTATGTAGGAAGGGAAGAATGGACATCGCCCGGAGTAGTGCATAGAGCTGGAATACAGCACACCCCCGTAACCTCCGCCCTAGTTTCGGAGTAGATATACGAATAAGTATTTCGGTATTGGGCTTCTCTTTTATTAAGCGTGATTTTTATACTTGAATTAATCGTGGCGGATGTTCCGGTGAACTACTGTCCGTCAGTACATCCCCGGCAGGTCGGAAAAATGAAAAAGATACAGTATGTATATGTTTTTCTAAAATGTATATTTAGTACATACACACTGCATCCGTAATGCACATATAGACTGAAAATAAACTAAATATATATATTCCTACATACCACCATGTAATATGCTATACCGAATACTTGTGATAGATATACTATAGTCTATATTAATATTTTATCATGCTTATACCTTAATCAATATATTTACAAGATATATAGCTAACTCTATCATCCAATCGATATTATATATATACGTATTAATAATTTGACTTATATTTTAGCACACTTAATAATAAAATTTCCGGTATATTATTTTAACTATATTCAGCTGACCTCAAACTCGGACTCAGTTTATACAGGCAATCAAAGGCGAGAGTGACAGTTATTCAGGTTGATAAAGCATAAACTAACTATAACACGTATCTCGCCGGCGTAGGAATCTCGGGCCCGTTTTTCTGCATAAATCCCTGTCAAACCATATCAGGGCTGTCTCATGTGTCATGGCCATCTCATGTGTCATGGCCATCTCATGTGTCATGACGGCTGGTTATACTCCAAGCAGTACTCTCTTGCGATGAATAGATACTTACTCTGCTGCTCTGAACTCCGGTAGCGGACCATCCTCAGATGGAATTTGGCGGTGCGCAGTTTCCTCTTTTAGCCGAACGCGCATAAATGCAGTGTGATAAGGCGCCATGGCGTACGCACGCTAGATTAGTGGATTACGTTTGTCCCACATGCTACGGACGTACGGTAAAAATAAATCGTTCGGCAGGCTTCAGGCGTGGCCGTTTTAATGATCTCTCTCAGCCCTCGCTATAGCATTACAGAATGGAGCTCCCGTAACTATAGATGTTTCGTCTGAAAGACTGCCGAAATATCTGTTTGCAAGAATAGACCGTCACTACACCCTAACATGGCTCAGTCAATTGTGAGCTATCCACCTTGTTCCTCTGGATGCCATACACCCAAATTGTGACGTCAATTACCAAGGACACCAGTTACGACTCCTGCTGTTCTCAAAACGCATGTGGGAAAGTGCTTAAAAAGCATTCCGGGAGACATGCCGAGACCCGGACGAAGGCCGTAGCAAGCCTCGGAGAGTCCACGGCTTGTACCCTCTTGAGGCCTCGTGCGGCTTAGTTACCGTGCCAACGTATACGCATAGCACACCTTTTGGGTGCGATTAGAGAGGATGAGTAGACCCAAATATACTGGCCCGCATATTCGCCCCAAGGACCCCCATCGTAAAGACCGATAATCGCCGGGGCACATGCCCTCTCTCGGAGATGCATCCAGCTCAGCAGCCATTTCGGCTGTGGAAAATCGGATACGCGGTGTATTAAATATTTCGCCGCCAAGCTGCCTTATCGGTGTGATACGGTAAACTTCTGCCCTAGTGGAGTTCGACAGCTACACCGCCAGGCCCAGGTGCCGAGATCGGTCGGAGAAATAGTAGACATCGTGTGAAATAAGGTTTCAGGGAAAACGCATGTTTCTCACTCGATACCAAGCAGTCTTCCAACATGACAGAACAGCTCCCAAACAAGCAGCCTGTGAGGGGTGAAAGTACGTTGCATTTTCGTATTTCTCAACGAAAAGTCCCATACAGTGCACGAGTGACGTCGCGGTGGAGGCGTGTGTTGATAACAGTTTGCGCGTTCGTGGCCCCGGGGCCTTTCCGCCTATCCGGGCTGGCATATGACTGGCCGATGGTGCGGGTACCCCAGATTTTTTTGGTTTTCACGACGCTTGACGCGCATCTTCGGCACGGTGGACGACTTTTCGGACCTTCGGTGATTTTGCCCCATATAAGCTCTCCGCCAAAAAATTCGTATATAAGCTGGGGCTCCGCACGCTCTCTTCATTTCTCCATCTCTCTCCTTCAAACACTTTTTCGCCTTTACTACATTCCTTACATATACACATCATGTCTCAGAACAAGAAGAACCCAGTGATCGATTTGGTGGCCGGTGGTACCGCCGGTTTGTTCGAAGCCTTGTGCTGCCACCCGTTGGACACCATCAAGGTCAGAATGCAGTTGACCCGCCGCACCGCCACGGGCAAGCCCCCAGGCTTCATCGCCACCGGGTTGAACATCGTCAGGAAGGAGTCTGTAGGCGCGCTCTACAAGGGTTTGGGCGCTGTCGTCATCGGGATTGTGCCTAAGATGGGGATTAGATTCTCGACCTACGAGTTCTACAGATCGCTTTTGAAGAGCGAGGACGGCAGCATCACCACGGGCAAGACCTTTGTCGCGGGTGTCGGTGCTGGTATCACCGAGGCCGTCATTGTGGTTACCCCAATGGAGGTTGTTAAGATCAGATTGCAGTCCCAGCACCACTCTTTGGCCGATCCGTTGGACGTGCCAAAGTACAGAAACGCCCCCCACTGCGCCTATGTTGTGGTTAAGGAAGAGGGTCTCCGCGCCATGTGGAGAGGTGTCTCTTTGACCGCCGCCAGACAGGCCTCCAACCAGGGTGTTAACTTCACCGTCTACTCCAAGCTCAAGGAAAGATTGCAGGAGTACCACGGTGCGGCAGGGATTCCGGCGTGGCAGACTTCCTGTATTGGGTTGATTTCCGGGGCCTTGGGTCCGTTGTCCAACGCGCCATTAGACACCATTAAGACCAGAATGCAGAGAGAAGCCGGTGCTTCTAACGAGTCCGGGATGAAGAGAATGACCAGGATCGGTGCCAAGTTGTTGCAGGAAGAGGGTTTCCGTGCCTTGTACAAGGGGATCACCCCAAGAATCATGAGAGTGGCCCCAGGCCAGGCCGTCACTTTTACCGTCTACGAGTTCATCAAGGCGAACTTGTTGCAGTTGTCTGGTGATGTTCCGGCCGAATTCTTGGCTGATGAGTAATTCATTTCTCCGCCCAGCGAGCTGGCGGGTGTATATACTGAAAAAATAAATAAAAAAATATAAAATAAAATAATATAGATTGGCTAATTTTAGGGGTAAAGGAGTATGGATGTTTATGAGTAGGAGCACTAAATACGGAAAGTGATGTATTATCTGGTAAAAATGCGTTGGTGTAGCCATAGACGAGAATCTGAGTAAATCATCGTTGGAACATGGGCCGATAAAAGTGTATAAATTAAAGGTAAATTTCACCGAAAATAGTGTTGCAGCTTCGCGCAAAGATATCCACATGGTTCAAGATTTTCATTTTCAGTTATAACACAAAAACATACACTTTTCACCATCTCACTCTTCCCAACCCAAATGCTTTCTATCCGGTTACTGATCACTACATTCAATTTCGTATTAAGTTTTACTTATGCTATGTACAATCTGAGGCTCCACCTCATCCCTATGTAAAAGCCTGCAACGCACTTGCAAGCTTAATCTCCATCTCTTCCCACTCGCCTTCGGCGGTGCTCAACACGGTGATGGCACCACCCGCACCGATCCGCCATGTCCGGGTTTCTCCGTCATCCGCAAGATCGTCTGCATAATTGAACACAGACCGGATCACCACGGACCAGTCACCATCGTCGGTCACGGACCAGTACCCACACACGCCAGAGTAGAGCCCGCGGCGCTTCTGGCGCTCGATTAAATGGAGAAGCTCTACCGAACGCTTCTTCGGCGCTCCCGTCATCGAGCCGGGCGGAAGCGAGTTCGCAAGAACGTCGATCCCTCTATAAACACCCCCAGAAAGCTTTCCCTCAATCACACTGACAAGCTGGAATACTGTCTGGTACTCCTCGATCTGCATCAACTTGGTGACGTCCACCTGGGCCAACATTCCGAACAAGTCGTGTCTGATCAAGTCCACGATCATGAGGTTTTCTCCGATCTCCTTGGGGGTATAGAGGATGGTGGATGCCTTTTCCACGGTATCCATTTCTGCCGTCTTCTTGACTGTCCCCTTAATTGGTCTGAGCTGCACCTTGTCGTTGTGCTGCCACGAAACAAAACGCTCCGGAGACGACAGAATGAGCGTACAATCCGGGAAGTTCATGAAGCAGGAGTATGGCGAGGGATTTTTGCGGGTGAGCACCTTGTAGATATCCCACGGTGAGACAGACTTTGGAAGGCGGATCGTGGTGGGAGTGGTGAGGCAGAGCTCATATGAGTCACCAGAATGGAGATACGACTGGCATTTGGCAAAGGCTGAGAGGTATTCCGATTTGTCGGGGGTGGAGATGGTGATATCAGAGGGGCCGTTGGGGCAGAGCGAGGAGACAGAACCGTTTACGGCCCCAGAACTGCCACCAGGAGATTTAGCAGACTCGCCGAACGCCTCGCTTTGTAACCACTGGACCGTCTCCTCCATCCACTCCCGGTCATCTTCTTTGATCGAAACAATGTAGTACTTCCCAGACTCCACGTTGTGTAGAACGGTGCGCTCGACAAAGACCAACTTGGTGTCAGGGATAGGGCCCCTGGTAGTCTTTTCCAATTTTTCAAAGGCCATGAACTGGCCCTCTTCGTACAGAAACACACCCATCAAGCCACCGAGGAAGGGAAGATGGTGAGGGTTGGTGGTGGCCGTATTGGGCACAAACTTATCCTCCATGAAGGAGGCAATGTATTCGAAGATGGAGTTGCACTCGTATGCGGATGAACCCTCGGCTCCCCACTTGGAAACCTGCACCACATTCTTTGCCTCCGTTGAGTGGGTGATTACCGGCGATTCCCCCCTCTCCGGAAGCCCCACAATCGACCAACTGCCCGGCGCTAACGCCGAATTGAGCAAGATAAAGTCCTGGTTTTTCCCTTGGAACGCCTCACACGTCTCAATTGGCGAACGTGGAAGCGAAAACTCGCGCACCTTAATGCTCTTTTCTCCCGTCTCAAAGCTCTCAATGAGCGGTTTTGGCTGGAAGAGAATTGCGGAAAAGGCCGCCAACTTGGCAGTCTCATTGACCAACTCACGGCCATTAGCCGTATTCCACTCCTGTGCTAAGGCGTAGAAGTTTGCAACCAACTCGCGACCGCTTTCGGAGCAGATGGACTCCGGGTGGTACTGAACGCCCCAGTGAGGGCGACTGCGGTGTTTACCGGCCATCAAGACTTTGCGAGAGGCAGCGTCGCTCTCATCTTCGAGGCAGTATGCGAGGGGGATAATCGAGTCGTTCGTGAGACTTGCATGCAATGAATGGTAGCGTACGCTCTTGAAGCCCGGCCCAATCCCTGCAAATAGCAGGTCGGACCCGTACTCGTGCACGTGGTAGATTTGGCCGTGCTTGATGGCTTCCAACTGGTCGACAACGTTCCCGTTCTCCAAGCACAAGCTCTGAAAGCCGAGACAGATCCCGAGGATCGGCACCGGCGACGCCATGCGGAACAACGCTGGCAAACACCCGACGTCAGCCGGGTTAGCCGGGTGTCCAGGGCCGGGACCGACGACAACCGCATCAAAGAGTTCGAGGTAGTTGCTGAGCGAATCGCCGCTGAGCGAGTCGTTATGGATCGTGTAGACGGCCGCTCCGGTCGCCGTCTCAATCAAGCTCTTCAAGTTGAAGGTAAAGGAGTCGTACGAGTCGACTAGTAAAATGGGCATTAGGATTATTAAATACAGGAAGAGTAGGTCAGGTCTGAATGAAGTCCGAAAATGCAGTAAACGGACAAAGGTTTGAGGATGTAATTGCGAGTTGGAGGTCTATTGTATCTATTTGTGGGTCCTGTTTGTCTTGAACCTGCAATCTGTTTGGGGGTAATCGATGGTCGGCTGTGGCCTCTAGTACGGAAAACGAACGGTGTCAAGATAGAACTTTGAACAGTCCAATTTTAGTCTCTTACCAGAACAAAGAGTTTTTCAGGCCAATTCCTCCAGTCCGCAGGTGGATAATTTGCCGTGGCGCCGTCCAACGGTTTTTAATCCGGCACCGAGCATCGGCATAACGGCAGGTGACTTCGGGCGAGAGCGCCTCTCAGACCCTGATGACTCGGGCTTGTATTATTAACAGCCGAAACAGCCCCCAATGATTTGCTGTTGATTCAAATTTTTCACCACGGATTTGACATTGTGCCCTGTATTAATGTTTGTGCTATTCCGCGTTTAAGTCCATGTCTTAAGGTATGTAGCGGAAGGAAATGTAAATTCCGTTCCTGCCCGTTCTACCGTTGTTCAAGGTGGAAATATTTGCAACGTAATGGTTTTGTATAAGTCTTGTATAAAAGATTTTTTTTTAAAAAATTCTCGGTGATGTGCGCAATATAGTTAAATGATAAAACCAGGCCCAACTGTTTAAAGCTTAAGCAATTCATCAACAGACTTTTACAAGCTTGCGACCTGTCTAGATCTGCAAGTAGCTATTAAATCGATATACCCCTTGTGCCATAGAATTTACTGTAAATCAACTCGCTAACCGGAGCCTTTTCTTGCGAACCCCGGCAGTTGAATGGTGAATTATTTTGCGCTTTATCTGTCCAGTGGCTAAAATCCCATGAGAGAGTTGAGCTAAAACCTCAAGGGCCGAAAATTGGGCTAAAATCTCAAAAACCATGAATTGAGCTAAAATCTTAGAAGTTTCATCTGGTTTAGCTTCTCCAACTTCACAGATTCATTTTTCTAGAGGGTTTCATGGATATCCCCTTTCTATTTCACCAAAATGGCCTAAAATGTTTACAGATTATCCTGTGTATAGCCACCTTTCCTACTTGAAGCATCCAGGAGAAATTGAGATGCTCTTACCATTGAGGCTCATTACGAAGCACCATGATCGAGGTTATTTGCAATGATAGGTATGTGGGGAGTATTCAGAGTTCTGTGAGTGATTACTAACTTGTTTAGACTAGGCAAGAAGGTTAAGGTCAAGGTATGAATGAGGCTTCTCGGACGAAGAACACTACTAACGTTATAGTGCTTGCCAGAAGACACCATCGGCGACTTTAAAAAGATTGTCGCAGCACAGACGGGGACAGCCCCGGAAAAGATTGGTATGTATAGAGTTGAATGATCGGCCGGACCTCGGGATAATTCCCGTGGCATGACCAACTTTGAGGTCCTATCTCTGGAGTTTAGCAGTGCCAAACGCAAAATGAGTGGTTTTACTAACTCTATCTAGTTTTGAAGAAGGGCTACACCACTTATAAGGATCACATCACGTTGGATGACTATGAGATCCACGACGGGATGAACTTGGAGTTGTATTACGCTTAGACGAGAGACTGTGGGTGGTTTCTGATGTCACATTCATGTAAGCTTGGTGTTTCTAGCCTGTTGAAGAATATTGCCGGAGACGTCCAGTTGAGGGTGGTGGATAGCCTTTGCCCAGATGGTAGTAATTATCAATGTTATAGATGATTAAGCCGTCCTAGTAGGTATGACTGTTGAAATTAATCATATGTTTCTATTCGTGTATTACACTCTAGACCTTGGCCTGATACTCAGTACCGGCGCTAACATTGCTATGTATCTAAGGGGGTGTTCTTAACTTTCTCCAAATGCTGGCAGTCTTTTCTTAGTGCCACACCTCTGTAGAGTCAAAGTCGCAAATTCTAACGTATAGTACATGCTTTACTTTTACCGCCAAACCCTACAGAGATGCTTGGTAAACGGCGTCACAGGTTATAGGTTATTTTGTACCTAATTTTGGCATTACCGTCATAAAGGGTGTACATCATTCAGTGGCTGCTTTATCATGCCCACCACCCGCATTTGCTGCCAATGATGTATTTATTTCGAACTCACCTAAGATTTGGCTTCTGACCATACCAGACATTGCCTTTCAAACTTGGATCGCTTAATAGTTCGAAAATTCACAGGTTTAGAGCTTCTCGACAGTGCTTTTTCAATCTCCTCTCTGCAACTATAGCCACTTTCCTGCCATTAATCAATCAGTAGACGTCTATTCCTGTCTTTCAAAGAGACTGTAATTGTACACGAAGCTGCCCTCAGAAATGTCCTGCTCCGGCAAAACAATCTCTGGCCCAATATAGCTCTGGAGCGCAGTACGCGGCGCGCGCGCCCACCCGGCGTTTTCTTCGTTGAACCACGGAAAGTCAAGGAAGGTGTCCATCTCGACCGCGCCCTCCGCATGTACCTCTGTAAGCAACACACGAGTGGTGCGTGCATCCTTAATGACGCTATTATAGATTTCGGCACCGCCGATGATGAAGATCTTGTCCACCAATTTGCCTTGTAACTGCAGGAGAGCATCATCGATGGAGTGTGCGACAAGCGCGGCGCCGTCTGCGCCTTGTAGCGCGTCGGTACCCGTACGCGTCAAGATCACGTTGATGCGATTGGGCAACGGTCTGAACTTAGTCGGGATCGACTCCCACGTCTTACGGCCCATGATCACCGCGTTGCTGTGGCCCGGCTTGGACGCTTGCGACGTCACCTGGCGGAAGTACTTCATCTCCTGCTTCAACTTCCACGGGAGACCGCCCTGGTGCCCGATCCCGAGGCGTGGCACGAGTGCCGCCACAATGAGTGTAAGTGTAGGGGTAGTGACCATGGTATAGGATTAGAGGTGATTCAATTAGATGTATGACAATTTGTGGAGGTGGAAAGTGGAACGGTAGAAAAATCGCGCGTGATGATTCCGGCATTTACGCGTTGCGTTTGCGAGCACGCGATTTTGACATGGTATTTCCTTTTCCCAGAACACGAAAATGTATTAAATTAGATTTGATCAGATATAGTTACGTATTAATTCAATTATCAGAACCAACTTTATCGAACATATCATATTTTTTGCAGCCCCCGCTCATTTCTAGAGCTAATCTCATAGATGCGGCTACTATTATCTACTAGATATGTCACCGTCCCGATCTAGATCACCGGCCTACTGTCCTTGTACACGGCGAAACTGGACTCCAAAAAGGTTACTCTGCGCACCTTTTGGATATGGCCCGGACATTAACCAGACTTGCATTAACCAGGATACCGAGACATGTCAGAATGGTGCAAGCGATAACGTTCTTGATTAGTCTGCAAAGTTTGCGTAGCACGGATTGATCTTGCCTTGGACAGCCTGCAAATTATATAGATGATTCCGATGGAATATGTAGCAGTGACCCCGTGCAATGAGCCTTAATCTGGTTTACGGAGATTTTTGGCGAGGTAAAATTGTGGTTGGAAGGAGCGGCACTAAACCTCCGCATGCTACTGGAGGTACGAGACACAACGAGTGTCAGGAAGATCCAATCATGGGACCTTAAAGCAAGATCCCTGTTTATTAAACGTGAAATAGTACGTAGTTGCTCAATTCACCACATCAACACTTCCTACATTGATAGACCTAATTCGAGAATTATACTGCTTGTACAAGCGAGAGATATGAATTATAACCAGAACAAAGACTGCCTTGCGTCTAAATGGACCATACCACGATAAATCGCATAGTAACACCCATCCTGGACGGCACGCCAACAGCCCTGGAAGTTTTGCCAGTTATTGGAGCTGTCGTTTAGCCGTCAATACTTCAAGCTTACATAGGATAGACGTCCCCCGCTGGTTACTGATATATTATTTTACCTTACGGCAACACAGTTTTTTCTCCCGATTTTGAGAGCTCGTTTTCGACAGTACGCTTGCCGCAATAGTCATAATACCGGCTACATGATTATATTATTCAGCATATTTCATGAGAGTAAACCAAACCTCCCTGTAACTCGCGTGCACTCACCGCATCAGCTTTCTTCCGTGGTCATGCTAGTCGTGCGTGTCTAGTCTGGCGCCCCCCTTCGATTGAGGGGTATCTTATCCCCGAGAGAATTTCCTGCGCGCAGCCCAACATGAACGAACGATTCACAAAACGCACTATAAACCCCAGCTGGCTATTTCACTGTCAGCACCTCCCGCTCTATTGCAATCACAGTTACACCACTATCCAGCTATCAGCTCTGAATTCCCATCGTACGGTGCCATTGAAAGCCTCTGAAATACGGCTACTGGTAGACTCTGCTAAAGTGTCATTTTTGCTAGCCAGTTTCTATTGATACTCCGTTGCATGTATTGATTCTTTGCTACTCTTCAATCCTACATTGCTATCTATCCCTCTACCGATACCCCGTAACTCCATTGAAAGTTCAGAATACATTTTTGTTAGCCACTCAAGCTCATTATGCCGCTAAAAAAATGGATCTCCAACAAGCTGAACGCCATCAACGCTGACGCCACCAACGCCGATACTAACGCCACCACCAATGTGGACGCTAATGCCACTGCTAGTACCACCGTTAATGCCACCGCCACCACCGATACGTCTTTCAACGATACCCTCTCCAATTTATCCATCGAAACCCGCCCAGAGACCGATGAAGCGAACCCCAACAAACCTCAGCCGCTTCCACCGTCGCTTCCACTTCTGATTCCACCGTCAGCCCCACTGCTTCCAATTCCATTACACGACACCAGCATATTATCAGAACCCGGCAGCAGCACCACCTTGCCGTACGGCGATGGCTCGCGAAAGGTCTTTGGGATGGAAAACTTCGGCAATACGTGTTACTGCAACTCCATTCTCCAGTGCCTTTACTACACGCATCCGTTCCGCCAGAATGTACTTAAGTACCCCCAGACCGCGCCCAGACCCCGCAAAACCAACGTCGAGGGCTCGAAGCCGCACGCGTTCACCATTGCGCTCGAGAAGGAACGCGAGAAGGAGCGCGAGGCCGTGGAGGCCAAGGCCAAGGCCAGACGGTCGTCCTTCTTCGGTGGAAAGAAGGACACGCCCAACGGTGGTTCTCTCACGACAACCATCTCGAACCTGTCCAGTGTGATCCTCGTGGCGCTGTCGGACGTGCTCGCGCCAATAACGGTAGTGGGCACGACGGCAGATCCGCGCGCAAACTCCGACACGCGTAAGAAGGCCGCATTGATCAACGGGCCGATCCTCAACGTCGACCACTCGCTCGCGACGGCATATGCCATGCAAGAGTCGCTCTACACCGGCTTGAAGGATGTGTTCGAGTGTATGGTGGAGAACGGGTCCAACTTGGGGGTGGTATCTCCCAGTAACTTGGTGGAGGTGTTGAAACGTGAGAACGAGTTGTTTAGCCTGACGATGCATCAGGACGCGCACGAATTCCTCAATTTCCTCATCAACGCGGTGATCGAGTCGGTGGACGAGATGAAGGGCGAGGACCTGAATTGGGCCACGGACTTGTTCCAGGGCTTGATCACCAACCAGACCAAGTGCCACTCGTGTGAGAACATCTCGTCGCGCGATGAGCCGTGCCTCGACCTTTCGGTGGATGTGGAAACGTATTCGTCCATCACCGCGTGTTTGAAGGACTACTCTAAGCAGGAGATCCTCTCGCAGAGCAACAAGTTCTACTGTGATAGTTGCCAGTCGTACCAGGAGGCGTCCAAGTCCATGAAGTTAAAGCGGCTCCCCAAGGTGTTGACCTTGCACTTGAAGCGCTTTAAATACAACGAGACGCTCCAGCGCAACACCAAGTTATTCAACACCGTGTCGTACCCGACGGACTTGCGCCTCTTTAACACCATTGACACCATCGATGGCCCCGATACGTTGTACGAGTTGTACGCGTGCGTGGTGCATATCGGTGGAGGGCCGCACCAGGGCCACTACGTTTCTTTGGTCAAGCGCACCAGCAACACGTGGCTCCTTTTCGACGACGAGTTGGTCGAGTTGGTTGACGACAATTACGTGCTCAAGTTTTTTGGACCTGGCCCTGGCCTCGCTTCCGCGTATGTCTTGTTCTATCGCCAAGTAGAGGACGAGGAGGCCTTCCGCGAGGCAGTGCTCTTCAACGGGACCGCCTTGGAAGCAACCTTTGTGCCCACCATGGCCCAAGCATCCCGCACCAACTCCGCCGTCGATACCAGACGCTCTTCCGTCAGCCGCACCCTCTCGCGCACTGCCACCAATGAGCCCCAGGACTTGCGCCGTCGCGCATCTGTCAACGCGTCGAACATCAAGATGGGTGGCGGCCCGCTGTTGTCCAACCAGCCATCGGTCAGCTTCACGCAGCGCCAGCTCTTTGACTCGATTTCTGAACAGCATGGTGAGCTAGGGTACGGGAAGTATGTATCGAACGGGTCGGTGAACGGGTCACTGAATACCGTCCCCACCGATCTGCCGCTGTTCCTGAACTTTGAGTTTTCGTATGGGACCCCGGATGAGCGGTTGTCGACATCCCCTGGCGAATCCCTTGATCCGACGAGGAGGGTCCCGCCACCGCCGCCTCCACGGAGAAATGGCTCCGCCGTGGGTAGCATAACGGCTCCAGCTGCTCCTGCTGCCCCAGTTGCTCCAGTTACCCAGGCTGCCCCAATTGAGATTCCGGCTCCAGCTGTGATTCCCACCGCTCCCCTTGCGGCGTCCGTGTCCAATCCGTTCGGTGAGCCGGTGAAAAAGGTAGGACTCCGTGGATTGCTCGGAAAGAGCGGCCAAGACGACACGAAGTACTCTAACGGAACGTCCACGGCGTCCACTGGCTCCGCGTCTGTCGTTGCTCAGGAAAAGAAAAAGAAGCGCAACATCTTTGGCTTCAAGAAATCGTAGAGACAAAATGTACAAATAAAAACGTAACGAATCATGTGTAGAACCTTGATGAAGATTAAAGGGATAAAAGTGCGACTTAGATATAGGGATTGAAGATTAATGGAAATCATGGGGCAAAGGGGGGTTATTAGACCATTTTCGAACCTAGACAGATTTCGATGCTTCACGTGAAGTATCTGTGATATCATCCGCAGGGGATTAAAAAACCATAGCATTTTGAGCTCTTACCAGCCAATACTTTTACGTAATACGGTAAATAACCTGGAAGTAGCCTGATCTACAAGATATGAATTAAAATCCACCCGGTCACGGTTAACCAACCTTCAATATATTCTTTCCACCACCGTGATAACCAATCCTTATCAACCATACTACTGAAACTAACCTGTAAAACTTGACCAAGGTATGATATCCTGCATATATTACTCGCCCGTTTACTATAGTCGGTCTGATGCATCGTTGAAGTTCGAGTTTTGACATATCAGTCAGTTTTGCCACAATCTTATAATAAAGTCGATCTCTGAGCTTCTACATTTACATAGCCCCACCATGACCACATACAAGCAACAGATCAGTCCTGCGTTTGGTGGTGGAGATGCGGTGGATATCTGCCTCACGCTCCCAGAGGGCGCCGCGACGCGGGTCCCCATCACGCTTTTCGTAAGTCCCAACGGGGTCAACGAGGCGTTTGGGCCATACATCTACGCCATACCTGATCCACGGACTGGGTCCATTTACCACACCGTGCTCAACGGGAGCGATGATATGGACCAGATGGAGTTGACGAAACGGTTGGCGACAATCATCTCCAAGAAGTACCGGGTTCCGAGCTATGTAAGTATCAGCGGGAAGATAGATGTCTATGACTCCATCCACTATATTAAGGCTATTGTGGATTTGATTGACGAGAAGCGGTCGGTGTAGAGAAGTGGTAGACGGTTAATAGGGCATTTTCGCCTTGGTTAGTAAATAGTGATAAGAATGACTAATGAAAAGTGTGCCAGAAAGGATAACCGGTCTGGAAAAAGGATTTTGGCCTATGACATGGAGTGTAGAGAGGGGATTTGGTTGGATTAATCCCGGAAAAGAGGTTAAGGATAGCCCAAAGAAATGTACCCGAGGTAATCGTAGTAACCCCGTAGTTCACTTCGACAGATCTGTGGCTAGAATACGTTATATATGCGGATCCAGATATATGCGCTAATTGATACCCACCGCTTATGTTGGCCCGATAAAAATACCGAATCTGATATGAATTGCCGACTATAAAATAAAAAAAACTACTCGATATCATATGTGAGATCTAGAAGTAGAGTTTACGTGGTAAAGTTACATTGGCCTAGATGAGGTACTCTTTTTACTTTATTGCTATATGCATATGCATTGAGGAGTTTGGTTGAGTATGAATCTAAAACCATTCACTTGATATACCACAGTCGATTTGTATGTAGCTGTGGACCGTGGCCCGAGGTTCCCGAGCTATATCTTACCCGTAACACGAGGTTCGAGAGGGCTTCTCCAATAATGCTCTCAATTTACCCAGTTACTCTACATCAGCTAGACCGGGTGTTTAGTGCAAGTATATGATAAACCCACCGCAAAAAAAAACAAAGATTATAAACGACCAACGTCATGACAGCACTCTTTTATCGTAGAGTATGGAAGCTCAAGGGCGCAAAAGCCAGTGAGATAGAAAAAACATAGAAAATAAGGAAAAAAAAGGGGGGGGGGGATGCTAGCGTCTGATGGCCATACCAAGACCAGGGCCAGTATGGATCAAGAGAGGTTAAACTCTGGGTATCCAAGCCAAGCCGAGGGACGAGTCGAGAATTTAGTTAAATCAGGAATTCAATTTAAATTAGAAAGTCAGCTTGAGGCACCCGGAACACCAGCAAGAAACACCACTCACTAGTTCTTCAACTCAGTGATTTCATCGTACGTCGCGTTCAACCCAATCACGTTCAAAAACAAGTTCAAGTTGAGAATGGTACGCGCACCCGCGTCGCCGCCCTGGGCCTTGGCCTTGCTCATGGACCCGAAGATCTCGTCCCTGATCTCATCGACCAAAATTCTCTGATGGTTCAACTTACCCGAGAGCGCAAGCGACGCGAGGAACTGCCAGGTGTAAGAATCATCTTCAAAGACTGGCTCGCCATCAACTGTGACCGCTGGCGGGAAGATCCATGCGAGGCGAGATTCAAGACACCCAAACAAATCATCATACACAGACGACCACATCGCAAGATCGGTGGCAGAGATCTTGAACTCTTGCTTGATGAGCTCCGCACGCGAGATCAACAAGGTGATGAGCGCGAGCCCGAGACGGGTGGTTGACACAAACGCCACGTTGTTGCTGCTGACCAAGATCGCAAGAAGCCCGACGATTTCGCTGAACTTAGCCTCGGAAAGGAACACAAGCAACACTTTCATCGCGGTCACCTGGAACAACTCGATGTGCGTGAGCACGTCGCGCGGCACCCGCGCATCCGCGTATGCGCGGTACGAGCCGCGCGCAACCACCTGCACGTGCTGCAAGTTCGCGAAAAGAAGCGTCACCACGGTTAAGCGCTGCTCACGCGACAACAACGGGAAGATGCGCGGGAACATTTTCAACCCCTTCTCATACGAAAGCATCTCAATAAATGGGTTCACCTGGTAGCTTTGGTCGAGCACGTGCATCGACGCCCACAAGTCGTCGCTCACGGCAGGCTTACCCTCGCGGTGTGCGCCCTCAAGCGCCAAGATGTTCGCGATGACGCGCTCCAACGCCCCGAGCACGAAGCGACGCGACACAGGTTTCAACGTGCCGGATGCGTCCGTGCGCTTTGGCGTGGCCACCTGCGTGATCTCAAGCTGTTGGCGCGGCTTCTGTCCGTTACCGATCGAGATCTTGCCGAGTGCACCCTCGCGCGCAAACTGCGTCAACTTCGGGCGCTCGCGTGCGACTGTCACCGCCTTCTGCACCTGCTGTTGCATCCGCTGCAACGCCACGTCCGCACGCTTGTACTTGCCGCCGAGACGGTGACCGGAGTGCTCAAGATACGCCTGTGCGATCAGGTTGAGCGGCTGGTTGTTGTACACGCGTCTGAGCGCCTTGTAGATCTGGAAGTAGAAGTCCTCGTTGTACGGGTCGTCTGTGACGATCTGGGAGAGCTGGAAGCGCGTGACAAAGTCCTTATCGCGGGGATTCATGATCCCGGAGTACTTCATGATGCGCTGGACTTTTTGGGAGCGGGCGACAAGGCGGGATTGCTCCTCTGGGGATAAGTCGGGGTGAGCGTACTCGTGAGCATGCGAGTGGGCATGCGAGTGGTCATGCGAGTGGTTATTCTCGTGCTCCTCGTGTTCATCCGTGCGCGCATGCTCGTGCCCTTCGAGTTCATCCACTCCCTCGTGCTCATGCCCTCGCGGGTATCCGGCCTTATCACCCAACACCGGGAACTGCGAGAGGTCTGGCTTGACCTTCTCGATTTCCTGAGACTGCGGCTGAGACTGCGGCTGGGCTTGGACTTGGACCTGAGGCTGGACCTGGGCCTGAGGCTGGACCTGGGCCTGAACCTGAGGCTGGACCTGAACCTGAACCTGAGGCTGAACTTGCTGCGGTTGGGCCTGTGGTGGCCCCTGGAAGAATCCTGGGTGCTGGAATTGCGGCGCAAAGCCAGGCGGGAAGTTCATCCCTGGCGGAAAGTACCCTGGCGGCGGCGGAAACATGTTCGGGTTGAAGTTCGGTGGAAAGTTCTGCTGAAACTGTGGCGCCATCTGTGCCTCAATTTCCTCAAGCGACAAGAACTTCTTGTCTTGCTGAGGCTGCTGGAACTGCTGGAACTGCGGGAACGGCTGCGGTGGTGGATGGAACTGTGGTTCCCCGCCCCACAAGGAGGCCATTGGCTGCAAGTCGTCACCGCGAGCGCCCTCGCCTGGCCGTCCGCCTCTGGCCTGGGGCTCGGCGGCAGCCTGCGCGTAGCTCACGTTTGGATTCGCCTGGGCAAAGCTGAACTCCTTCTGGCTCTCACCGAAGGTTTCGTCATTGAGTGCATCGGTATTGCGTTCTCCTAACCCATCGTACGTCTCTTCAAAGTCATACTCTTCGGTCGGGCGCGTAGCGTCAAACCCAAAGAAAGACATGTTATAGTGAGGATGGATGGATGGGAGTGCTTGGAGCTAGGGATGCTTATCTTAAGGCGAGCGATTTTTCTGACGACCCGTGGACGAGATCCAAATTAGACGGAGTGTTCGCGACCATTCAAGTATGTTGCTAAACAGCTGAGATGACAAATAGAGAGGATTAATTTAATCTACTCATATAATTTAATCCATTATATGGAATAATACTATAAATATAATCCTAATTCACCAGTAATCACAAAATCTACGAAGCTGTGAAGGTACATTAACATTTACCTGTGAGCAAAGTGCGTTTATTGACATGCAGTCCACGTCACGACGAGCCCTGAGACAGACTTGCGAGGCATTGCAACTTGTAGAGCATATAAAGGTTCCACATTGCTTCAAATATGGATAATTAGTCGTATAAAATTTCATACTATGATATTTCAGCCTCTTTCCATTAGAGCCGCGTTCATTACCACCATTTTGCAGCTTGGACCCCGCATAGTGTTATTGGACATGCATCTCATCACATGATCAATGTACCTATCCCGATGTATGTACAACCCCCACTCCCTGGACATACTTCCGATTCTTCGTGCACCTTCGCCATTTGTCTAAGGCACGTTAGCTGTGCCTGTCCCTATGAGTATTGTCCGGCGTAAGGTCTCTGTCAGGTGGACATTTCCAAAACCAAAGTGAGGCTAGGCCTAAAAGTAGGACAAGCTTTCTGCCGCTAAAATTCTGGTAGTTACTAGAACCCTGCTGTCATCTACAGCAATGGCCAAAGTTAGCATTATTTTCTTTGTTTCCTTTGGGAGCATGTAACTAGGCAGAAGCAAAAGTTTATAAAATTCCATTATCCAAATGAAGCACACTTCATTAATCTAACCTTGTACATCTAAAGTAGGGTAAAAATCTCAAAATATATATATATATATCAAATTACTGATTGTTTAAATCAATTTGTAGCATGTGTCTAACGAACGTAGTGGTTGTTCAAGCGCTGAATTTCAAGACACAAAATGTGCCAGTCCACCTCGCGTAACAATCCTCCCCCTCCCTTTACCGCTAATTCCTCTTCGTACTTGAGCAACTCGTAGCAGAATCGGAGGTTGGGCTGGATGATCAAGTTCAAGCGACGGACTCGCACAAAACAGTAGGCTCGGATCAAGCTGATACCCAACATCTTCATCACCATGGCGATGACAATCGTGGCAGAGCGAGAAACCCCCACCTGGCAGTGGACCAAGGTCCGATACTCTTGCAACTCGCAGAGCTCTGTGAGCGTACTGAGCAAGGGTGTGATCGAGCTTGTCCCGTCGTCTGTGATGCTAGGGATGTAGACCACCTCACGGAGCCGCGGAACCTCCCTGAGAGGGTTACGGATGATGTAAATCTTGTGCTTTCCAAAGTAGCACACCGAGGTGTTAGGAGACGCGGAAACGGCACCCAGAGGCAACCAACCGGGCTTTTCACCGAGCGAGATGATCCTTTCCAAGCCCAAGTTTTCTACCAAATACCTCGATGACGCGTGGCGACAATTACCTAGAAGGAGCCTTCCCGGAAGGATGGTCGAGGGTAAGTTGCAGTCAGGGTTTCTGGTGGAAAACCAGTCGTTGTTGATATCGGTTTGGGGTGTGAACTCGTCACCATCTTCCCGGCTTTCGTCTTCCTCTCTGATTTCACATAATCCGGAGACGGAGGAGTACCTGCGTCTTGGTTGGGTCTTGCCAGTCAAAAAGTACGGCTTGTATACATTATTGTACCAGTGGCGGGTTATCTGATGACTGAGTGAGGTCACCATGAGTTGGTCAAATTCAGAGGACCTTCTGTTGGCTTCCTTAGCCGAGTTATAGAGGAGACACGGCTCCAAGTAGCTCAACAACTCAAAATCCGCGGGGAAAAGCCAGAGGTCCCGCTGGTACAACTTATGGAAGTTCAAGACGGCACGCGAAAGCGAAACGCAGTTCACATACATCTCTAGGCAGAGCATGAGGAGGGATGTGTATGTCTTTCCGTCTTCGCAGTAGACCAACACCTTTTTGTGACTCTTGCTCAAAAAGTAGAGGAGCTTCACCGTGTTGATGATGGACAAGGCTTCTCCCAGGTCAATCTCTGAGCTCACCTTGGATCCCGAGGCGGGGAACAAGATACTAGCAGTAGAATGTGAAACCTCTCGGAACATGCATTTCAAGTCCAGCGACGTGGGAAACCGCACCTTATCCCACGTGCAGTCCACAATGACGTCAAACTGAGGACCATCACCGGGGGTTTTGTGAACCTTGGTAACTACGCTGGCCATATTGGAATTGCCTGTATACACATTCGGGTAGACTTCCCTTGCCTGGTTGATCAACCATGATTCGTACTGCTCATGGATGATGTAGTTACCTTGCCAATTGTTGAGATGCTGCGACAATGACAAGCCCTTGCTTCCAGGAATGTTAGTCTCTCCCCTGATCTCCCGTGCAATAATGGATCGTTCATCGAGGTTGCTACTAGCGGGGGCCAAGCTGGCACAATCGCAGAGGTAATCGCTCAAATAGGGACCGTTGTGATTCTCCCCAGAGGAAGGGACCCCGCATGAGAGGCGAGTAAGCTCTTCTGGGTCGTAGCTGGAAACCACATACGTGTGGTAGACATCGTTTTGCGACCGAGACACTTGGCCAGCAAGCTGGTAGAGAGGTGCCATATCGCACTTAGCAGTGGTGTAGAGGATGATGTCTGATACAGGGAGCAATAACCTGTGTTGCTGGCCGTAGTTGCGGATATTGATAGGCTTTGAGGAGGTATCAGTTACACGTACATCATTGAAACTTTCATACTCTGCAGGGCTCAAGGCGTTATCTTCCGGGGGACAATCGTTGTATTCGATGTGCTCAGATGTGGGGGTGTTTGAGGTGAAAACGTCAGTCCGGTCAGTTTGCTTCGGCACTAGAAGGTCGCCGATGCTGAGGGAGCTGCGGAGATACTTTCCGGCTGGCTTCTGGCCCAATGCTTCGTCGCAGTTCACAATCATCAAGTACCGGACCCCAACCGGGGGTTTAGCAGCATCGTTTTCCATCGCAATCCCTAGAAACTCCACCTGGTTGGAGGATATAGCGCCGTGCAAGTAGGGGAACATCGTTCCCAGGTCGGGAAGCCGGGAATTTGTGAACCAGTCATGCAAGACGTCGTGCAAATCGGACATGTATTCGATCTGGTAAACTGGTTTGGCATCCGTACCAATTCTCCGTAGCTTGTTGCGTTCTCTAAGCCTGTTGAGGTGTGTAGGGTGGAATTCGATGTTATCTGTGCCGAGGTCAAGGTGGAACGGTAAAAAGTCACCATCCCGAGAAGGGCTGCCACACTCCGAGCCATCCGGTGTGCAGTTCTCCAACGGTGTTACAGAGGCAACTGACGATGTGTTTCCTTCATCGAAGATGTTTACAAAAGAGGAGGTGGACTTGGCTGAGCCTGTAGGGCTGGCTCTCAGAGTGCGTGGGTACAGAAAGTAATCTCTCTCCTTGCTGGTGAAGTGGTTAGCTCGGATACGTAGCTTGTCAAATGATTTCTCGAGCTTGAAAAGGGGAAGCGAAGGATCTTTGTGGCTATCTTCAGACATGGTCTTAGTATAGGTATTAATGGTATAAATACAGGTTGAATGATGTAGATATATGTAAAACTGTACGTCTCTGTGCAGATACCAGCAGTTATATACTTGTTGGTAGAATATACACACACTAGGAGGTAAATTATCCAGGGTGTAGCCTTTGAATGATCCTTCAACCCTTCCGTCACATTCAATTGTGTAGAGACGCATGTGAAAGATGTTGCGTGCCAGACGCTCTAGACCTCCGTCCCACAAAAATTGCATAAATGTTACGCTGTATCCAGGTGGAGATACGCGTACAGCGTTCCCCAAAACTCGGAGTACCTTTGTAGCGCATGCCGAAGTGAATAGAGCCTTGGAGATAAGTTTGCAACTTGCATAATAAGCATAAATCCGCGCTCGCCGCTCGATAGTGGCGCCAAGTCTGGTACGAATGCCGTCTAGCCTCATGCGTGCATGAGTATGCGCAATCTCCCACAGTCTATAAACGCCCATGCAGATAGTGATTTCACGTGGAGCCCTGTTTTGCGCAGTTTATCTCGTGCATGTGCAAGGCTCCGCCAATCCGAACGCATTTCATATACACCATATCGGCATAAAAGTGTGAACGTTTACGGTTTAAATCCAATAGACAACCGTGGCTACCCACTAAAAAGAAGGGCCAGGAACATGCCCTAACTATTTCTGTGGAGAGGGTGCATTTTAAGTGGACTTAAAAAGGGGATGCATGTCAGGCCGACCCTAAGAAGCTGTTCGACTACGCTCGGAAGACCTGTTAGCCGAGGCATTTTAGACGGATAAGGCATCCCAATTAGGAGTAAATTGAGACGTTGAAGATGGACACACGTGCGAGGTAATACACGGGCTTGGAAGCAGGCGGCTTCAAGAGATTGTCCGTTTAAAAAGGTAATAAAGTGCTGTAACCAGTTACCGTAAACTCTATGCCATTGAAGGTTATCCGAAAGCCGTACGAGTTATCACCAGGTTTGCTATTACCAGGATCACATGGTTTAAACGGAAAGGTTGAAGGACTGGAAAAGACCTAATAAGGATTTAATCAACCCTGGCGCCCTAATTTCTTTTTTAATATAGACAAAAAAGTATGTATAAAAACAGGATAGGCTATAGAGTTTAATTAAATCCCTAATGCTCCCATCCTCAGAAATAAACCTTCATAGGGACAGTTAGCAGAGTGTTAAGTGCAGGTATACATACTCGTCAAGCTAACCGTCATTATAAATGGGTTTGCACCACCCGTCTATCCACCTGTAGAGGTTACCAGAATTAGGGCTCATTTTTCCATATGATTCGGTCTGGCTGTCCTCTTTGTTCGGGGTTTGTGGAAGTGGTGAATCTATGCATATACGAGTGTGAGCATAGGGAAGACAGACAGTTCGTTACGTGCGGCTAACATAGTTTCAACGATACGCGCTCGACAAACTAAGTTGACATGGAGTTGCAACTATATCGTACAGCTGCGCAGATCACACAGTGGCTTCAGATTTAGATACGCCAATCTCTTTAATTATGCCCCGAAAGGGCGCGTGCCCCATAGTATAAATCACTCTTAAACGATTTTGGCTTTAAGAACTCTCATCCAAGTGAATAGTCACCTAAGGAAAAAAGCGCGAACGCCAAGACAAAAAATATCGGAAAACCCCAGGTATCAGTATATACATTTCGACAAGGCTAACAAAGGTCTGTTTCCTACTTTAGCAATGCTTAAGTTTCAAGTAGCACCAAGCATAGACATTAACCTTACCCTGCTCCCAGGTTACTGGAATAAGCTTTCTCTGAGACATGAGTAAGCGCTGGTAGGAAACATAGCAGATTATGGAGCCATAGGAGAAGGATATAGTATTGTAAATAAGCTTTCGTCGTTGCAGTTACGAGGCTGGAAGAATAAAAAGATAGTGAACTCATAGTCCTTATCGGAGATCTTCCTTTCTACGTTCATTTAAGTGTATTGACAAATTTTGCCTGAAGCAGCATATGCCCTGTACGGACCAGAGTGAATCAGTGTCACTAAAATACGACACTTGTGCCTCATCCCTCTGATCAGCCGGCTAGAATATACTTTACAATTGGAGAGCTTTTTGGTTTGACTCCGTCACGACCGTATCTGGTTATTGCCGTATTAAGAAATACAGTTTTCGAACCGATTTCTCTGTCACGTGCCAATGCACCATGATGTCTTTTTTAGCATTCGCCACTGATCTAGGCGCTACACGTCGTTTTCTCGCCCGTTTCTTTTTCGCCGTCTTCGAGAACGAAAAATTTTCCAGCGCGCGAAAAAGAAACCAAATTCTTTCCCAGCGCGAAGTGCTTTGTGGCGTCTAATCAAAAAGAGCTCTCTTTGCGGTTTATATCCCCCTTTCTTCTTTCTCTTCCCAAGCGATATTTTTTTTACTCCCATTAATTAATACTCTACAATATGTCTGACCTTTCCGCAGAAATGAACAACCTCAACCTCAACGGTGGGGCCCCGCGTTCCTCCTACGTTCCTCCCCACCAGAGAAACAGCAACAGAGCTCCAAGACAGTTTGAGCAGCAGTCCTTCCAGGGCGGCTACCAGTCTGAAGGTGGCTTCAACGGTGGCTACCAGCGCGGTGGCGACTCCTTCCGTGGCTCCCGCGGTGGTGCCCGTGGCGGGTTTGGCGGCTCCCGTGGCGGCTCCCGTGGCGGGTTTGGCGGCGGCAGAGGGTACGGCCCAAGAGCCGGCGAAGGGAAGTGGGAAGACGGTAAGCATGTCCCAGGTGCGGCCTCTGAAAAGTTGGAGTTGGAGTTGTTCGGTGTTGCCGAAGATCCGACTTTCCAGTCTTCCGGTATCAACTTTGACAACTACGACGACATTCCGGTCGAAGCCACTGGTGACAACGTTCCAGAGCCAATTACCGCCTTCACCTCCCCACCTTTGGAGGCCTTGTTGGTTGAAAACATCAAATTATCCAGATTCACTAAGCCAACGCCAGTGCAGAAGTACTCCGTTCCTATTGTGGCTGGCGGTAGAGATTTGATGGCCTGTGCCCAGACCGGTTCTGGTAAGACCGGCGGTTTCCTTTTCCCAGTCTTGTCTCAGTCCTACCTCAACGGTCCAGCTCCAGCTACGGAGAGCAGAACCGCCTTCGACAAGAAAAAGGCCTTCCCAACCGCCTTGGTTTTGGCCCCAACCAGAGAGTTGGTTTCTCAGATCTTTGAGGAAGCCAAAAAGTTCTCCTACAGATCCTGGGTCAGACCGTGTGTCGTCTATGGTGGTGCCGACATCGGTACCCAAATTAGAAACATGGACAGAGGCTGCGACTTGTTGGTTGCCACCCCGGGCCGTCTTAACGACTTGTTGGAAAGAGGCCGTGTCTCTTTGCAAAACATCAAGTACTTGGTGTTGGACGAAGCTGACAGAATGTTGGACATGGGTTTCGAGCCTCAAATCAGAAGCATCGTCCAGCAGACCGACATGCCAGGCGTTAACAACCGTCAAACCCTCATGTTCTCCGCCACCTTCCCTAAGGACATCCAGATGTTGGCTCGTGACTTTTTGAAGGACTACATCTTCTTGTCCGTCGGTCGTGTCGGTTCCACCTCTGAGAACATTACCCAGAAGGTTATCTACGTCGAAGACGAGGACAAGAGATCCACCTTGTTGGATATCTTGTCGGCTGCTGATGCCGAGTTGACCTTGGTCTTTGTGGAAACCAAGAGAATGGCTGACGCCTTGTCTGACTACCTTTACAACCAGGGCTTCCCAGCCACCTCTATCCACGGTGACAGAACCCAGCAGGAGAGAGAGCGCGCCTTGGAGCAGTTCAAGAGCGGACGCGCTCCAATCTTGGTTGCCACTGCTGTCGCTGCCAGAGGTTTGGATATTCCAAACGTCAAGCACGTCGTGAACTACGATTTGCCAACCGACATCGACGACTACGTTCACCGTATTGGTCGTACCGGTCGTGCTGGTAACGTTGGTATTGCCACTGCTTTCTTCAACAGAGGTAACAAGAACGTTGTCAGAGAGTTGACCGACATCTTGACCGAAGCCAACCAGGAAATCCCAGACTTCTTGCACACCATCTCCAGAGAATCCTCTTACGGTGGTGGCAGAGGTGGCCGTCGTGGCGGTTCTTCCTCCAGAGGCAGCCAGAACAGAGACTTCCGTAAGCAGAGTGGTGGCTTCGGCGGCTCCTCCAACGGTGGCTCTTTCGGTGGCCAATCTTCCTTCGGTGGCTACAACGGTGGCTCTGGTAGTGCCTACAACGCTCCACGTGCCAGCACTGGTTCCGCTGCCGGTTACTCCTCCTACGGTAACCCATCTGCTGCCTCCAACTCCTGGTGGTAAGCTCCGCCTTTTTCCACCTCCGTTTTTTTCACCTCCGGTTTTTTTCACCGTTTTTCTCATCTTACACATACACAACATACACTTACTGTCACATCATCATGTTTTTTGTTTTATACTCACGCGCATGAGTTCATTTCTATATTCGGGCTTTTTGAAAGGGAATTCTTCTTAATTTTTTTTATGTTTACGATAGAACATGGGGAAAATTTATTATTCGGCTGTTTTTTTTTCTTGTTTTTGGCTTTATTTCGTTTCAAAAATAAAGTAATATAGAATCTTTGGGATGGTATCGGTGTTTGTCTTTTATCTTTTTTTTTTCTTTCGACTGTTGTCTACTATTATATATTATCACTATCAAATCGTAGAATGTTTAGATAGGGAAGGGGAGCATTTGGGTTCTGGGGGACTGCATTACGGTGATTTAGAGCGCAGCTTGGGAAGGCGGGCACAACAAGTTATCCAAGGGTCCCAATTGAGATTTCAAGGGTTTAACTCATTCCCACAGCGTGTCAGCATTTGGACCCAAGCGAAAATTCTAGCACACGTTTCTCTTGCACATGCACGTTGTAGGAGCCGATAGGCATGCCCTTTTTTTAGCACGTACACGGTACGCTAATTGGTTCGTATGACTGAGTCGGTTGTTCCTGTTTAGTTTTTTTTATGCGTAGGCTTGATGATAATTAACCGATCCTCCCCGAATCTTCACACCTATTTGTAACAATGTCTGAATTATTCTTGCTTGTTAGGTACAAAGACACAGCTAACTCCGATATTTCCTTTCAAAACTCTGACTTGGCTACCTTCCTTTTAGTAGCTTCACTGATAGTACCGTAGAACACGCTCGATCTATACGTCATGATGCCTACGCCATGTTTGAGCCATGGCTTGCTCGTCTCCACCAGCTCGGCTCTCCCGGCTGCCCGTGTTCCTGATCACGTGCTGCTTCCAGTGAACCACGATCCCGTATCTAGAGTACGAGACACGAGCACTGCGGAAGTGGCGAGCACTAAACGAATAGATTAACAATACCTAGTCTACCGGGTATATCCTCAAAAGCCGATCCTTGTCTCAGCCCCCCATTCTAATACGCCTTATCTTTAATGACTGCCTAGCTCGTCCCACCCGTTCTCCCCCCGTTGTGCGGAGCACGACCTCTAAACGACGAATGTGGCCACCGGCGTTGCGATATCAAAACCACCACCCCTCTACGTTCTTCCCTACATCCTCTGCGCTTATTGCTATTGCACACACCTTTGCCGATAAATCAATGTCTGTTGCTGCTAATTCCACGTCGTGGACGTCCTTTGTCAAGTCCATTGCCTCGTATAACGGCGACTTGTCCTCGCTCACGGCGCCGCCGTTCATTTTGCACGACGTGTCACTCACGGAGTACTCCCAGTACTGGGCCGAGCACCAGGACTTGTTGCTTGCGCCGAACTTTATCGATGCGACTGGTTTGACGTCCGACGAGTTAGAAATCAAGAGAATGGTGGCTGTCACCAAATGGTTCATCTCCACCTTAAGATCGCAGTACTGCTCGAGAAACGAGAGCAAGGGCAGTGAAAAGAAGCCGTTGAACCCGTTCCTCGGGGAGGTTTTCATCGGAAAGTGGACTGACTCTTCCGAGGATGCCTCTTTCGGTGAATCTGTTTTGTTGTCCGAACAGGTCTCGCACCATCCGCCGGTCACGGGCTACGCAGTGGTGAACGCCAAGAACAACACCTTGTTGCAGGGATACAACGGCGTTAAGGCTTCCTTTTCTGCCACATCCTTGAATGTGAAGCAGTATGGTCATGCACTCTTGGAGTACCAGAACTTGGGTGCCGAATACCTCGTCACCTTGCCGCAGTTGCACATCGAAGGCATGTTGGTCGCCTCCCCGTTCGTGGAATTGCAGGACAAGAGCTACATTCAGGCGTCTTCTGGATACCTCACTGTGGTTGAGTTTTCTGGTAGGGGCTACCTTACTGGGAAGAAGAACTCCTTCAAGGCCAGAATTTACAAAGACAAGGCTGCTTCCGCCAACAAGAAGAATGCCTTGTTTACCATAGACGGTCAATGGTCGGGTGTTTCCACCATCAGTGAGGGATCTGAGGCCAAGAAGTCCGGTGCGTTGTTCTATAACGCTACCAAGGCCGCCCGCAACCAGTTGGTTGTCAAGCCGATCGAACAGCAGCACGACTTGGAGTCCCGCAAGGCCTGGAAGGATGTCGCGGAGGCCATTAGAGCCGGCGACTTCCAGACCATCTCCGCCACCAAGTCCAAGTTGGAGAACGCCCAGCGCGAGTTGCGCCTGGAAGAAAAGGCTAACGGTACCGTTTGGGCCAGAAGATGGTTTGCCGAGGTGGATTTGAACGACCCGGCCGTCAGACTTCCGGCGGCTGGTACCAAGGCCGACCCAGCATTGGGTTTGACCGAGTTGGCCTGCTTGTCCAAGGGGAACAATCCAAGCGGAACCGTCAAGGGCGAGAAGCACGACACGTCTGTCGAGGCGAAGCACTGGAGATTCCAACCGGCCATGTGGGAGAAGGAGGCTGAGATTAAGATCTAGTTTTTGTACGGAATATTGTCTAATTGAGAGCGCGAGAGCGCAAGAGCTAGCGAGCGTGAGTTTAGTGTAGAATGTATTATGTGGTGGAATATATAGAGAGTACTAGGGGAATAGAGAGAGAGAGAGGTTTAGATGGTAGGTATGAAGTGTATAACGGGGAGGTCGAAAGGATGGTATGGGAGAAAGAAGGGTTTGATAAGGAGTTAAGGAATGAGAAGTTGAGGGCCAATTTAAGTATAATGAAAAGAAAGAATGAAATAATATTTATTAAAATTGAGGAAAGAGAGAGCGAAGAGAAGTTGGGATAATGAAAGTGGGTTTTAATTACATACGATACTTAATTAAAAGGTACGGGTGGAATAAAAGAGGTTTGAGTCAGTGAGAGCCGTATCTACGACTTCATCCTAATGTACATTCTGTATCCTAACTGCGATATAAATATCATTAAATACTTATCCCTAAATAAACCATTTCTGAGTTCTAGCGTATACAACCATTTTTACGCATCTTCAGTTTAATTTAAAACTGACATATAGATAAGCATGATAGCTGACTAATCTCCGGGCTGTGGCTTGATCACGTGCACATATATTAATTTCAAAGGGGTATATGTGGGGTCGCAATTCCAGTGCACGTTTCTATACTTCCCCTCCCCATTATTCCAACCCGCAGCCATGGTTTTAATTGCTTGCGGCCAGCTTTGCTCTACGTCTAGTTTGGCGGAAAATGCACAAAAGGCCGTGCGATTGATCACCCGCGCCGCCGCTATGAACGCCAAGGTCCTCTTCCTCCCTGAAGCCTCGGACTACCTTGCGGTGAACGCGAAGCATTCTGTCGAGATAGTACGACTGGTACAGGATTCCCCGTTCATTCAGGGCGTCCAGAAGACGCTTCGTGAGTTGCATTCCCAGGGAAAGTCCCTCCACGTCAGTGTCGGGGTGCACGAGCCATGTGTGGGCGGGGACCGCGTGAAGAACACCTTGTTATGGATCAATGACCAAGGAGTCATCGAGCAACGGTACCAGAAGTTGCACTTGTTTGACATCAGCATCCCCAACGGGCCTATCTTGAAGGAAAGCAACTCGGTGGAGCGCGGGAACGAGATCATACCGCCATTCGACACGCCGGCAGGGAAGTTGGGGATGGGGATCTGCTACGATATTAGATTTCCCGAGCTCGCCTTGAGATTGAGATCCTTGGGGGCCCAAATTTTGACCTATCCGTCGGCCTTCACCATGAAGACTGGCGCTGCGCACTGGCACTTGTTGGCGCGTGCGCGAGCTATCGACACACAGTCGTACGTGGTGATGGCGGCGCAAGCGGGCACCCACAAGCTCGAAAGTGAGGGAAACGAGGGTCCTAAGACGGCGAGGATCTCCTACGGTCACGCATTGATCGTGGATCCATGGGGCACGGTGGTGGCGGAATGTTCCGACGTGGACGTGGGCGACGAAGACCTCTGTGTGGCGGATATCGACTTGGTAAAGTTGGAGAAGGTGAGGAAGGATATGCCTCTCTGGGAGCACCGGAGACCGGATGCGTTTGGGTACGAGGTGTGAGTTAGCGCCGGGTTGGCGGAGAGATGAATGTAAGTATTTTCCAATATTTATGCTTTGGTCACGGAAGTTCAATATACAGAGTTGGTTATCAGCGTAATTGTCTGTAAGGTCTTGTTTGTATGCTTATGAAACAACTTGGAATCGAGCAAAGGTAACCATTGCGTAAACCATATACTTTAAAACAAGTCAAACATGTCCGAAGGATAAGACCGGAACACAAAATTGGATACTGAGGAAGGGAAAGTTGTGTTATTTATATAAGAATGAAGAGGTACAACCCAACAAACGCGATGTTTCTGGCGCTGCCTCTAATTCGGGGTTACAGTAGAGTATTACTTCCAATTCGTATATAGCTTCCATCAAACAAAGCTCAGAGTGATAACGTAGAGAGAACTTCCCTCCAAGTTTATGCCTGGCTAGCTCAATCGGTAGAGCGTGTGACTCTTAGCAGTACGCGATCACAAGGTTGCGGGTTCGACCCCCGCGTCGGGTTCTTTTTCCATCTCAATATGACGTCATAGAGCAACTTCCCGGCATCCTCCGGCAAGCCCAAAAATACTGTTATATCAGGAATTAATGATATCGCCAACCCACCAGATATTAGCCCCTATCGAAACCAGCTTTATTTTAAATAACATGTGTAAGCCATCGTTTTGATGCCCGGCATGCGTGTTTCCGGCCCGAGGTCCTCTTGCTGCAGTTGCTGGTGGCCTGCGCCCAGGCTAATACTTCAGGCTTCTGCCCAGGCTAGTATTTCAGCCCAGGCTTTACTCTTCCATTCAACACACAACTATAGATCACACCATACGCATCATGGCCATTTCCATTAACAATCCTATTCCAAGAAGCTTGCTGAGCGAGTGCAAGAAGGTTGCCAAGATCCTCACGTCATTTATCAAGCCCAACCAGGTGCTTGGGGCAACGGAGGTGATTCCACCCGAGATCTTGCGCGAGGCGAGAGGCTTGGTGGTGTTGACTGTATTGAAGGCGGGGTTCCTCTTTTCAGGGCGGGCGGGCTCGGGCTTGATCATTGCGCGCTTGCCTGACGGCTCCTGGTCCGCCCCCTCGGCCATTGCCACTGCCGGAGCCGGGGTTGGGGGCCAGATCGGGGCGGAATTGACGGACTTTGTGTTTATCTTGAACTCTGACAACGCGGTGGAGTCTTTCGCTCAGTATGGGTCTGTGACGCTTGGTGGAAACCTCTCGGTGGCGTTGGGCCCTGTCGGGCGAAGCGCCGAGGCGGCGGCGACGGCCTCGCTTCGAAACACCAGTGCCGTGTTCTCATACTCCAAGACCAAGGGCGCCTTTGCAGGGGTCTCGTTGGAGGGCTCCGCCATTGTGGAGAGACGTGATGCCAACAGCAAGTTTTACGGGTCGAAGGTGAAGGCCCGGGCGATTTTGGCCGGGAGAGTCGATCCTCCGCCGGAGTGCGATGTTTTGTTTCGGGTTTTGAACTCGAAAGTGTTCAGAAGCAGAAATTTTGACGATGATTACGATGACCTTCCAACGTTTTCGGATGAGGATTCCTTCGGCAGATCCAGTACTCGTGGTTCGAGGGCCCGCCACACCAGAGGCGACGATTCGGACGACGACGTTTATGGCGACGGCAGAAGGTCCACTGGAAGGACCAGCGTGGGCGACTGGGAGGACGATGTTTATGATAGATCGTATTCCAAGGGGACGAAGAAGAAGTTGGACCGGTCGACCAAGCCGAACTTCTCGTCCACGTACTCGGACCATCCAGAAGCAGGGCAGAGATATAGTCCTTCACCCGTGGAGAGGGCTTCGCCGGCGGCGAGAACCCGCGACATGGCTGTGGCAATGTACACGTTTGACGGTGAGCAGCCCGGCGATTTGCCATTTATCAAGGGCGACACGATTGAAATCGTCAAAAAGTCCAACTCCCAGGACGATTGGTGGACTGGCCGAGCCAACGGTAAGGAGGGTATTTTCCCGGCGAATTACGTCAAGATGGCATGATAAGGCTGTTTTTTTTTGTTGATTTGATACTGTATTTGAATTATTAAATGTTGGTCTATTTTTAGGTAGAATTCGATTTTGATTTATTCTGGTGTAACCATAAAGTTCAGTTATATATGCTTCGAATGCGTGTGGTTTCACCCCGGGGTTTACCCATAAAAGGAATAGGAACATTTAGATGTATATATTCAGTGTTTAGCGGTATAAATATAGATAGGTGATGTACTTTGTTCGATTTGTAATCTACTAATCTCTTATATACAATGGGTGGAAATCTCGGATACGTATATCTTTAATGTGTAAACCGGCGACGTTAGCAGAGCTAGGTATGTATCATTGATGATTGTTATACCTCATTTAGTTATTGCATTAATCTTTTTGATATATGCTACTTCATTCAGATAGTTGCACAAAATTGGTGTATCCCTCCAAACCTTCACCACGCTATCTTGATATTCTTGAACGGCTGGAATCACACCCGCGGGTATGTCGAACATTAAGTCATGCTGGTACCATCGTAGCTGGTGCAAATGTTACCCACAGCCTGGCCATAATCTAAGACAATCCCCTCGTCTAGATTATCGTTAGGAGAACCGATATCATATCCCTGAGCATTCATGCCTTCGTGCAAACCACTCGCCCTCAAATCTCAACATCTCTGACTAGAACCCCCTCTATTCCCTGCCCCAAACTTCCCAAGACATCCACACTCTTATTTTGCACATTCAACGCTTCGAAGTCACCCTCTTTATCAGCCGTCTTTCCATTAAACTGAAAAATGGAGGACGAACCACCGTACAACACGTCGCTTTCCACACCAGATCTATTGCATAGCACCACGGTTCGCCTCTTGTGGTTGGCCATCCAGGGATAGCCCGCCTTCATCTTATGGTTCATGAATGGAAAGAAGCGCAAGGCCCAATAGTTCACGTTGGAGTAGTCCGGCTGGGCGATATCGTATGCTGATGGCTCCAAGGTATAGTCCCAGGTGCGTTGGGCTGTATGAGCAGCATCAATCACAGGAGGGTTGAGCGTCTTGTCAGCTTCCACAGGAAAGTGTTTAGCGAGTTCTAGCCCCGCACTCGCCTTCTCCGCGGCGGATAAGGCGTCGTTAACTGACGGCGACTTCCCAGATAACCACGCCATGGGACACAAGATGAGACTGGAATCGGTAGAAAACGCGTGAGAGGCAAATTCAAATTTGTTGAATGGCGCTTCAAACTTGTATGGGTTCAAATCCATGCAGATCCCGATGGTGGTCTTCACAAAGGCATCTACGCCCCCCTCCCCGGTGTACGCCTTCTTATTCAAGTTCAAGTTGAAGGTCTCAAACCCTGTAGAACTTTCCAGAGAGCCCCAGACAGAGTCAGTTTCGTATAAAAACGACTTTCTATAGTTGTACACAATAGAACCCGACGGGGAAACCAAAACGGCAGAGTTGTAGGTTTTTGACTGGAACGTTTCAGGGTACCCGATGAGCGTGAAACAATCGTATTTCCGCGAAGTATCCATAGCCCATTTCATGGACGGTGCCGGGTTCTGCACAGACAACTCCTCCAAGTATGGCGCAATGGCCGCGGGGCTCGGGAAGTTGTACCCGGTAAGCGCCAACTCGGGCAACACCACCAAGTCGGGTTTCTGAACGGCCGCAAAGGTCTTCTCAAGGAGGACCGATGCGCGGCGAGAGTTTTCCTCAAGTTTCCCTAGCAAAGGATTGAGTTGGACACTAGCGATTCTGAGCTTCATTGGGAGACAAAGAAAGGGTGGGGGGCTTTGGCCTCATGGGGATGCTGATATGGGAAGTACCCGAACTTATTGGTCGTGTTTCCACCAGTGGTCGTTCCCTGACCGATCATTATTTTTTTCCTGTACAGAAACGCGCCCAAATGGAGCTCAAATTGACATGCCATTGATAACTGTTATTGGCTCTATCATCATGTCTAGGGAATTGCTGAGAGTTACAAATGGTGCCTTGGACAAATACCCCGAGTGGCGAGTCGCAAAGCGGGCAGTGGAAGAGGAGCTAACGGACCTTGCGCGCTGGGACAAGTTGGTTGCCGCGACGGAGGATATCGCATACAACCGGTTGGATGAAGCTGAAACCAAGGATCTGGCCGTCCAGGGGGCATTCCGAGGGGTCTATATCGATTTACTAACGAGATATCCCTTGTTATACGTGTACTGGCAGAAGTACGCGGTGTTGGAGTACAAACTCAGTGGCACGGACGGCTCCATCCGCGTGTTATCACAGGCGGTGGATGCCTTTCCGCACTCACTCGACCTCTGGGTAGAGTATTTGGCCGCGCTAGTGGAAAACAAAGCGGAAGAGACGTTTATTCGAGAAATGTTCCGAAAGGCAGTGCAGTTCAACGGTCGGAATTTTTTGTCGCATCCGCTCTGGGACAAGTACATCGAGTTTGAGCACACCCGAAACCCCGCCAGCGATAACCCCTACTTGCTTGAGATCTATCTCCAGTTGGTGCGTATTCCGTTGTACCAATACGCACAGTACTACCAGAGTTTCCACGAGATCAACAAAAACTTTTCCATATCACAATTGTTTGGAGAGACGGAACTAGCAACGCTTTTGGCAAAACACGGTAAAACAGCTGAATTGACGGTCGAAGAGAGGAGCGCGCTTATTGACGACCACTTCCTAGGCGTGTTCACCACCACCCAACAGAGCGTGAGCGAGCGGTGGCCGTTTGAGGCGGAAATCAAGACACCGTTCTTCAGCCTAGAGGCCCTCAGTGACACAGAGTTGACCAACTGGCAACAATATCTTGACTTTGAGATCCAGTCGGCCTCGCCCCCAGCACAGGTCGTGGCTCTCTTTGAGCGAGCCTTGGTGCCAGCGGCTTCCTACCTGAAGCTCTGGATGAAATATATCAAGTGGCATATCGAGCACACTTCTGGCGAAACCGAAAAGATCAGGAACGTGTACTTGCGAGCATGCAACGTATTTGTTCCGTTGGACGACTTTCCCATCCGGCTCAACTACGCGGCGTTCCTCGAGATGAGCCTGGACGACAATGCCTTGAGCGCTTGTCATTTATTGTACCAAAAGCTCATCAAACTCTCGCCCCAAAACGATATTTTGGTGCGATACTTGCACTTTATCACTCGCAACTACCCGGCGCAAGCTTACTTGTTCATGAGCAAGGCCGTAGCGGCGTTCTTCCAGGAGGAGCCAGAGCTAAAGAAAACCAAAAAAGACAAATTGCTGCCAGAGTTGCTGCCGTGGTTTGACAGCTTTACCGCAATAGTCACCCTTAAAAGTGCCGTTGCCATAATCATCGTAATGGCCAACGGCTTGCTCCACGCCGTCCCTTCCAAAGTTTCCAAAACCGCGGTTAGGAAGGCCCGAACCGACGTCCGCAAGCTCTTTGAGAAGTACTACACCCACGATACGTTAAAGTCGTCACCCCAGTTCTGGCTCTACTTCTTCGACTTTGAGCTCAAGTGCAAACACGTATCAAACCTATCTCAGATTGTCTTCTTTGCTAAGAACGAAACTATGTTACCAAAGATAGTGATTGACGATATGCTCACGGAGTACAGGGCCTTTTTGTTGAAGCATGATCCCGGCAACCGGGAGATTATCTTTCTGAATGCCGACTCCGTAAACTCGCTCTTTGTGAACAAATCGCTCCGGTCGCGTTTGGGCGTTGGCTTGGAAGCCTCGAGAGCCCCGTCCAGTGCCGGCTCCGCCTTCTCTCCGCCTTCCCTGGGTGTGCTATCTGATGCTAAGAAAGAAGACGAACTAAACCTGATGGTTTTGAAGCAGAACGGCCATCCTGGTATCACCATTGACCAGAAACCTACAGTCACCAATAAGTTACCGTGGGAGGAATTTGCCTCTGGTGTGCGTGAGTTGCCGACGTTCAGAAACGTAGAGAAGGCTTCTCTTCCGATTCAATACCCTGTCACTGAGTAGGCAAAAACTAGATAGGTTGTTGTAAGTAAGTTATGAGAAAAAAATAGAGCATCAGATGTATATTGCTGTTTGGAACACCAATTTATGCGTAGTATACCTCAAATATCGCATTTATGGTAATACTTGCGACTACATACGTTTTTTTATATATAAAGCTTGTGCACAATACTGCACCTTTAGCTACTGAGCCTCAGATGGTGTCGCTTTGGCGGCCGATAAGCTTGAGTCCTTCCCTGATTCTGGTCTTGCGGGTTACGCGATTGTTCCCATACACCTCCAAAAGAGCCAACTTCGGACAGGTGTTGCCGATAATCTCAACCACCAGGTCATCGACAGACCGCACAAACCCAATATCAAGATGGGTCAACAACGGCAAGGCGGTGCTGCGCAAATAGTCCTCGAAGAACAGCTTTTCAGTGCCATAGACCGAATTGACATTGAGCTCAACCAAGGTTTTTCCCGAGTGGTTGAGGAGAAATACAAGCCCCGCACTGGTCAAGTTGACACACTTCTGGAGGTTTACGCTGAGAAGACCTGGGTTGGCATCCCATTGCTCGAACAACGCAATCATTCCCTCGTCGCTGATCTGATCCAAGAACTTGAGCGAAAGGCTCTTAAGGTTCGGGGCAAAGACCCGCAACCCCTCAGTCAAGAAACGGTCGGTTAAGGCGGTGCAACAGTCGAGGTTCAAAAACTCAATGTGCTCGCCATTGATCGAGAGAATGTTGATGAGAAGATCGTCCGTGATGAGGTCTTCATTCTGGGGGTAGGAGATCTCCAAATGCCGGAGTTTCGTGAGATAGTGTGGAATGAGCTCATAAACTTCAGAAGAGTTGAGGCCATCGAGCCGTGTTAATGTCAACTCCTCCAAATTCGGGCAGTGCTCCAAAAGTGTGATCATGGAATCTGAAGTGAAACGGTGGGTGTTGCTGATATGGAAGCCCTTGAGTCGGCTGCCGACCGTTTCAAAGAACTCCTGCCAGGCCACATCGGAGATCAAAAATGGGCCATGGAGCGTGATATGCGTGAGCTTGCGGAGATTCGACGCAAAGTACTGCAAGTTCGCGTTGTGGAACTGGCCGCACATCGACAACGTCACTTTCTCTAACTGGGGACAGAACGCCGGGATCCGCTGGAGAGCGTCGGATGACACCTTGGAGCAGTCCCAGAACTCCAACTCTCGAAGACCCGGCTCGAGGAACAACGAAGCCGTTACATCGTTCAAGCGCCGGTTCTTCAGCAAAATCCGCGAGATCTTGCTCATATTGATGGCCCCGATGTCCCCAAGCATCTCCACCTGGTCGATGTGCTCTGAGATAAGTGAGATGCACATGTCCTGAAGCTTTGGCATGCGTGACAAGTCCTGCTTGTCCAAGAGCGCCGTCGCGAGCTTCTGCCGCTTCTTACGTGCAAGAAGCTGGTTCTTCTTGGCATTCCGTTCCTTCACCTTTGCCTTTTCGTTGCACTTCTCGCACAAGTAGCCATTCTCTACGTACCGCGAGTACACTGTAAGCGTAAAGTCCTTGTCACAGGTCACACATTGGTCCACCTCGCCAAACTTCTTCGCCACCTCGTCCGAGTTGTATTCGTCTTCGTCTTCGCTGTCAGTGTAGGCGTCTCCTCTGGCCCGGCGCTTCCGTCTGGCAGCAATCCGTATCTCCAACTCATCTTCACTCGCCTCCACTTCGTCGCTCGCTTCCCTGGTCTCTGGCTCGCTGGCAGCAGTGTCGGGCGTCTCCGCGCGCAATCTTGCAAGGTGGCGTTGTCTGATGGTCTCAGCACTGATCCCCTGTTCTTTGAGAAACTCCGTCAAGGCGGAGTTGGGGCCACTTACGCTGGAAGAGTCATTTCCTCTGGTTCGTCTCGACATGGTTGGGGAATACAGACCAGCAAAACGAGAGCCATTTTTGCCACTGATATCTAGCGATGCGGCTGTCTGCATGCAGCAGGTAAACGTTCGCGAAATAGCCTGCGAAAATAGTACCTAAGAAATACCGTCACAAAACACATAAATATCGCACGGTATTCGGGGAGTATTAACCATTCGAGACAGAATTCTACCTAAAGGGATTGTCGCAGATGGGTTTACTTCATCAAAGCCCCCATTTATGATAACCAACAGTGACGGGGAGATTGGTGATATCGCGAAAACCACGAGAGGGTAATCCCCACCTGAGCCGCACGGATCTCTAAGATCAGCAGGAGTGCCACCGAAGAAAACCCTACAACACAGATCGGGCTACGGCGGTAGTGCAACCACGGAATACTGGATCACACACCATGCAAGTTATTTTCAAGGATTTCAAGAAGGAAAAGATTCCAATCGAATTGGAATTAACGGATTCGGTATGTCAAACAGAAGGGGTCCACGCCACAAGCCGTTGTGTTACCAGTGATTGGTCAGCCACCAGCAGATTCTTGTTTGCAAACGGTTATGGCCGTTACGGATGTCGTTAATGGTTTGGATGGCAATCGTTGCAAATCTAACAGGTTGACGATTTGTCATCATCGCAGATCTAGCAAATTGAAGATTTGTCATTGTCACAAATTTAACGAGCTGAAGATTCGTCAGGTCAGTGGTGTGGGCGCCAGCCTCACAAACTCATATTAATGCTTACTAACACCTCTAGGTTCTCGCGGCGAAAGAAAAACTCGCGGCCATCAAGGAATGCGAGGCGGCACAGTTGAAGTTTGTATACTCCGGTAAGGTGCTTCAGGACGACAAAACCTTGGAGGACTCCAAGATAAAGGAGGGTGACCAGGTCATCTTCATGCTTTCCAAGGCCAAGAAGACCCCTACCCCTGCCCCACAAGCTGAGACCCCACTTGCTGTTCCGGTGGCTGCTCCGGTAGCTGCTCCGGTAGAAACCGCCGCGGAGGCCGCTCCTGCCGAGGACTTTACCGAATCCACCTTTGCCACGGGAAATTCCAGAGAAACTGCCATCCAGAACATCATGGGCATGGGTTTCGACAGACCACAGGTCGAAGCGGCCTTGAGAGCCGCTTTCAACAACCCAGACCGTGCCGTGGAGTACCTTTTGACCGGGATCCCGGAGTCTTTACAGCACAGAACCGCCCCAGAGGCGCCTGTGGCCGAGAGCACCGAGGCAGACGTGAGCATGGAAGAGACCGCTGTCTCTCCAGCTAACTCCGGCAACTTGTTTGACGCTGCTGCTGCGGCCGCCGCGGCCGAGGGCCAAACCGCCGGCGCTGGTGGGCTTGGGGCGCTTCCGTTGGAAGGCCAGATGGACGAGATCCGTGCTGCCATCCAGGAAAACCCGGAGATGTTGGCCGGGATCTTGGAGCAGATTGCCGCCTCCAACCCAGAATTGGCGGAGGTCATCCAGGCCAACCCAGAACAATTCATCAGATACCTCATGGAGCACGGCTTGGGCGAGGAGGGTGAGGGCGACTTTGGCGATGCTGAGGGCCAGGTTCAGATTGAGTTGTCCCAGGAAGAGGCCGATGCCGTCAACAGATTGTGCGAGATGGGCTTCGAAAGGGGGCTTGTGTTGCAGATCTATGTTGCTTGCGATAAGAACGAGGAGATGGCCGCCAATATGTTGTTGAGTGAATCGTTCGACGATTAGAAAAAGGTTCTGGATTAGGGTGTTTCGTTAGGCTAAGTCCAGACGGTTGCTGCCTTTTCTGTATTTTAAGAGTATTTTGTACGTCACGTTAAGATTGGACGTTTCACCGTAGAAGATAACATTAAGTTGACCCATTAGCTTGATGAGTTAATAATTAAGTTGCCTCACTTTTGTTGCCGGGTAGTCTAGTCGGCGATACAGATCTAAGGTAACAGACCCGTTGGAATCAGGAAAAGAGTCACGATTTGCAAGAGCAGTTGTAGCGTGAGCTACATTGGGACCAGAATCCCGTGGCAACTATAAACATTTGTCTAACACTCCAAGCATTAGCAAAATATCCTTAAATATATGCACATCCTCCTTGCTGAACAAGCACAGTCTGATTAAAAGTGATAAGCTCAACCTTTCTAGAAAATTCTCTGGCCTTGAGTCAGTAACATAAGCGGTTTCAATCGACACTAGAGTTCTTGAGCCGACATGTCTACACCTTTATTCTTTACAAGCCCCCCCCCCCTCTCCCCTCCTCCACTCTAATCCAATTTCTCTTCCGGGGAAAAATAGTCATCCGTGAGAGGACTTCCGAGTTCCTCATCAGACGTTTCTAGTGCTTCAAAATCCGAAACAGAGCCCGGTGACAATGGGCTGTTCAATTGAGTGGGTTGGTTCCAGTCACCCCGGGTAGCCTCCCTACCCCTTTCGATCGCCCTTTCGATCCCAAGTCGGTGTTTGATAAAGAGGAGCTTCGGCCAGGCGCTGCGCTCGCCGCGTTCAATCATCAACTGCAACCGCTCGGGGCTGGGATCACTGAGAATATACGGAAAGTCCCCGAGATTCACCTTGGGCCACAACGTGACGGTTCCGGTAAAGTTCTGCAACCAGATGTTCGACCAGTCCTGTTTCATGAGATGGGGCAACAAGTCCAAGGATTTGATGAACTTGAGCCACTTGGTGATGTCGAGCTTGACCAAGTTTTCTAAAGCCACGCTGACAAACCCGCCACGTAAAGACGAAATCAAGTCACCCGTGGGGTCTCCCTCTCCGGTTTCTTTCCCGGGGTTTCCGTAGTTTTTGATCCGGATGCCCCGGGAAACCGGTCTCCCGACACTGCCTCTTGGGGCGTAGAAGAACAACGAGATGTGGGGATTTACCTGCGAAACGATGGAGTATTTCGCGTTAAAGTACGTGTTGAGCGATTCAATGGGGATATCCGTTCGTAAAGACCCGTCGCGCCATTTTGTGCCGAAGGAGAATGGCACAATATCCGCCTCGGGATTGAGGTTGTCTAGGTTGGCCACCGGGTTTAACGTCTTGGCCCCCTTTTCATTCCCAATGGTATCACCAAAGATTCTATTTCTCCCGGCAATTCCATTGAGATCTCCCCTTCGTTCCGGTCCAAAGCTCTCCTTTGTCATCAAAACTACCGGCTCGAGAATGCCTGGGACGGCGCTTGAGGCAAGAAGGGACGACCAGATCACGCAGTCCGGACTTGTTGTGTCATTGCACAAAATCACAGGCGAGTGGGGATCAGAGGGCACGGTGCTGATGTTCAAAATCCGTCCGGTTCGCTCGTACGCCTCTTGGAAGGTGGTTGCGCCCATGGTGAACCACGAGCATTTTCGGGCCCAATCCACGGCATCGAATCTTGCGCCGGTCTTCCACCAGCGTAGAAACCATACGCGAAACGGTTCGCCACAGGAGGTGATCTTGAGCGCCAATTCCGGGATAAGCAGCTGTCTCAATTCTTCATCGGTACGGCAGCAGGTTAAAGCGGCCACAAGACCACCGCCAGACGTTCCAGAGACGATTTTCGGCAATAAATCCGCATCTAGCAACGCCTTAACGATCCCAAAGTGCATGAATGCAAAGCACGCGCCGCCAGACAAGCAAAGTGCGGTACGGCCAAAGTTCTTAGAGTAGATCTTGAAGAGCCACCGTTTCTCGTCAGCAGACACCTCACTGCTGTCGGTAAAGTAGTCGATGGAGGTGATAACCTCGGCGTTATACTCGTGGATGATCGCCTTAGTTCCGTAGTACGTCTGCGAGTAGAGTAACGGGTTTTCCGTACCTGCAAAGTTCGACTTTAAGCAGTTTTGCAAGACAATGCTCAATTTATGGACATCCTGGGGGTTTCTGTATTTTCGCAACTGTTCGATAGTTTTCCGTATAGTGCGGTAGTCGTAGTAGTAGAAGCTCGGGATTTGTTTCCATTTGTCCAACCCGAGACATGCGTCCAACTTTTGCGCATTCTCTACCCACTCGGCGTAGGTTTTGGAGCTTCGCATGGTATTTCTGAGCCGTTTCTTCTCGCCCCGCCAGAACACCGAGTGCTCGACAAAAGCGACGTACAATCGGAGGATGAGGTAGACCAACGCGAGAAAGCCGATCCAGGTAAATGTCATGATAAGCACCGGCCAACGGAGAAAGAAGAACGATCGCGACGCCAGGAATTCGTTCAATCGGGATGGCTTTTTCTGGGGTTTTGCTTTCCGCTTCTTCAACTTGCGGTATATGGGAATCCAGTCCGAGACCGATGCAATCTTCTTGGGCTTGGAGAAGTCGCCTACAAGCGACGGATGTCGGGAGACCAGAGGCGTCTGCGGTTCTTCATAGGCTAAAGCAGTGGCAAAAGCTTCAATATGTTTATCATTGATGAAATTCCGATCAAAGTAAGGAATTTTGCCAGACATGATGCGCTGCTGGCAGTAAGGGAAAGGACGTGAGGAGAAACGTATGAGCTTGCTGCCCTTGATATAAGTCTACTCGGTAAACAACGCATATGCATCACGTGACCTATGGAACGGTTTGGAGACAGCTGCATACACGTCACGTGCTTATTATCGGAGAACAAATGGCGACACCTGACGAAAGGAACCGGTTACATTTTAAAGGTTGATAGAAAATTGCTTAAAACTATGTACGTGGTCGACCTAATCCAGGGAGCAAGACATCGTCAATCTACC